AGCAATTTTTGACCGCGTTTTGCTCCGACTTTTTTTCAAATGCTAATATCTCGGAAACTGAGAAGGATCGAGAAAAACTAACTTCAGATTCTTGTGCAGCACATCGAGAACATGCTGTATGCAAGTTTTCAGCTCATTCTGATGTCTTGAATTATATGAAAAAAGTTCAAAGGGGTTAACCTTCTTTCATTTTCAGACCCAAAAATCAACTTTCTCGTAGAATCTTCAAATTTGGTATACAGGGTCCTCAAAGGATGGCCTAGTGCGGAGTAGAAGCACAGCTCTTCAACTCTAATAATAAAAAGTTGCAATTTTTGACTGCGTTTTGCTCCGACTTTTTTTCAAATGCTGATATTTCGGAAACTAAGAGGGATCGAGAAAAACTAACTTCAGATTCTTGTGCAGCACATCGAGAACATGCTGTATGCAAATTTTCAGCTCATTCTGGTGTCTTGAATTATACGAAAAAAGTTCAAAGGGGTTAACCTTCTTTCTTTTTCAGACCCAAAAATCAACTTTGTCGTAGAGTTGTCAAATTTGGTATACAGGGACCTTAAAGGATGGCCTAGTACGGAGTAGAAGCACAGCTCTTCAACTCTGATAATAAAATGTTGCAATTTTTGACCGCGGTTTGCTCCGACTTTTTTTCAAATGCTAATATCTCGGAAACTAAGAGAGATAGAGAAAAACTAACTTCAGATTCTTGTGCAGCACATCGAGAACATGCTGTATGCAAATTTTCAGCTCATTCTGGTGTCTTGAATTATACGAAAAAAGTTCAAAGGGGTTAACCTTCTTTCTTTTTCAGACCCAAAAATCAACTTTGTCGTAGAGTCTTCAAATTTGGTATACAGGGTCCTCAAAGGATGGTGTAGTGCGGAGTAAAAGCACAGCTCTTCAACTTTAATAAAAAAAAGTAGGTAGCAATTTTTGACCGCGTTTTGCTCCAACTTTTTTTCAAATGCTAATATCTCGGAAACTAAGAGAGATAGAGAAAAACTAACTTCAGATTCTTGTGCAGCACATCGAGAACATGCTGTATGCGAATTTTCAGCGCATTCTGATGTCTTGAATTATACGAAAAAAGTTCAAAGGGGTTAACCTTCTCTCATTTTCAGACTGAAAAATCAACTTTGTCGTAGAGTCTTCAAATTTGGTATACAGGGTCCTCAAAGGATGGTGTAGTGCGAAGTGAAATCACAGCTCTTCAACTTTAATAATAAAAAAGTAGCAATTTTTGACCGCGTTTTGCTCCGACTTTTTTTCAAATGCTAATATCTCGGAAACTAGGAGGGATAGAGAAAAACTAACTTCAGATTTTTGTGCAGCACATCGAGAACATGCTGTATGCGAATTTTCAGCTCATTCTGATGTCTTGAATTATATGAAAAAAGTTCAAAGGGGTTAACCTTCTTTCATTTTCAGATCCAAAAATCAACTTTGTCGTAGAATCTTCAAATTTGGTATACAGGGTCCTCAAAGGATGGCCTAGTGCGGAGTAAAAGCACAGCTCTTCAACTTTAATAATAAAAAAGTAGCAATTTTTGACCGCGTTTTGCTCCAACTTTTTTTCAAATGCTAATATCTCGGAAACTAAGAGAGATAGAGAAAAACTAACTTCAGATTCTTGTGCAGCACATCGAGAACATGCTGTTTGCGAATTTTCAGCGCATTCTGATGTCTTGAATTATACGAAAAAAGTTCAAAGGGGTTAACCTTCTTTCATTTTCAGACTGAAAAATCAACTTTGTCGTAGAGTCTTCAAATTTGGTATACAGGGTCCTCAAAGGATGGTGTAGTGCGGAGTAAAAGCACAGCTCTTCAACTTTAATAAAAAAAAGTAGCAATTTTTGACCGCGTTTTGCTCCGACTTTTTTCCAAATGCTAATATCTCGGAAACTGAGAGGGATCGAAAAAAAATAACTTCAGATTCTTGTGCAGTACATCGAGAACATGATGTATGCAAGTTTTCAGCTCATTCTGATGTCTTGAATTAGATGAAAAATGTTCAAAGGGGTTAACCTTCTTTCATTTTCAGACCCAAAAATCAACTTTGTCGTAGAGTCTTCAAATTTGGTATACAGGGTCCTCAAAGGATGGCCTAGTGCGGAGTAGAAGCACAGCTCTTCAACTTTAATAATAAAAAAGTAGCAATTTTTGACCGCGTTTTGCTCCGACTTTTTTTCAAATGCTAATATCTCGGAAACTAAGAGAGATAGAGAAAAACTAACTTCAGATTCTTGTGCAGCACATCGAGAACATGCTGTATGCGAATTTTCAGCTCATTCTGATGTCTTGAATTATATGAAAAAAGTTCAAAGGGGTTAACCTTCTTTCATTTTCAGACTGAAAAATCAACTTTGTCGTAGAGTCTTCAAATTTAGTATACAGGGTCCTCAAAGGATGGTGTAGTGCGGAGTAAAAGCACAGCTCTTCAACTTTAATAAAAAAAAGTAGCAATTTTTGACCGCGTTTTGCTCCGACTTTTTTCCAAATGCTAATATCTCGGAAACTGAGAGGGATCGAAAAAAAATAACTTCAGATTCTTGTGCAGTACATCGAGAACATGATGTATGCAAGATTCCAGCTCATTCTGATGTCTTGAATTAGATGAAAAATGTTCAAAGGGGTTAACCTTCTTTCATTTTCAGACCCAAAAATCAATTTTCTCGTAGAGTCTTCAAATTTAGTATACAGGGTCCTCAAAGGATGGTGTAGTGCGGAGTAAAATCACAGCTCTTCAACTTTAATAATAAAAAAGTAGCAATTTTTGACCGCGTTTTGCTCCGACTTTTTTTCAAATGCTAATATCTCGGAAACTAAGAGAGATAGAGAAAAACTAACTTCAGATTCTTGTGCAGCACATCGAGAACATGCTGTATGCGAATTTTCAGCGCATTCTGATGTCTTGAATTATACGAAAAAAGTTCAAAGGGGTTAACCTTCTTTCATTTTCAGACTGAAAAATCAACTTTGTCGTAGAGTCTTCAAATTTGGTATACAGGGTCCTCAAAGGATGGTGTAGTGCGGAGTAAAAGCACAGCTCTTCAACTTTAATAAAAAAAAGTAGCAATTTTTGACCGCGTTTTGCTCCGACTTTTTTCCAAATGCTAATATCTCGGAAACTGAGAGGGATCGAGAAAAACTAACTTCAGATTCTCATGCAGCACATCGAGAACACCTTGAATGTAAATTTTCAAGTCGTTCTAATGCCTTGAAATATGTGGAGAAAATGTTTTTTTTTTCGACCGAGGATACCTTTTGTCATAGAGACTTCAAATGTTTAATACAGGGACGTCCTTCTGCGGAATAGAAGCACAGCTCCCTGGATTGATAGAAAAAAGTTCGCTTTTTTTGACCTTACTATGCTCTGCATTCTTTCGATGGTAGATATGATAGGAACTACTGAATTTCTAGCGAAACTGAATTGATTCACGTATTTTGCCCATGGAAAGAAATTCAGTGCCCTCATAGCAGCGATCTCGAATGGTGAATTTTCTCAATGCTGAATAAGAATATCTCGGAAATCAAGAGGGATAAAAAAAAACACAGTTCAGATTCTTGTCCAGCATGTCGAGAACCCACTGTGGTATATCCACTCCTCATATTACGAGAGTAAATACTAAAATATCAACCTTCATTTTTGTAAAAAGTTTATTTTTAAATATATACAACAAATCAACAAAATAAAATGACTAGCTTAAAGGGGAGTCTGAATAATGATGAAAACAACATTCACAATCTCTAGTTAAAAATTATTAAAAATACATTTCTGGAATGGTATTTAAAGCCATATCTAAATTGAACTTATGATAATTATAAATGGCACAAAAAGACATAAAAACAAAATGAAAAAATGATACTATTACCAAAAATTTAATACAAGGTGGCAATTAATTGGGTGCCGATAATACAAGGTGTCAATCCTCGGGAGATTCCAAGGAGAAAAGTTTATTTATTAATTTTATTTTTCATTTATTTTTATTCATTTATTTAATTTTTCGGTTATTGTGTTACCTTTTTCCTTCATTGATACATTTTATACAAATAATATATAAAATGTAATTGATTTTCTAGTCGTAATAACATGATTTTGAGCCTACAGGGTGTTAAAATCAGAGTCTTCAAGTTTTTTTTTAATGAAAACATTCAATATCAGGCCTACGTGAACATCACTGGTAAAAGTAAAAAAATGATTATTGTCCCAAAACAGAATGTGGGTTTCTACTAAATGTTTACAAAATACCAAAAACTATCTCAATGAACTGGGGAAAAACCATTTTGTGATTTTTAGTTTTTTTCGCGAAAACGGTGCGTCGAATGAAGGTAAGTCTAAGAACCGCACTTTCTTAAAAATAAACGGGGATTACAAAAATAGTTTTGGTTTTTGGAAAAATCAGTGACGTACCATTTTTTTCTTAAAAAATTGTCAGTTCAAACTCCGTACGGTCGTCACTGGTGAACATTTTGGAAAATCTTTGAGGTCAAAAAATGCTCCTTAATGATGAGAAGGTGAGTACAAAATTTCATAAAAATATCTAACTGATAAAAAATTATGATGAAAAACTAAGAGGTTTAAGGAATATTATGTTGATAAGAACTTTTCTCCTTAAAATCACCCGAGGATTCACACATTGTATTATCGGCACTCAATTGATTAACACCCTTTATATAAAATATCAAATATATTATAAAAATGATTATCTTTAGTACCCTCGTCGACCATTCAAGGATATAGCTTCGCTCATATAAAATCCACATGTTGAGTTATAGAACTCCAGAATTTTCGCCTTATTCAAGTGCGAAATGCTGATTATCCGCAGAAAAAAATCTTGGCCTCTCGGTGAGATGCAGATATATTTCCCTCTTTCTTTAATGTTGGAGGCACAAATTGATAATGAAGGCGATTAGCAGTTCATTTGAACGAAGCGAGAGCCTGAATGGTCTAATCCGACAAGGTTACTTCAAGCAATGGAAAATGGATATCAGTTACTTTTTTTGGTATTATTACTTGCTGAAGCAAAAATCTCAGTTGAAGGCCCTCACACTTACATACTGCCAGTTCCCCTGCAAGAAAAAAAATGTGAAATATGTTTCATATTCAATTATCTATATATTAAATTCTATGTATTTTCATACTTGTTCTTAGAATTCTTGAGACTTCTGAAGTTGACAAAGTCATAATACCCACAAACCAATCATGGGATTTTAGTGAGCTAATTGACTCATTATTTACAAAATTCCTTTACTCCTTTCAAAATTAATTCATGCATCATATTTGGAAATAAACTATCATTATTTGTTTTCAGTTTAAGTATTCATATTGTGAAAAAACAATTCTATACATGAAATAATTCATCTCTTTCACACACAGGTCACTAACCTGTGTGAAGGAGATACTATGTGAAATATATATATAAGTACATGTGATTAATATTCAATGAGAAAATATGTAGATTTTACTTGATTCAATAAATAAATAGATAAAAATAAATACAAAAAGTTCAATGGCATATCCACACAATGTTCATAAATTGAAGAACAATGGTAGATTTCGGGAGAAAAACAACTACTTTCCTGGCTAATGCTACGCAGATTGAATTACATCCTCCCGAAATCTATGCATCGACTCGTATAAACGAATACTGATACAAGTGAATCTTTCCTGAATGCCCATTGATTTCGAATCAGTATTCGATTATACGAGTCGATGCAAAGATTTCGGGAGGATGTAATTCAATGTTCTGGGTGGATAAGCCAGGAAATTAGTTGTTTTTCTTCCGAAATCTACCATTGTTGTTCATTTATGAACATTGTGTGGATATGACTTTGAGCTTTTTGTATTTATTTAACATTTCATTCCACTTTGAGCATTGTATCTATTTCGTAGTTGAAATAAATAAATAATAATAAATAAATAAATAAATTATATGAAGGACTTACTGGAATTCCTATGTCCCATCCGGAACCTGCCGGATTCTTGGGACAAATTCCTTCTCGCCTCAGAATCACCCCACCGTCCGTAACTGCCCATACTTGACTGTTTCCTACACTCACACTTTTGAAACCTGTCGTATTGGGTGCAGAATCTATAAATCGGAAAAAAATATCATAGTTATACCTTGTTATAACACTATGAGGTAATTTCAAAACGTCACGTCAAGGCCATCAAGTAACTACTAGATAGTCCCATCAATTTTTTCTAACTGGGCTGATAAAACTTTAAACGAATTCGTTCCAACCTTCACTGTATATCGAAGAAAACGATCAGGTCTGAATACTTCTCAAGTAGATCTGGACAGGACTGAACAGCTTGTAAGAAAATCTGATCGATTTTTCATTTTTCAAATTTGGGACATGAGAAAATATGGACATCAATTTGACATATCGTCATCAGTGGCTTTGGCACTTCCGGTCACTTTAGGTTTGGAAGGGAACTTTCTTATTTCAAATGGAACACCCTATAGTTCATTACAATTTTAAATTAGAGTTGCTATTCGAAAATAATTAGTGCCATATATGGTAATTTCTCCAATTTCAATGAAACTCGTGAAGTCAGAGTTGAAATTTGGAAAAAATCTCATTAGTGCTCCTAGTATTTAAGAAATCAAATACAAAAAACGATTCTCACGCACATTCTTCTCCTCTTAACATCAATGTTTCTTGGGATAATAAAAAGACAATCAATCATTCAATCAACCTATATTCTGTAAGAAAATCGACATGGAAGATTGATTGGTTTTGATTTTTGAGGTTTTTCAATCATTTCTTCTATTATCTCTGTGAGAAAAATTGATTGGTTTCCATTTCATCAATTTTTATACCGAATTGTTTAGTATTGACTGCCAAACAAAATGTAATTCAATGGAGGTTATATAGGTTGTTTATCGAATCATTGCATATAGGAGTATTTAGAAAGAATGTAATTTGGCAACATTGCCAGCTACGGAGAAAAGCGGTTGTTTCTCTGTAGGAGGCGAAGACTGAGACTAGCGGAAACGGAGAGTGTAGCGAAGACGTCAGTCACTTGCGATGTTGCTATCCAAATATGTAACAATTCAATAAACGACCTGTATACATACAGGTTCATCCATAGAGTCTGTAATATTGGGAAAAAGTATCGACAAATTTTCATCTCGGGGATCAACTGTGCAAGTCCAATATCCTAAAAATCGATTTCGACATATGTCACGCGATCACGGTGTGGCGGTAAATTAAGAAAATGACTATATAGATACAAAAAGTGAAGTTAGATAGAAGATATATCCAATTTTTTCCTCCTGAATAGGTCGACAGTAGTGATTAACTTGTATTCAGATAATAATAAGAGAACAATTTTGTTTTCTTCACACCACATAGCATGGAATTGAAAAAAAAGGTTTTACCAGGTTATTGCCTCGCTGTTACATTATTGGTTCGCATCTGCCGGTTAAATCGAATGTTTTTTTTTATCTCTTGGAGCGCACGAAAGGAAATTCCTATAATGTTCGTGGGACATCGTTCGTACCTAGGAAGGATAGAAAGAGGAGGTATAGTTGTTCGACATTTTTCAAGGTAAACAACGAAGGAATGTGCTGTCTTGTGAAAAGTGAAAGGTAGCCGGCTTCTCTACGGTGTTCTAATGGGGTCAAAGAGTTAGTAAGCCGAATGTCTCTTCTCTCGATGGAATCTAAGAGCATCAGCGTATGTTAGGGTGCTGAACCCCATATCAGTACTTTGTAGGTCATGAAAAGCCGTTGAGGTGTAAAATATATTTTCGTAAGGAACAAGAATCCGAGTTTTTGTGAAGCAGCTTCTGCGATGTATCGGACATGATTTTCCCACGACAGAGTATTGCTGATGGTAATACCGAGCAAAGATATAGTGGTCTTGGTAAGAATGGTGGTACCAGACATTGTTATATTATGTTATGTTATATGTAGCCACTATTGTGATGAAATTTTATGCACTAGTGCATCTGAAATATTTCAATTATTTTCACAATCTGGTTTGAAGAAAACCATATTGTATTTTCATTATCAACTCAGAGAAAAAAATTAGATAATTGTATTGATACTATAATAATAATAACTCATATGTTATGGACTTTATGGATGACAACTCTGAAAAGAGGTGGGCATTTTAGGTGGATAACCGAGTATTTCATACTCACTCAGAACAGGCGGATCGGCGACCACGGTCTGCCAATGCGTTCCCTCGGGAAACGTTTGTGTGATCTCCCTCCTGACGTGCAGCCGCCCCTGGAGGTCCACCGCCCAAACGCCCGCGCCGTTCACCTGTTACAAGGTGATTCAGTTATTATACCAATTTTTTGCCCTGATTCATTGAAAATGAAAAACTTGCTCTTTCGACATTTCGATCATTTGAATCCAAACATAGTAATATGTACCAAGTGAACAACTAAGAACGGCTGTCGGCGTGATCTGGAGTATCAATAGATATCGTGAATTAAAAATGTACTGGGTGCATATTATTACACGAACAAATAGAGAAACCAAATCTCAAGAGACCAACGAAAACTGCAAGATGATAGCTTTTCGCTAACGGAAGATATTGACGATCAAAGTTGGAAAAAGAATTGATGACAGCTGTTCTTAGTTGTTCACCCGGTACAGTGCCTACTGTAGTATATGCAAGTGTTAGAGAGTCACTGTTCATGGTAGCTAGATACGCCCTGTAAGTGAAGCTCCTGGGCGCGATTTTACTAAATATACTGTACGCTAGCACATACCACGCCCACCGTTATATCTCATCTTCAAAGTACTTTACTTAGGCAAAACTCAGAGACTATTTATCCTCAACGAACTAACCTATCCCTGATTGCAATATTTTTGAGGAAGGAAAACCGAATGGAGTGTAGAAACACATTGATTAATAATATATTTCAAAAGTTGAGTTCTTCAACAAAATTGAATAAAATGAGACTGTTTATCCTAAACGCATTAACCTATTTGACTTCAAATATTTTATGAAAAAGGAAAACCAGAATGAAGTAAAAAAACATTGGTGAGAAAAAAAAGTTGCAAAAAAAAGTTCAAGTTCACAGCGATTCGATCCATGGACCTTCAGACTGAAAGTCGACAGCGCTAACCAGTAGACCATTTGGGTGTATGAATTTACTGCGTACAAGAGATTGACAACGAGAGAGCTTCAGTCGAATTCGTGTCAAAATCATAAAAAGTGTATTCTTGCGTTGGAGCACAGTATATTTAGTGCGATGTGCTGACTCCGAGTATATCGGTAATGTTTGGAGATATGACGTATTATGGTGGGCGTGGTTTGTGCTAGCGTGCAGTATATTTAGTAAAATCGCCTCCTGGGCGGATATGAGTGTTGACCTGTTGATGACACACGAGGATTATGTAGAGGGTGACGGGTAGTCAGTAGAATATTTATCTATATATGAGACATTCTTCAATTAGCCGTGATACGGTCAGGTTGTGTACCTGTTATAGTTATTGTGAATATAGTGGGTAATTGTGAATAGAGAGTGTTTCATTCCAATAATCAATCACCAAGCTAACACAAGAATGTGATTCATCATCGGACATTAGGGAGTGATCTGGTTGATGTGGAATGCGGCACTTGAGTAGTGAACGAATAAAGACATACAACAGACGTGCTCATCAGTAAGTGAAACAACAGTAGAACTGTCCGTATGAACAAAAACAGTTATAGATAATCAATACCAAGCATAATGGGTTTTGAAGTAGAAAACAATATGGGCGGATTTGTAGTAGAACATCATGAGTGTGGTCTTGTAGAAGAATAATAATTACAATATCAAAATGAGTACTGATTCTGTTTTGTTTAGGAACTATTATTGGGTAAAATTCTTGAAAAATAAATAATGGTTTGGAAACCATACTATACTACACTCAGTGATGTTCGCTTATATGACCAGGTTAGTCAAAAAAAAATCACTCAAAATTAAATCGGAAGGAAAAAATCGAAAGACTACGAAAATCATTTGAAAATTCACTGTGAAATATATTCAAAACTGCAATGTCGAACGTCGAGGTACTTCAAATAAATATAACAGCAAATAGTTCTGACCGCCACTATATCTACATATGAAGATGATTTTTGAAATCGCTTTTCATTTCAAGTGCAAATAGTTCGAGTTATTATTTCAACATTCAATCATTCGACATCTGATTTTTCGATAACACAGACAGACTAATTATTTCTGAAAATATTTAGGAATTTGTATATAGCTAGGTTCTTCAAAGTTAAAAAACGGGAACTATAGCTTAAAATAAATCAATCATTTTTGTGAAAGATGATCGGCTATATCATTTCTTATACAATTTCAACATTTCATTTTATATATTTTCTTCATTTCATCTTGAATTTGTTTGAATTCTACACCTACTCAAATATGAAGAAATGGGTTGCTTCTACAATGAATATTATTTTGTAAAAAAATTAACAATTCGGTATACAAGCTATCCACCAGTAGATATTTTTTTTTTATTTATTTATTTATTTATTGAACAAATAACTTCCAGACAGAATAGATAAAACCACGATATATGTTATCCTAAACAAGACTCAAGACAGTAAATTTATTTGGCATCGGCACCTTTGATCTTTAAGGCAGACGTTACATTTTTTACCCTGTGCGCATCGACGGCGCGTCGTTCTATATCCGAATGTCAACGGAATAGTGTTTATTTGGAGTTTTGGGACACGCTATTGCCAAATTTCTGTGACTGAACTTACTGTCTTGTTTAGGATAATATACTGTTAGCGACAAAATCAGACCGGAAATGAATGGAACGCCTAAGAAATTCCTTATCACAAGCTGGCGATTCATCGGTTTCGTCATCATCATGCAATTGAAACGAACTTATTAATCAGCATCAAAGCGAGTCGGTTGTCGATGTTGAATTTTATAAACGGTCATAGTTGTACAAATCATCCTGAGTGAATAAATGCGTTCAAGTGTGGAAAATGTGTCTATGTCCCACTAAACATGATACATAACAAAAATATTTTTCAGTTGTAAGTTTTGTGATATTGTTGAAATAACATTGCGATAATGTCCTTTTGAAGTATCCAACATAATATTATGAACTAAAACGTTTATAAGACGTTGCATCAATATTGAAATCAATATCATTAGATAATATTATGATATGTTGATTTTAGGTTCATCAGATATATCTCAGACAGAGTTGCTATGTTATTTGTGCAACGTTTCACCACCTTATAACGTAGCTTACATGTATAAAGGATACAAGGATATAATATTTTTCCATCTACGTTAGTACCCTTGTCAACTGTCAAAAGTCAATTCGATTCCATTCCTGCCATTTTGTTTGTAGTCTATTATGGTCATGGTAACAGGTCAAACAGTGTGATCAGTGAAAATATGGATTTTCAGATATTATTCCTAGTTATCAGAGTAAATTAAGAACTAAACAAGTCTTGGACTCAAATAAATTCGAAAGAAAAATGAATTGCTCATAATACCTACTCAGATTCCAGGTTCGCTTTGGTGGAATATAGAAATGCAACCAATCTGTATTTGCATTTCATAATATGTGAAAAAGTTGGAGGGATTCGTGAATACGGATTGTGTTCATATTTCACGAATTACAAAAATAATGGGTGAAATATATATATCATTGCTAGAAGAAGAACATAGAATACAATTTCAAAATGAGTCAGGAAACTTCCAAAAACTACCTATTACTTTTCAGAATTTCAGTAAGAGAGCACTGGATTATGCAGGAATCATATAGCTAAGCTAGGTATGACTGGATTTATGATAAGCAGAATCAGGGATAGATCCTCTTCTCTGTCTTTTGTGAAGATCATTTAGATGATTGTCTTGATGATTCCAGACAAAATAGACATAACCTTAAAACTCCTAGAAAATAATTGGAATGTTAATATACAATATTTTTCAGATGTATTGAGTAACATTGAATATACGTTATGAAGTAACATTGATTTTATGTGATTCCTGATATATTTATATAATATTTACCATCAACTTCACATTGTAATATTTATAAGAGGCACATAAGCTTATTCCCGCAACGTATCTGTGACATTAAGCATCTCTCTGAATAACATCACAAAGTAACAATGTAATATTACATTTATGTTTTCATGTTTAGTGGGCTACGACTCCCCGATTTAGAATCTAACAATATTTTGATGAAACGCACCGATATCTGCTTGAGTTGACTCCCCTGCGGCGCTTCCACGCTCGTCCACCGCTCACCCTCGAGCTTCTCCTCGGTGATGCCGGCGCGGCAGTAGGCGCACCCCTTTTTGCCAACTGCCCACACCTGCCTGAAGGGGCCGCAGCTGAGACTGGTAAGGGGTTGGTCGGCATTGACGTGATCCCAGACGTGGCCCTACAAGGGGAGGAGTTCAAAGAATACTTTAGGGTGAAAAAAAAAAATGTGGAAAATTTGTATATCGCTACTTCGACGTCGAAATTTGTGCATGTTTCGGAAGAGCGGGGGCCGCGGGACCTACAGATCGTTGTGGAATTGGAGCCACTTCCAGGGGCCCGATTCTCGAACCCGTTGGAATTCATTCCCATGGGAAAAACTCGTTATTTCCCATGGAAGTTTGAGATGATGTATTCTTGAAATATTGTATGGGAAACTATTACTACACATTTCGAAGGAACTGCTTCCCATGGTTATACCCTTGGGAACAAAATGTTTCCCATAGGATACACTCATGAAATACGAAGTTATTCTCATTTGTGATGGGAACTTGACATTAGTGAAAAATCGGAAAAACATATGCATTGCAAAACATGGCAAACATAGATGAACTAGATCATCTAGAGGCTTTACAAAATTTGGAAGTGGCTGAAATCCTTGCTAGAAGACTAACAAGAAGGTTTCTGCGTAGAAGGGACCAATTGAGTGTTTGTCTGCTGCACAATTTATTAAAGTTTTTTGTTTGCCCAGACATTCCTAGAAAATTGATAGGTACTTTAGAATCCTTACAAGTGAATTGGGGTTGAAATTTTCCTTTTCTCAAGTCCTCAGAGGCCTCCATTATTTTTATCAAGAGTCATGTCTGCTCTTTGCTCATACTACCACCACGTGGTTTTTTAATATTGTTTGTATCCATATCCATTTCGTTCAGAGGAAATATAGTAAATATACAATGCACAATAATCTCAGAGTCGCAAAATTATATTATACTATAACCTCAAAATTAGTCAAAATCAAAATGTCAACATTTCATCTCAATCATCCACCAGTTACTAACATAAATTCCACTTATTTCATTGGTGAATTCATGTAAGTTCAAGAATCTATCTGCGACATACGGCACTTTTTCAATCCCCTGGGAAAAACGATTCCATCTGGTTCAAGAATAGGTGTCATGACAAATTATCATTTCCTATGAGAACTGAAAACATTAGATCATTCTCCTATAGGATCGAATTCCTACAGATTCGAGAATCGGGCCCGCCAGGATTTCAACCAAGAATCACACATTTTTATGAAAAATGCTCAGCCGAGCCGAATACCATGCCCCACAGAAGATATCACATTCTAAGGACCTCTTTGGAACCTCAGCCAAATCGATTATTCAAAAAGATTTTTCGGATGAAACATCTTATTCAACTCGGCATAAATGGCTTATGGAAATGAAATAACTCTTTCCCACCGCTCAACTGAAAACTCACCATTATTCGAGGTTTTCCTCTAAAAGAACTGTCAATGGTGTCAATGATATTATTCAATATACACACAGATACCGATATGCAACCAACGAAAGTGATAAATTCTTAAAACCAAATATAAATGAAACTATAAATCTCATTAAAGGTGAAAGCAACTTTTGAAATATGAAAATGTTTGGAATAATCTAATAATCAAATAACCCTGACTTTCGGTAAGGACACATTTTTTTGACCAAGCAAAACAATTTCAGCTATGGCGGTCGATATCGTGGAATGATGTACCACTTCAATGATTGTTCAATGCTATCATGTGTGTTATTCATAAGGTAAAAATATTTCAAAACATATTAATGACTACTGTATTTTTAATATCTACTAGTGATATTCATCAGTATCCTTCCTAACTTCATGCAGGCGGGGTACAAGCTTCCTGCCAAAAAGAATCTCACTTCAATTCTTACTGGGTTTTGTAGTTATTTACAATTATTTCTCCTGGAATCTTGATACAGCGTTTATTTTCTGACACCCAAGTCGAATTTATTTTTAGTTTGTTTGAAAACTGAACTCCTAGGCTATATTTGATATATCAAAATTTCAATAATAAGTTGAACAATGCTGAATAAACACGAGGAATGACATTGCTTCTTGAATGGAAATGAAAATCTGAATTGATAAGAGATGTTGATTTTTCAGTGTTATTAGTGGAAATAGTTATTTATTCACCAAGGTAGCAAAGAATATCGTTATTACCCAGGGACCAAGATTATATCCCGAGGCTTCAGCCGAGGGTTATAAGGTCCCCGTGGAAATATTCTTTACTACCAAGGTTTATATTACATTTTTTACATCACTAGCAATATGTTTCAATCATTTTAGTGCTGTGATACCGAAATATGGACCTATTGTCACTATGAAAGCATATGACAAGTCGTTATTGATAAATACCTACTAGTTTCGAGTGCCATTCCTAGGAATCTCTGATCAGAGCAGTGCATTCGGGTTAATTACAACAGAGATGGCTTTGTCTAGTGGTTCATAAAATGACGAAAACTACCTTGGAAATAAAAACACACTTTCCTCCTCGGAAAGGAGCAGATAATGGTAGGTTTCATAGCTATAGCTGGTGGAAAAAATATTATAGATACGTCGGGTGAGAATGCTCTTATATAGCTCGTACATTATATCCTTCGGCGCTTCGCGCCTCTTGATACAAAAGTGCTTGCTATATAATAGCTCACTTCTCACCCTAGATGTATAATATACAATTATAATACACTTACAGACAGAAAACGGCCAGAAAAAAAATTGAGAAATTGATTGTCCGTAACTATTTTTGATTTAGGATACAGAGGTGTGGCATTTTCAACCTGATCTTCTATCTGCTCTCACTGTTCGATGAAGAAAAGTAATGAGTTTTTATGTATAATTCACTCACCAGCGGATTAGATCTGGAGACTCCAACTCTTACAATGGCGTGCCCCCCTGAAGCCAGTCCCCACACAGAAACCATACTATCTACAGAGTCGTTCACCGCTTCTAGAGACACCTCCAGCAGCTTGGTGTGTCCCAATTCCTGCCAGGGCCCTGTAGTAGCTATCGCACACCTCCTAGAAAGGGACAGGAGGCACAAAGCTTAAGCTGTCACCACCGAAACAATTTACTAACTAGACCGCTAATGGCGTAAGGTTAAAGCTCATTCATTTACGAGATCTAACTTGGTTCCATGGAGTATGCGCATTCAGGACCTGTCTTATATCTTTCTCAAGAATAATCCCAAAAATTAGATACATATTGTCACGTCACTCTAGAACATGAAAAAAAAACCTTACTCATGTTTCCGAGCAACAGGACAGAAGCGTTTTCAGGAGAGTAATTTGGATGAGATTTTTGCGTTGATGGGATATGGCAGCCAGTCAGACATGTTTCATTAATATTATGTCAATAGTAAGTCATAAGGATATTAAGGTCATGGTCACTCAGTAATCAATCCGATCCAAAGAGATCATGTGTCGGATCGGATAACCATCAGTGACTATTCGCGGTCGCCAAGGTCACTAGATGATGTTCTGATGACATCATTTATTCGCCACATTGAGTATGCTCAACCTAGAACCTTATACTTGTCATGGTTTTAGGGGAATAATAAACGTATTATTATTATAAGTATTATCAAAAACGGAAAACACGTCTGACTTTCAATCTATGCCAGGGGTTAGGATGTTTACCCGTGGATTATAATGTCATCAAATGACCTTGGCGACCGCGAATAGGATAACCTACTAAGAGAGAAGATTCAGAAATTCCAAAACCATTTCGAGATATTGACTAGAAGACTTGGTAGAAATGATTTCTAAAATTCTGTGGACTTCGACCAGTCGACAGCACGTGATCTTTTAGTTCCAGAAAGCTCGCGATGGGTCTTGAAAACAAAAAAACAAGATTTTGAATCTAAGAAGTGAAGTGATAATGTTCCGAAATTCTGGGTTTATTTCAGACGTTCTTGATAAAGGCAAAGCCATAATATAACGTTGAGGTCTTGGAGTAACTTTTTGAAAAGTGATTCAGTTTGTCTATTCCCTCTGCGGAAAAGATATCACATTCAACCGCTGCCAAATCGACAATTCGATAGGATTTTTCAGATAAAACATCGTATTCATTTCAATTCAACTACATAATTATCAGAACCTCACAACTATATAATATTAATAATTATAAACTTATTATTTATGGTGAGGTACATAACAAAACAAGAAATTATTTCAAGATGATCGTGGCGGCACCGCAAACTTTCATAGTAAACGACCAATTTGTTGTTATTCACACGTTGACTGCGACGGAAAATATTCAGAATTGTGGCCAAAAAAGTCAATCTAATTTTATTATAATATATTATTAGAAACTCTAATTATATATATACAGTATGATGCAAATGTATGGAATAAATTCATTATTTCAGAAATGGGCGACATTTTGAAAAATTCCAAAAACACGTGAGGTTTCATTTTTGAAGCCTCATCTCATGATATCCATATGAGAGATGTTACGTCACCGGATTTGGAGTAATGACGTAATGAACGATTTTTTCAAATGAAAACAGGGGTCATGTGACACCTCGTTTGAAAGGTCTACTGATCGTCTATCCAATAGTCAAAATTTTGCAAAAGAAGATTGAAATTAAAATGAATTATCATTTGGTTGACTGAATCTTGCAGAGATCTTCTACTGAGAATTGAACATCGAAGGGTCGTCTAGTTGAAAAAATACATCGATAAAAAAGTTCTGAACTCTACTTTTTGGATTTTTTTCGGAAGTCGTCTTGTTTTAAAATGAATTTATTCCATACATTTGCATCATACTGTATATATATATTATAAGTTCCATCAAATAATGATATGTCGATTAATTGATATTCGATCATTTGATTTTTCGATCATTTGATTTTTTTATAAATTGATTTTCTATCTAATTATGTTCCAACAAATGATTTCGATCTAATAATTATCGGTAACCTGTTTGTTGGCGTGACAGGTGGCATCATATGATATGGTCTATACCTTTCCTTAGGGTCTCGTCAGATTTAATGAAGATCTTAAGGTTTTTCTATCTCTCTTTCCATTAATCCGTGTTTGGCGTTTAGGATTGATACTTATCAATGATTTTTGAATGAATCGAGGTAATTGAGTCTGAGGATGTTACCTGTACCATCTCCTCCTTCTCACGTAATCCGTGAACTGCTTGTTGGCGTGATAGGTGGCGGGGAAGTCCACAGCGTACTGCCAACCGTCGCGATCGACTCCGCCCGGCACGTGGAAGTCCACTATCCAATCGGACACCCACTGCCACCGGCTTGACATCAGCTTCGCCTGGTCCCTGGTGCGTTTCTGGCGGCCGGACGCGTCGCTCCACATGTATCTGTCGGTCGGCAGCCCTACAACAAACATCATGAATCGATATTGCAATTGTATCTGAATAGGCAGTTGTATCCAAATAGAGATATTCTATCCACTAATCTCAAACTAGAACTTTGTGAGGCTCTAATTTTCTCTCAGTTATCTTACTGTGACAGTATTTATGGTGCAGTATTGCATTATTAGGTACCGTGTCCAACCGTCTTCAACGTATTCAAAATTCCTTCTTCCGATTTTAACGGAATGAGGAAATTTGACCACATGTATGAATTTTTAATAATGTAGTATTTACAGGCAACGACCATACCACGTTGATTTAAGTACCCAGCCTCTTCTCAAAGGGGTTGAGGTAGCAGACAGAACCACCGTGAAATACCTGGGGGTTAAACTGGACACCCGTATGACTCTCAGGCCCAACACCAACTACCTCATACAGAAAACTCAGCTACAAAGAAGATGTATTCGCTGATATCCAGGACGTCTCCATTATCAATGGAGAACAAGGTCCTGGTATAGAACCCAGCAAGCACAAATACATCTCAGAGATAATAAAATTACGAGATTTCGAGACATTGAACCTCCACTGCGATGTTCTGTTCATACATGAATAGAACTATTATAGATCAGCAAATGTCCGCCGCAGGCGGCAATTATCGAGATGTCCTTGATATGTCACGAAACTACCTTCTCCCTAGTTCTTTTTAAAGCCTTTTCATGGACACAACAGAACATTTTCAACGCCTCTTGCTCACATTAAATCGCTGTAAAAAAACATTTTCGAGGTACTTTTCTGAAGCCTTTTGTCAAAATGAACTTTTGCATTAGGATTCCATTTCCCTTGAATGAAAAAATGCATCAAAAATAGATTGAACATAAAAATATTTTCTTGATATGAAATTACCTTCTTAATCGGTTTCTGAGTAGTGCTTACTACACACAGACATATAATTGGAAATAGGTTTCCCAATTTTTGAAATGTTCTCCACAATGCATAATTTTGCAACTGCGGAGAAGCTGTGTATTGATGAATTCGTACTTTTATATATTGATTACACTGAGGCACCGAACAACACATCTTGCATCTGATGGTCATTATTACAAACTAAATAAGTCTTCTAACACAATAAACTTCACCAAATTCCTTTCTGTTCGTTAGCAGCGTGATGTAAGCGTGACACGCTGCAAACGCGAATGCCAATTGCGAACAAGAAGAACAAAATCGAAAACAAATCAGAATTCATCGTATTGTGACGTAAGCATGAGACGTTGTGGTGGGGAAAACAAAGAAAGGGCACAAAAGAACAAAAACAATATAATAATATAATAATAATAATAAAGTTTATTCACCAAGAAAATAATTACAAAAAAGGGTATATATGATTAAAGTGCGTACAGCAAATAAACAGGGGATACCACAGAAGCTTTAGTTCCAAAGTAACTATCGCTTGTACGTGGCTTCATGTTGTTGTATGTTCCATCAATTTTAGTAGGTGATCATTACATAACTAGTTGAAGATGATTCGTTATGAAATAATTTGAAAATATAAAATATATAGATATAAAATGTGAAGATATGAAAATTTAAAAATGTAAAATGTAAAAATGTAAAATGTAAAATTATAAAAATGTAAAATGTAAAATGTAAAGTGCTAAAAGGGAAAAGTTTAAAAATCTAAAATGTACAAATATAAAATATAAAAGTATCAGAATATAAAAATTTGAGTAACTAATTGAGAGATATTCGCATACGTACATATATAGATGTGTTCAGACTTATACAATTAACACGAGAGAACATGAGTATAAATTATATTACTAATAGAAATAATAAATAGACCATTCATTGTTTTGATTGAAGAGTATAAAATACCTAACCATATATTAATTTAGTTTTTGATTGACAAAATCGTGTAGTTTGCTCCTTCCAAAAGCCAAAATCCATTTTTTTATTTTTTTCTTGAATAAATTGATGCTCTGTAAGTTCCTTATATCAACAGGTGTTAGACTATAAAGTTTTGGTGCAAGAAAGTCACAGTGACGTTGCCCTATGGTTTTGTCACAACGAGGTACGCTTAACGATATTGTTTTATTTCTTGTGCTGTAGGAGTGTGTAACAGGGTGGGAAGAGATCTTGTTTTTTTTTATGTTGATTAGTATATTTTGACAGAAAAGTTGCCTACTGTCAAATATTCCCGATTCTTCGTGTAATTTATCATTGGAGAATCTGAGTGGTTTACCGTATATAATTCGTAATATCCATCTCTGAATGACATTTAAGTTTTCTAAGTGCGTGTCATTTACACCACCCCAGCCCACAATACCGTAAGTTAGATGAGATTGAACCAGTGCGTAGTATAATATTTCTAGGTGTTTCGTATCAAGGTAATCTTTCAGATATTTAAATCTATATAACATACCTCTTAACTTGTTGACTATATTTCTTATGTTAAGGTCCCACTTGAGGTGTCGGTCAATTACAATACCTAAATATTTAATCGATTCAGCTTCAGGTATTTCTGAATTTGGTCCGATAATCAAAGGACCCATATTTGGTAATCCACTGGAGTATGAGGAAAACGGTAGATATTTTGTTTTTTCCAGGTTGAGAGTTAGTGTATTATATCGAAACCACTTTTCTATAACTCTAAAATCATCCTCCACTTCTGCTTTCAAGGTGTTCCAAGATTTCGCCTCATAGAATATAGCAGTATCATCTGCAAAGCTCAAAATTTTGCCCCTGGTTCCTAAAGAAAGTAAACTGTTGATATACAGAGTAAACAACAGTGGACCAAGTACAGTTCCTTGTGGAACACCGTATGTTACATATCTACTATCACTCAACTCCCCATCAATACTTACTTTCTGTTCACGCTCTGTCAAAAAGCTTTTTAATATTCCGTATATATTTCCTCTTATCCCATAATGGTCTAGTTTGTCGAGTAATTTTCTGTGGCACACGGTATCGAAGGCTTTAGAGAGGTCAACGAAAATGCATAGTGATGGTTTACTTTTATCCAGTGAGTTATAAATATTAGATACTAATTGGTAAATTGCGTCATCTGTTGATTTTCCCTCTCTAAATCCATACTGATATTCAGATATCAAGTTAAATTTCGTACAAAAGCTGAGTATCCTGATTTTGAGGATTTTCTCAATTATTTTAGATAAGTTTGATATTAATGAGACTGGTCTATAATTTATCATTTCAAATTTACTACCACTTTTGAATAGTGGTTTCACGATTCCAATTTTCAATGATTTTGGAAAATAACCTTTTTCGAAACAACAGTTTATTAAATGGGTTAAGGGGGCAGTTATCTGTTTTGATATGTTTTTCAAGGTTTCAGCGCGTATATTGTCGTGACCAGGAGCCTTTTTTGGTTTCAGTTGCATTATGATGTCGTGGACTTCTCTGGTATCGGTGGGATAAAGATACATTGAATTTTTCAATCTTGTGTCATGTTCTATATAGTCATCCGGAACTTTTATTTTACTTGCATATGTTTGACCCAGAGTACTATAATATTCATTGAAACTGTCAGAGATGTGCTTTTTGGAAAATAGTGGTGTACCGTCAGTTGATATAATTTTTTCTATTTTTGTTTCTGGTTTGGATCGATTGCAGATATCATTAACGCATTCCCAGAGAGCCTTGGATTGGTTCATGTTATTTTTGATTAATTTTTGTGTATAAGTTCTTTTAGAATTTTTTATTATCTTATCTAGTTTATTTTTGTAAGTATGGTACTGTGTTTTCAAAGTTTGGTTGTTTGGGTCTTTCATTGATGTTTTATACATTGTCTCTTTTTTGTTTATCGATGTTAAGAGTGCAGAGGTTATCCATTTTCTTCGTTTTATATTTTGTTTTTTTAGCTTGACATTTTTTGTATTTCTTTCAATATATGAGTTGAGTTTTTGAATGAATTTATCAGTCATTTTGTCTATATCCCGTACCGAGTATAGGTCGACCCATGTCTCGTTTTCCAAATCGGTTTTTAATGATGAGAAGTTTATATATTGCTTGTATTTATTTCCATTTGGAATATTATTATGTGAACTTTGGTTTAGATCTATTGTTAATGCTATAGGGTAATGGTCTGTTATATTGAATTGGAAGACAAATGATTGGGTATTTCTATTGGATACAGTTTTAACAAAGAAGTGGTCAATACTTTCAATATCCTTCTAAGACCTCTTTGGGAAGTGCATATTACGCCTCAAAAAAACATCCTCATGCCTACATTTCTAAAACATCCCAAAACATCCCAGGGATACCTCTCAGTAGGCAAACAAAGAAATGCCACAGGGATGTTTGTGCTCGCTGGGAAGTAAATCATCAGGCCTGTGATGACGAACGCGTGTCCTGTGTACTGCAGCATCCCACCTACTCAAATGAATAGGTTGCAGGGACTCCGTATTATTACCAACGGTAATAGATACTCAAGAGTGGCAGATCTTTACGAGAGATGTGGTAATTTGCCAAGGATCAGAGAACATATAATCAAAACAGCCAACAAGTTTTACAAATACCACATCAACGTGTCTCTAGCCGCAGCGTTAATATTAAGTAGCCTGCTTATCAGGCCTGCTAGGGAACTTCAGAGGTCTCCCCTCCACTTTGAATCATTAAATAATTTACCTATTTTATTGAAAAAAAAATCAACTCCTCAGTTAATCCTAATTTCATTTAAAAGGACAAAAACCAAATAATCGAACACGTAAGCACGACACAAATTGAACTTAAATGCGCACTGGATCTGATCAAAGTGATATTGTTTCAGACCCCGATTGTTCAGAACATTTTTGAGAAAGATGATTCGTTGACATTTCCGACATACCTAATATCTAAGATTCATATTAAAATTTTGTGAGGAATCACCTACTGAAGTTTGTCGAAGTATTTTTGAATCATTCTGTACATACATCTGTGACCTTTACTTTTTGTATTATATTCAAACGAAATTAGTTCATGCTTTAAATATTGTGAATTCGTGCTTTATGCAGACGACTTAAAAATATTTTCTTGTGTCAAAAGTCCAGGTGATAGTGTCTTAATCCAACGCGATCTTGATTGTTTCTATAAATACTGTGAATCAAATGAAATTTTCTTAGATTTAGATAAATGCTTCTTCATCTCATTCACTAAAAACATCAATACATTTTCTTATTATTATAATCTCAACACCATATTGAAACAGGTGAATCAAATCAAAGATCTGGGGATCATTTTCGACAGAAAAATGACTTTTTCGGCTCATATCGACTATGTTGTTTCAAAAAGCAATAAAACATTAGGATTCATTATAAGACAATGTAAACATTTCAATTCGATTCATACAATGAAAGTATTATTTTATTCTTATGTGTACAGCAAAATCAATTTTGCAACAGTTGTCTGGTGTCCCCAGTATACCGTTCAGAAACAAAGACTTGAGCTGATTCAAAACAAATTTTTGCGATTTATGGATTACAAGATCAGTGGAACATATAATTACCTCGCGGGCACATATAGACTCAGGCAACAATTCCAATTTCATTCACTAGAGGCCCGCCGAGAACAATCAGATATATATTTTTTATTTAAAATTCTGAACAATGTAGTAGATGCTCCTAATTCATTATCAAATATCTCATTTCATGTTCCTTCACGTATCCTTAGACAAAACGAGCTATTTTCAGTTCCATTTCGTCGCATAAATTCAGGAATAAACTCACCACTACACAGAATGTCAACTCTTTATAATAGAAATTTTTCTTCAATCGATCTATTTCAGTTTTCATTGAATGTTTTCAAAATAAAAATGAAGAATGTATATTGCACAAATATATATGTCACATCTTTGCCAATCTTGAATATATAGGTTAGATACATAGGTATTAGATTTCAGATTAGATTTTAAATTCAGTCTTCTGTCATGAAAAATGCTTTCAAATGGATAATATAAAGCAAAAGTAATTATTATAGGTAGGCAGGTGATTTTTTTCATATTGTCAATGTCAAACACCAAGTAATATACATTAGAATAGTTGAGTCATGAGGGTAAATCGAATATACTCTGTACACCATATTACTTACTGTCTTAGTGGATAATATTTTGGACCTTGTCGTCTGTTATTGTCCTACTTGATTCTCAATAAATAAACAAATAAATAAATACACATACCTGCCGACGTGTATCCGGTGACTGGATTCCACCTTTGGTTCTCGTACACCCTGAAGTCCTGCGAATCGGACATCGGCTGGACGGCGTGGCTGTCAAGGGTGCCGAGGCACCCGCCGCCCCAGCCGCCCGTATGCACCCACGCCGTATGATCGTACCCCACGCCCCACGTGACACCCGCCTGGCAGGTCTCCACCCGCTTCAGGTGGCCGCCTGAAAGACAAAAGCACTCAATCAATACGGGATAGTCGTGATTCGTGGAGTGCAGATGTGGTATAGGCGACTGAGATTAAGATCGTAGCGCCAGAACGGTGAATGTCGGTACTACTCTATGGGCCATTGGCGGATTGTTTACATTGTTTGGTAATGGTGTTTATGTTCATTTCGTTTTGAGTTTTTGACCGTGCAGCTTTGTTATTTGTCAATTTTCGAACTTTGTATTTTCCAGCGGTCTATTGTGTTTTGATTGAGCACTATATTATCTCTGTTCAACATTAGATAACGTCCCTACCTCTAGTTGAACTCCATATATACCAACATACATAAGCTGTAAGTTTTTATCATTTTTGAACAAGAATTCTCATGAAAACCTGTGTGGGATGTTGATTTCCAATTCGAATATATGGCTGGGATATTCCGAGGGACAGAGGGACATTCCCCTGATAGCATGATATTTTTAAAAGAAAATCCAGCATACTTTTTGAGAATAAAATGTTCTTTCGAAGGTGAATTTAGGTATACAGTTTCTACTTGACTTTTTACAACATAATCATCAAAACCCTGATTGATAACATTCTTTACTGTTTAAAAATTGTACTGTTCATGAGTAAAGATATAATCAGTTCAAAGTTTGTTTGTTTTTTTTTACCATCACCCCAAGAAGTAGGTATTATATTCATAATAAACATACATTTGAGAATATAATATATGAGTACATTTTCAGTGAAGTGTAAAAAACAATCTCTCATTATGTTCAGACACTTTTTCCAATCTTCAAGTTATGAATCCACACCTTTCTCCTACCGATCACTTCGTTATTTCCCAAATCATTAGTTTCAAATGCTAATTTAGACTGTCCTGATTTTTTAAAGGATTGAAAGCTACACTCGGGATATTTTTGCTCAAGGTGAACAATCAGGTACACAACAATAATGACTCATGTTTTTAAGTGTTTATAGAAGTTCTCAAACAAAATAATAGACAATTAAAACACAACTACTTCTTATACAAAATACACGCAAACTAATGTAAATAAAGCAATCAATGGCCCATACGTTAGTTATATTAGACAACGGTAGAGGGCGTACTCCTTAGCATGAATCGCCTATTGTTTGTATGGTGAGATTCTTTTTTTTTTGGTGGTTGAAATCTCCCATTTGATAGTGTGGGAGTCCCCTGACTCCAGGGTATATTCACTTAACACTCCATCCTGTTTGTAGGCTCGTCTGACTTAGAGTTCCTAAATGTACTTGACACTGCTGTTTTTTGTATATGGGTTGCGTGCAAGAACTGTCAGATGACCGACCCGAGGCACAACATTGAAACACAAACTCACTTTTCTTATTTGTTTACAAGTGATTGAAATAGTTTTTCACAATCATTTTGGCATATGAATCGTATTTTTTTGCTATTCATTAATTCACTCATCACAATGTGCTGTTGTACAATGCACAAAAACTGCAGCAGAAGACTAAGGAATCCTGTTGGTACATTATGTTTTAAAAGTAAGTACCAACTATAGTCACTCACATATAGTTTTCATTTTTGAAATTTGGTAATTTCTCTGATTTCTCTTCGGAATTCCTTCTGCAATAGGAGCTAATAGAAATACACATGAAATTTCTAAAATAATGCAAGAAGATTGGATTCATGCAATCAAACGGGATAACTGGTCTGACATGCTGACGAAATATGATCGTGTGTGTTGTAGACATTTTCAATCTATTAGCAGTATTAGCTTGTATTGCAGAAGTGGCAGAAGGAATTTTAATAAGGAATGACAACATTTCATAATGATAACTATGTGAGATTACCATTTACCTGAAAAATCATATTCCTTCGTATCTCGCTGCATTTTTTGTGCATTGTACAGCAGCACAATGCGAAGGCATGCTTGATTTAATGAATAGCGCAAAAACACGATTCGTTTGCCATAATATTGTGAAAAACTATTTTAATCCTTTGATTCCTATGTAACCAAATAAAAAAGTGAGGTTGTGTTTCAATAATTCACAGAAGAGTGAGGTTGTGTTCCAATATTTTGCCTCCAGGGTCGGTCATCGTGCACGCGACCTATTAGAGTACGGACACTATGACAAGCACTGAAATTCAGACATAACCACAAATAAATTGATGGAAAAAGCGGGAACTGACAGTACACGGACGTACATGACATGAATTTCAAAGGTTTGACAAATTGAGAGAATTAGAAGAAAGATGCAAGTTTGTGCAGTTTCCAACTGTGAGAATACAGGAAATCAATTCACCCTATCCGAATTTCCATCGGATAACGTAATTCTACAAAAATGGAAACAGAATATGATGCGGCCGACATGGAATATAGGTTCAGGCCACAAAATCTGCGAGGTATTCATCATTGAATATTTCGAGAAGAAATAATTTTCTAATTAATTTATCGTTTCATTTTACCCACTCGAGGAGACGCTATGCACTCTCATACAAAAATCAAAGACAGAGAAAGATATATGGATGTACTCTTCCCAGGACTTGTGGAGGAAGGAGGATGCGAGGATCCTTTATCTAAGCGAAAAACATATTCTTGCCCTTGTCTGGCAAAACATATGATTTGCTTCAAAATCGTTTGTGGTTATGTTTGATTGTCACTGCTTGTCTAGTGTCCTTACTCTATTATACAAAAAACCTCAAAACAGCAGTGTCAAGTACATTTAGGAACCCTAGTCTGACTGATGTACCGACAACACTTATGCCTAGTGGCCCATTGTATCTTACCTATACGCCGTTATCAATTTTACCATATACGACTCATGGTGCTCACTAAGGGCGACTTCAATATCAAAGACCCTTTTCGTTCAGGTTCCTGAAGATTACACTTCCGATCCCTGTTCTCGTCTACGAAGAAGGCCATAAGTTTTCCTTCTCCTACGAGTAACGGGGGAAGAGGTTGGTCCAGCCCTGTGGTACCCCCTGCACAGATCTAAGGATGTTTACTCTGAGATGCGCCCTGTTTCCCAGAGGCCCCGTTAGCGACCTCATACCTCGGTGCCATTCATCTATCGCCACGGGTTCCCACAGCTTGGATTAGGTTGCCAGACCCTCGTTGACCAGCCCTTGGCCACCTAGACAGATATCAGCAAATCAACCTATCCTCACCACAGATGCCCACAAATAATTGTTCCATCTGGCCCTGAGATAGCAAAGATAGTCTACAAATTCTTCATCTGTCGAGCGTCCGCTGTCTGTCCTCCCCACACCACTTGATGGTGAGGTTGAGCTTGGAGGGAAAGAGGAAAAGAGAAATTGGCCAAAGAAAGGCCGATAGGATAGATTGGAGAAGGAAAAGAGAAGAGGATATCACCCAAGACAAATTGGCTAGGGTACGTTCTACCGATATATCACAAATGATATCAATCTTCGAATTTTAAAATGGAAAATTTCACTCACAAAGAATGCATTAATAAATTTGAAGCAATGGAGAAAGACATTGTTACATGGTGAGGTTGTCCTCTAAGGGAAAAACTTTTAGGACACTGGTGACGTCTAGGAAATATAATGTCTCTATAAATGATCGCAGCATCGTAGTGACCAATGAAATATTTTATTGATTTGCCGCTTTCCTTTCATGGAGATCGAACTATAACATCATTTATAGAAACCCTGTACTATAGGCAAGGGAAATTTACGCGGGTGGGGAGCCACAGGCGATGCAGGGGCGTAGTGGTCTCACAATGACTGTTTTCAATGGTAAAGCACGCTGTTGTTCCAGCCACATGGTCTAAATTGCACGAGTGCAAGGAAAGATTCTCGCTGCTTGTATAACACCAATGTATTTTTGGTTAGAATTCCTTGAAATTGATTGTTCTAAAATTGCTCTTATTCATCATTCGGTTGCCCCCTCACTAGCAATACCAATCAGACGAACTAGACAAGCCCAGTCAGCACATCCTTTCCTTGTCAACCTCGAAAGATGTCGAACAGCACTTTATCGATCCCACATACCGGCAAACCGACGTGGATTGAAACTGAAACTTCTATCACGAGGCTACGCTGGCCACTAAGCTTCATACCAAATCTCAAATACCATACATTTCATTAAGAAATAAAATAATGTAGCTAAGGAATCTGAAGTGTGATTGAGAGATGAAGATTGAAGAATGAAAAGAGTTGATTCAAGATCGTCTTACCGATTTGCCTCCAGTACAGATCCAGCATATTGATGATGAGCACGGGACTCTTGATCACCAACTTGAACAGCTGCATCCTACCCCAATAGCTCAAAATGGACACGGTCTGTGGAGGAATCCTGTGTCTGAACGAAGTGAAGGTCTGATCATTCACGCTTATCAAAAAAGCGTCTTCTGAAGTCTCGATCTTAACGGTGAATTCTTGCCCCTATACATAGTGAATTAACCTTACAAACAGTCAACATCAATTTCTTCAAAAATATCAACAATCAAATATGCTATTATTTTTGTGAAAGTTTAACACACGCTATATTTCAAAAATTCTATCAAATTTTGGTGATAAGTATTGATTTTATATAAACACTTGTGGAACTTTATCGCTGAAATATAAGTGAATTCATAATAAAATGGCGCAGTCGGTAGGACCACTCTGGTAGTGAATCATTCAAAATGACACCAGTACCAGTAATTGAATGTTGATATTCAAAGTGTGATTAGCATGGAGGAAACATTACCGGTACGAACGGATTTGGGCCACTTTTCTCTTCTTCACCCCAATTTCCGTCAATCATGGAATTCCGTACAACGCATCCCTCTGAAAAACGGGGATTGATGTGCAGGCAGGTGTTTTCGAGTTCCGTGTGGGATTTGTGTTTGATTTTGTAGGTGACAGGTGCATCCAAGTTGATAGCGATCCTTTCTGCCTCGTCCGCAACACAACCTATAATACAATTACATAAATTCACTTGTATCTATGTTTAACCGCAACCATACAACCAGAGCACATAAAATGCGGATATTTACAGTACATACAGTTCATTAATAATTCGAAACCTTATAGATACCAATCATGGAATACCAGACTCTTGCTGTCAATGTGGAAGTTTAATATGTACGTATATTTTCTCTTCCTCGTAAGATCAAATTTCACTTCAGAAAAAAATAAATGAAAAATGAACTTGGCTCCTTCACCATTTCTATGATGTACTTTATGTTAAATAATATGAGTATCAATCATTCTGTATAATATTCAAGACCAGAACAAGATAGTGTTTTATATGAAAACAATAGTTGTTATCGTCGACAAGTTATTCTTATGTCATTATTATGTATGTCAGCTTGAATGTCAGAATTATTACTTAAAATAAAAATAGAAAAGTTCCGCATCCGAAGTTATTTTTATTCTTAGGAATGGAAATATCAAAAATTGAAAATGGACTGAAGGTCAATCAAACAAAGATGATTTCAAGACTGATCAGCGAATTTAACATGACAGAATGTCATCCTATCGAAACCCCAATGGAGAAAAACTTTCAAATATCTAGATCATCCAACAATGCAGCTCTGGAAGGCTGGCAAGAGAATTCTGCGTTACCTAAATACTACAAGAGGCTATGGTTTGAAGTTCACAAAAGGAGGCAGTGGTATAGAAGGAGTATGTGATGCAGACTGGGGTGGTGACAAACAAAGTAGAAAAAGCATCAGTGGATTTGTTAGTTTTCATGCTGAAAACATCATTGCTTGGCACTCCAGAAAGCAGAACTGTGTAGCCCTGTCCTCAATGGAGGCTGAATATGTCTCCGCAGGTGTGGCAGCGCAAGAACTCATCAATCTGAATGGTATTTTATCAGAATTTGGTGAGATCAATCCAATTATTCTGAAATTGGATAATCTTAGTGCTATTTCTTTAGTTAAAAATTTTGAAAATTCCAAACGTAGTAAGCACATAGAAATCAAGTATCATTTCATTAAAGATCTGTGTGTTAAGAAACAAATTTTTCTCAAATATGTATGCTCAAATGAAAACTGTTCAGATATTTTTACAAAGGCTCTAGGTAAAGAAAAATTTCAGAAGTTTAGAGAGTGTTTAGTAAGTGAATAGGAGAATTCTTGTGCAATCTAAATGTAATTCAAAAACAATGTTTCCTTTGAGTTTATTACATTTACATTGAGGGGCTATGTTAAATAATATGAGTATCAATCATTCTGTATAATATTCAAGACTAGAACAAGATAGTGTTTTATATGAAAACAATAGTTGTTATCGTCGACAAGTTATTCTTATGTCATTATTATGTATGTCAGTTTGAATGTCAGAATTATTACTTAAAATAAAAATAGAAAAGTTCCGCATCCGAAGTTATTTTTATCACTTTACACAGAGTTAAAATACGATTTCCTGTGTAAGTGGGACGTTGCCGGCATTATCAATATGTCTATGTTTCCGGAAATGGTTCTTTGAATACATTATAACTATATCATAACAGCAATGGGGTAATGTTTTTCAATCCTAATTCGTGTGCGACAAGGGATATCAAGAGGTTCTCACCGACCCTAGTTAGTTCTGTAAACTTTGTCAGGGCATATCGGGATAAGGATATTAGTTTGTCGCCTCGGTCTCCGGACCTAGCTGCCTGAGATTTCTTTTTGTGAGGATACCTAAAAACGAAGGTGTTTAAAACTGATCCACCTTCGTTTTTCAAGTATCCTCACAAAAAGATACCAACTGATATTCCTGTTCAGAGAAACGATACGCCCTGGGATCGGCGAGGACTTCTAGAACACGTTCGATATTTTCAGGAGTTCGAACTGTTTTGGCACTACATTTTGATTCATTCTAAATAAATGGTAAGCCATGCAGGTCCTCATGAATCTCTTATTTGGTGGACGAAGTTGATTTCTAATGAAGATACTTTACTTTCGTTAAATAACAAAATGATAATCATAACTTGTCAGTATTTTTTTTTCAAATGAATTCGTTCCTTTATAAATCGGATCCATTTTCTAGGAACGTTGCAGATTATATCTTGCAACAGCGGATAATACTTTGAGCCTATCCACACCACACAAAATACTGACAGGCACACCGAGAGCTGCTCTGATTTTGCGGTTATGTATGTTCTTGTTTAACAGTTTCACTTATGTCTATATTTTATAGTTGTTTTGTTAGTTAGTTGATCATCGTTATTTTTCATGATATTATCAACAACGACGCCAAGTTGTCTTCTTCTTCTTCTAATTTTTTTTTCGTTTTTTATTCGTTAGCTCGCTAGCTATATTCTCTATCATCAGCTATATTTAGACTAGATTTAACGTCACAGAAGTCCGCCCTGAAAATCATAAATTGCTTTATTTTGAAAATAAAAACGACTTGTACTTTATCGATCGCCATTATGTACAGCGTGGACATAAAACTGAGGTGTTCCGAAATTTTATGAAAATTTATCTGAAGGAACTTCCTCATGTTTCAAATGAAATGATGTAAATCTTGATATTTCTATAATTACCTGTGAGTGTTATTACAGTCCCTGGAATGCAACCAGCATGTAGGGCAACTTTGAAAGGTGATTCGCGTTTGCTGAGGTTGTATTTTTGAACGTAGAAGTCATCTTCACGCAGTTGATGGGATTCTACGAGCGAAGGGTCCCATACAAAGATGTCCCCCAAACCTGTTGTGGCCCAAACGCTTTCTTCACTGGGTTTACCTGTATTAATACCACATACATTATTTCATCGGCCATTCAATTTGAGAGTTATGTATGTTTTCTAGTAGTGACATCACCCAGTTACTCTTCAAAATGGGGAATTTTATCTTTTCTCAAAGTGTATGAAATACTGATAAGTCCCAACAATAATAATTCTCCTATTGTTTCTCTTAATTTAGAATTGACTCGGCCGTTACTTGATGGAAATCCATGGCAAATGTAAAAACTTCACAAACGATAAGATTTCCACAAATGTTTGTGGAAATCTTATCGTTTGTGAAGTTTTTACGTTTCTCTTAATTTTTTAACCGAACATCAGCATGAAAAATTCGAAATATAACTCTTATGTCTCTCTAGGCACTATCAAGCTGTTCAAAATTATTAGATCATTGGTTTCAGACTTCGGAAAAAGTATTTCAAGTCCATTTTTCTCCTACCTAGTGCATGTTGGATTTTTCCACAAGTTGAAGCGAAATGAGCTTGCCATTCTTCTAGCAAGGAATCGCTACTGAACTGTAGTTTTATGATCGGCGTTCGATGCCTTGGTAAGTGTACGGCTAGTCTTGGGTTTCCTGGGTCACTGCATAACTGTACGCAGGTTATGTCAGACAAACTAATGGAATACTGCAAAAAATACAAGATAATAAGGGACCACAATAAGAGTATAGGAGTTGAGGGTTTCTTAAGATGATATTTTCGCTCCACCCTAATAATGATAATAATAATAAATCATTTTTATTCATCACAACAACAACAACAAAAAATATAGATAGGTACTATACATTAAAAAAGATAAAGGTATGTGTGATGAAACGGTGAAGTGTCAGCTAAAATTGTTTTCGAACTTCTCCAGAGAGAAACCATAAAAAGTGTAATAAAAAATCAAACGAAAATATTTCAACAAAAAGTCGTGCGGTCTTAGAGTCTAATACATTAAATAAGTTCGTAATAAACTACTAGCCGATAATGAATCATACCTTTAATGATGAGATATCTAGTATGAGTAATTAATATTCAATTGAAAGTATTGGTATTATTCCAAATAATATGAGCAAAAACAAAAACAAAACAAAAATCTATCAGTCCAGTGATTCATGGCGGAAAGTCGGTTCCAGGTTAGTATATAATTTGCAAGCGCGATACGAGTAGCTGCGAGTAAAATATGCTGTGGAATGTTGGGGTATAATGAAGACATCTTTTTTCCTTGCAGCCACTCTATTATTTTCCGTAAGCACTAATGTGTTGAGCAAGTATGGGGAATTTTTGGTTTTCAACATTTTGTGTGCGAAACAAAGAGTATGCAAGTCACGTGTTTTGTCCAATCGTAGCCAGCCAATTTCATTAATGTGTCTCAAGGATTAATTTTAATTTGCCTTGGTTGGATGTCACGTAGAGAAAGAAGTTTTTTGAGAGTACCATAGGAGCTCTGGCACAAAGAACGAACGTGTTTGTTAAATAAGCTACAATCCAATATTTTTGCATTTCATTTACTGTCCGTACCTCATATTATTGAAATATATGTCAATCCTTTGGGAAGCTAGCGTTCTTTTACTTTTGGAGCGAAAAAAAGTCACCGTGGATTTGTTGGCATTCAAGTTCAAATTGTGCGTCTTGGAATTATTGAACAGTGATTCCAAGTCCGTATTCACTATAATCTTCGATCGGAAATTGATAAATTAATTGTGTGTCATCGGCATAGTGGAATATTTTGCAATGTCTAGTAAATTTGTATATGACCGAAATGTAGATGGAGAACAAGAGGTCTAAAGATTTAACCTTGTGGTACACCAAGTATCAGACATATCTCCTTCAAAAATAACACATTGATGATATTGATGACCGACTCACCATCGCAGAAGCACCGTCAGCATGCAAAACTGTCAACGTGCCGCTCGTTAACACCCACTCCAGCTGCAGAATGCAATCGACGAACGTTGAACCAGTGGTACCAGTACTGACCCTCGCCTCCCCACTGTGCACCCATGAGGTCGTCTCGACAGCCGCCTCGTAGTGCGAGTACTTCTCTGTAAGGTGATCGATTGATTGATATACATTAATTCTCAACTCACCAATTAAATGAAAATCTTTCAGTATTGACTATTTTTTAACATAAAATCAAACTTTTCAACTCAAGCGGTTAGCGAAAAATCGGATGGTATATCAATCATACGCATGCATTTGCCATTCTTTGGTGATCTACCCACATACTTTCACTTATAACTCGATCGCTAGATTATTCTTCACACTATTAATAACGATAATAATGGTAATCATTTATTTTCCTTTGGATAATAAATAACTGTGGCATTTCAATATTCTTCCACAAATAACGGGGAACAAACTAAACCCGTCTTAAGGGGCTTTGAACAATCAAACTACTTTATTGGATATGATCTCGAGGAACACAATAATTATTTATGCACTAATGTATTTTTATTGACTCAGCGAATGTTATATAACTGACATGACTCCAATTCTCCAAGACCACACCGGGGTGCATGATATTATCGTGCCTAGATATTCAAAAAGAAGATAGTTTCTTGTAGGGACTCTTACGTAGTTAATTACACTAGAATACGTAGTTTGATGATTTTTTTGTATTTGCTGATGATGAAATTCACATCTCTCTTTCACAACTATTGACCATAAGCAATCAAACCACCAATGGGATATAAAATTATACATATTGTGCACTATTTGAAAAATTGATGTGAAGAAAGTTTGAATTTCGTGAAAATCATACAATATTTCTTACCACCCTGTATAACTTTCGAAGAAGATGGGTATTTTATATGATAGAATATGCTACCGACTAGTCCGACTACCAACAGTCTTGAAAGATTCCATAAATTCTTAGTAGTATGAATGATGGGTTTGTCTAAAAAAATGTCTGCGCATTTCATGAAACACTAGTATAACTTGGCAACGCCTTGTCGGATTTTCAAAAATAAAAAACTGATAATTAGCCTAGAGGGATGAGAATTCAGATATGTTGAAATATATGGGGTGTTCCATTTGAAAAAATTGATGTTCGATTTTGTGAGCCTTTCTTGCGCCCCTCGTATAAAATTTACTCATTCCTGAAGTTAGCACTCATGATGCGATATGATGTGGAATTATAATATTTTGAAAATTCCTATTGGTTCAGAAGATATTCAACTGTCCCACTGGTCTAGGGACACACTGTATATGAGTAATGGGCACTCACCTTTGGACATCAGTCTCGTCTGCAAATCTTCCAGGATTTTTCGCCGCCACGGCTGTTCGAGCTCCTCGCTAGCATTGGGCGATGCTGTGTCGCCGAACCAGTTAGGGAGTTGGTTGAGATCGATGGTGCATGCCCCAGATTCTACCTTCAACCACGCGATTTGATAATCAATTATCAAAGAATATAATAAATAATTATTCATTATACAAGGGAAAAAAGTAGTAGATTTTAGCTCCAGGTGGTGGTCTCCCGCTACGCGTCGGGAGACAACAAACAGTAAGCTAAAATCTAATATTTTTCCCGTGTATAATACAATATTTTTTTCTGTGACAGAAAGAAAGGTGCTTTAATATTGAGAAGATATTACATAGTTCTTACACCTCCATTGTAGGCATCTTTGTTGCTATGTCATATTCTGTCAATTTAATTCTGTGATTTGATTTTTGATTTGAGAATCATTGCGAAGTCATGTATTGATTTAGTAGTTATTTTGAATGAAATTAAATTTTTGAATTCGAGTTTTCTCTTTCTCCACCGGAGTTAGTTGAGGCAGCGAAAGAAGCATCACAAAAATTATTGCCAGCTAAATCGCGGAAAATTTACGAAACCGCGTATTCAAGAATTATGGAATGGAGGATGAAAAAGTCATGCAGTTCTTTCTTGAAAACGGTGGTATTTGCCTATTTTTCTGAACTGGTACAGCAACAAAAGTCATCAACAGGGTGGTCAAATTATTCAATGATTAAAAGTATGTTACAATCCAATAGACATCTCAAAATATCCCAAACTAATTACATTCCTGAAACAAAAGGGGAAAGGTTACAAGCCCTAGAAATCAGCGATTTTTACGAGTACACAAACTGGTGAATTTATAAATAATGCTCCCGATGAGCTTGTCGAATTTGTGAAATTAATCAGGTAACATTAGATGATATTGAATATTCAGGAACGATATTAATTGTAAAACTCAAGCAAACAAAGAATGATGTGGACAGAAGATTCGTAGTAACTGAAGAATATATAAAATTGTATCAATCAGGTTGTGGGTGAAAATCAGATTTATAAGGTACCTAAAGCAGTAGCTAGTTTTCTGAAACTCGAAAATGCTACCTCATATACAGGTCAGGTCATTCATTTCGAAGATGGTCTGGTACACTAGGTACCTATAGGACTTTATAGCCACCAAGCAATATTCTATCGGTAGGATGGAAAAAGCGCTCACCACAAGGAATAACAAAATTTGTTCAATTCAAGTAAGTGAATTCAATAAAACATGACAGGTATCAAATTAATTGTTTATCAATTATGAAGCTTTGACGAGATATGAATATGAAAGCAAGTATATGTTTGGTTTGTGAAAATAACAATGACAATTTATAAGCAGAACTTTTTCTGACCGTTCCTGATAGCATCAAACAAAGAAAACCGGGTTGAATGCAGTGATTCTGAAAATTATTTCACAGATATGACATCACCTGCATTGTTGTGAGATGAATCACTGTTGCATTGAGATTGCCAGATGAACTGTTTACGAAATCAGAACCTTGTTAGTTATACTGACAACTTGAGTTAGTTCGATAACACAATTTAATACTCTGAAGAGTAACCTTGCATTTGAAGGGTCGCGTATATTATAGAGGTATCTACTGGAAAATGTAAAAACTTTACAAACGATAAGATTTCAAGCACACATGTTCTGCTAATACAGTAGCTTCGTCAGGTGATATACTGGTACAATAAACTTAAAAAAAAGTATCTACTGGAAATTCCGGAAATTGGGGTTGTTCCATGGCTGTTGGCGAGCAGTGTATATCTTGAAGATGGTCCCACTTAGGTATATCTCTCGCTCCAGCAAATTTCAGGATCCTTACCCAAGGATTACGTAAGATACAGGGGTGTTTCAGGTATTATTGTTAACTATACTTCCTTATACCAGAACTTGATTCTGACTGGAAGTTACATTTTCAATAAATAAAATATAATAAAGATACCTACACAGGACCAAGGCGCCTCGTACTCCGCCCAGCCGAGCTCCTCGTCCTCCCCGAAGATGCATGACTCCCTGCTCGACTCGCTCCACACGCTCTCGTCCGTCTCCGGATGCACCTCGGTGCCGACGATCGACCCCACCGAGCGCACGGGGCTCCACGCCCTCGGGTTGCGCGGCTGCGTCTCGAACCGCCCATTCGCCTCTGCCGCCCCGCCCACCGGGAGGGAGGCGGGAGCGGTGGGGGCGGAGTGTGGGTGGTCGGACCAATGGGCGGCCGAGTGCTCGATCATGCTGCTGGGGCGAGTCTGGGTCTGGAATGGCATAGAGACGAGTTATGCCAGATGAATTGTATTTTCACAAGGCAAGTTATGGGGTTGAGGTTTGCTAACACAATTAGTGGAAGAAGGAGTTATGTTACAAATAAGATTTTGTGAGAAAAATAGGTTTTAGTAAAGTAAGCTGGCATTTTTAAATGGAAGCTAGTTCAATAATTCGATTCATGCCATTGTGACGAACAGTTTTAGGTAGATTTTTTAGGATTTACAGCATTTTCCCCAGGTCTACGTTCAGTGGCAGGTCTGGACCACCGTAGTCGGACCACAACAAGCATAGGAGTTCTGATCGACATCGATCCATTCATGGTCCATGCATTTGTATTTGTATATAGTATCTGTCAAAGTTGTCATGAGAACCTCCATTTGATTTCATTTTTATTTCGACATTTAAGTGGTTAGATTGGTTTTTGAACGATGGTGCTTGTTGAAATCAATTCGGTGGACATTCTCAAATATATGCTGGAAATGCTATTTGTGTCAAGTGAAAGGTGTGCAGATCAAATTGAAGACATGTTTTGTACCAACATGACCACTCTTATTTCCATTCAGATCCATTAATCACAGGTTTTACATCTTGGTGCAATGTATAATCGGTGAATTCTGTGAGGGTATTGCATCTGCTTCACAAAAAATATCTGTTGAATTGATGTTGATTTTGTTGGCCATCATACTATCTCACCCGCGAAGAGATTCGTTCAAATTCAAATGCATTCGAATGTCATTAATTCATGACAAATATAACTGACATTTACTGACGGAAACAATGGACTGAACGATTTAGACCATGCTTGGCCTCATTTTAAATAAGACTACATGGACCACGGTCTGATCCACAGTCTGACAACGGTCTGAACGAATTGAGATTAATTGACCATGGTCCGACCTGCCGCTGAACGTAGCCCTGGATTTATGCGAACATAACCCCTTCTTCCATTTATTGACATGTAGGCAAAGGGCACATAGCTCCTTCTTCCATTGTATCCTCGATGTTTAATGTAACAGCAACATAGCCCCTTCTAACACTGTGTATCTGCTCAGATATGAAGAATAGAAATAAATCCTAAAGGGTCAAGTTACATATGCACGTAACACCTTCTTCCATGCCAAACGAATATTTTCAGAAAATGTTACTTGACCCCTTCTTCCACTTGCCCCTTCTTAGTAACGCAACATTGAAGAACAATACAAAAAAAAGTGAGAAATATAATTCTTTTGGCGGTTTTTTGCCTATAACTCGATGAATATCAACGTTTCTCCAATAACCTTCCTATCCTAAATTGAAGTGAATGAAGTTTCCTACAAATTTCTTCACTTCAGTTTCTTTACTCGATGACCGTTAGGGCTCGAGCGCTAGTTGAACGTTGACGGCTGTCTCCACTCCAAACCACAGATTAATATTAATGGCTGTCAATTAGTGAATTCCTCGTGATTCCCTACTATTATTTGGATTGTATATAATAAAAATCGTCCAGGTCGTTTTACACAAATTGCATATAATTTTTTGTGGTTTATTCAATCGTTTTCTTCAATTATCTCCTCTTCTAAGATACGTTGCTCCTATCCCAAGATATTTTAGTCAATGTGTATACCGCCATAGGTCGCGTGCACGATGACCGACCCTAGAGGTAAAATATTGAAACACAACCTCACTTTTCTGTAGAACATTGAAACACAACCTCACTTTTTTATTTGTTTACAGAGGAATCAAAGGATTGAAAGAGTTTTCACAATATTTTGGCATACTAATCGTGTTTTTTGGGCTATTCATTAATTCAAGCATGCCTTCTCATTGTGCTGTTGTACAATGCACAAAAAATGCAGCAAGAGACGAAGTACTATGATTTTTAAGGTACATAGTTATCTCACATAGTTTAGATTATGAAATTTTGTAATATCTTATTAAAATTTGTTCTGCTACTTCTGCAATAGAAGCTAATACTGCTAAAAGATTGAAAATGTCTACAAAACACACGATCATATTTGGTCAGCATGTCAGACCAGTTCTCCCGTTCGATTGCATGAATCCAATCTTCTTGCATTATTTTAGAAATTTCACGAGTATTTCTATTAGCTCCCATTGCAGAAGAAATTCCGATGGAAAATCAGAGAAATTACCAGATTTCAAAATGAAAACTATATGTGAGTGACAGTGACTATAGTAGGTACTCACTTCCAAATCATAATGTACCAACTGTACCAAAAACACAAATTATTGTCATTTGTAAACAAATAGGAAAAGTGAGGTTGTGTTTCAATGTTTCACCTCCAGGGTCAGTCATCTGACAGTTCTTGTACGCAACCCATTCTTTTCATAACATCCTAACTTTTTTTTCTGTCAAAACATTGAATTGAAGAATTGATTGGTTTGAAATTTCATTTTTCAGGTATATTCAATCGTTTTCTCCAAATATTTCCTCATTTAAGGTACGTTGCTCCTCTGCTAAGGTATGTAAGTCAATGTGTATACCGCCATTCTTTTTATATCATCTTAACATATTTTTCTGTGAGAAAATTTAATTGAAGAATTGGTTGGTTTGAAATTTTATTTTTTCAGATATATTGTGAATTTTCTGTATGTTTACATTATATGGTTTTTGTATTCATCCAGTGATTTATTCTTCTAGTTAGTTACTGTACTTCAGGCTAACGAATTTTTAATATGAAAGCAGAAATGAGCTAGCAGAACCACTATTCAATTTTTCTTTGTCCATAACTTTGATGACATACCTACACGTCGAACTCACCAAATTATTATAGCTCCGATGGAACTTGTCCCTGTTGAGGCTAGCGTTACTGCTGGCCCTGCTGACCTGCAAGGGGGCCCTCAGAGCCCGCCACCGTTTGCCGGTCAGGTCTTCCAGGCAGACGTTAGTGCGATGGTAGACCAACCTGCAAGCATTCGTTTTGTCTAATCATCATTATTGGCCAATTAGACAAATCTTGCATAAAATACCGAAAGATTCTATCAAAGATTCAATTCATTCGTTCTTTCAGCGAGAAATTCAAGTCATTGAAAGGAAAAAGGTGTCATACTTAGACCAGGGATTCCATTCCCCAATTCAAAATGGAAGTCAAGGAACATATCCTCTTGCAAAGTGAAAATCAAACCTGAGAGAAATGATTTTTCATTCAATAATTTATGTCATAATGTACTTTTCATGACCTTTTTGTTTTATTATTATTATTTTTGAATCTGTTGTTTACTTCAATAATCTGTCTGATTATTCATGTTATTTCATTGTAAATGTTGATAAAACACTGCGTATCCAAGCAGTAGTGATTCTACCTTCCTAACACCAGGATATTGTAATTTACATCAATAAAAACATCCAGTGACGATTGATATTAATGAAAGGTGTTTATTTGATATCCAAACCAGGATGTGACAGCATGAACTGATATCCGATTTAAAATGTTCTTACTCATTTTAATGAGGGCAAGAGCAGACTGCTTACCTAATTGCGATTTCGGAATTGGTAAGGGTATAGAATCTACCTTGTATGATGTCCATGTGGTGTGTCTGAGGCCTTGATATTACTAGCTTTCAGATTATTATTTTTTTCACTTTCCACTTTATTGACTCAAATTGCCACTCTAATTCCGTTGAAGAAACGAAGAAAATAGAAGTTTGGATGAACTCTCGTGGTATTTTATGTAATGTCACTTATTCGAATCATCCGCGACGGCCAAAATCGTTCTGATTGGTCTTCGCGAATAATACGGATGTTCTTGAAGAAATTCTTTCTACCAACCTGTCGTCAGCTCCTACCGCGAAAACTTGATCGTTTCCGGTAACCGATACCTGCGCCATCTTGCCCACCATCTCGACCCAGCCGCAGCCGATGGACAAGTCTTCGCTCATGCTTGCGCATTCTCCTTTTACTCCCTTCCTGAAGAAGTTTATGCGAAGATCAATGACAATGAGTACGAAGCTCTGACTTGAACTACTATCTAGACTGCTAACGGTCATATCCCAGAAACCCGGAATTCTCGCCCGAAAACGCTTCTGCTCAATGCGCAGTTACTTCCAAAATGTCATTCATGGCATCGAGTCATGTTTCTTGGGGTTAGAAAACACGAGTAAGAGTGAGTAAGATACAGGGTGAGTCAATCGTGTGTTCTTCTTCGATATTGGCTATTGAAAAATTATTTTCATATATCTTAACTTTTGATTTAATATCTACTGACATTTAACTGGGCCAGGTTAGCAGCGTGTTTGAAACGCCAGTATTCTATTCACGATGGATTGCCGGTTGGCGGGTTCAAATCCCACGACTGTAGAATTGTTCTGATGGCCTAAGTAAATGTTTGGGATCACACGTTAAAAGGTAAGGCTCCCGTCACTTCTTGCTCGCACAAGTCTCTCGAAGACTTCTGAGGGTTGCTCGTAAGGGGGACAAACGAATGAAGGATAAGAACAATCTTAGAATAAATTATTTCAGATACAGGGTGATCAGAATTCTTGAATCTTGAACCACCCTTTTATTGTTCTAATTAAATGTCAGTAGTTAGATAATCAAAAGTTAGGACAGGGAAAAGTGACACGTTTTGACCAATGATGAATAGTTTCGACCCGAAAAAAATCCTAAAGTTGAAATTGAACACCCTATATCTCTGTAATCATTCCTGCTAGACCCCAAGTGTGATGCATTGATGAAATCAGCTCTTCAGGAGAAACCCGAAAATGCAATAATATATAGGGTGTCCAATTTAAAAAACCCATTATCAGCCGATATTTGGGAATTCGAACACCCTATAGATATGAAAATAATTGTTAAGTGATGGTTCTCATGAAATCCTATAACTGTTGTATTCGAATTTTCCCTATATATCTGACGGTTTGGCTAATATTGAAGGAGAACACACTATTGACTCACCCTTTATAACAGGTCCTGAATGCGCATGATTCATGTCCTCAAGTTCGATCTACTGATTGGCATAGCTTCTTTGTTATGGCATTAGGGGTCTAGATAGTAGTTTGTCAGTGGTACGAAGTGATTTACAACAATTTGGAAGGGTGCGATCTCTGGGTTCAGTTTTTTAAACTGCTTGGGAGGTGAATAAAAAATATGATAAGCATTGCCCAGCATTGGGATCAACATTTTTATAAAGTGAATTCTGATTCTTTCAGGACAGTATTCGGACTTATTTTGTGATTGTAAGCTAGTTATTAGTATTTCAAGCCAAATAGCAAATAAACAAAACAAAAAGGATCACAATGATATAATGTATATCTATGAAAAAATCAGGAATACTGCCGGTGAAGAAGGAGATTGTGATTTTTGCTTCCATAAAACAGATTATGGGACTGAGTTGCCCAAGGTGAGCTGGTGAGATATGAATTAAACTGTATTAAGACTGGTAACAAAACTATCAATTTTTTTTAGACTAACCTAAACCAAATTTGCTTATCTTGAGTAACAGCCCATACGGAATTTGTACCGACTGATACCTGCGTTATCCTCAAGTTGCTTCCGGGGCTAACTACCTCGGCCCAAGCGTCTCCTTGCAGGTTGTCCCGAGACACTCCCGTCCTGGCCAGAGCCCTGCCTGAAAATAGGGGGAGAAGATTCTTTCAACCCGACAATAACCCTTTTTTTTTCAGAAATCACCCCACCCGCAAGTACCTCCCACGATCCTTAATTAAAATTCCCAAAAAATACCGGGAATAATTCATGCTCTTCGGAGATCATAAATGACTATTTCACTTTTGTTTTTCGAGAGCCAATCAGGATCGCTAATTTTCATCTCCTGTAATATTTTTTGTTTACTAAAAATCATCTGGCTTGCTGTATACCAATACAGAAGCCGAATTGACCAACACGTGACCAACTAACCTAGTTCTTCAGTTTTTATTTTTGACATTTATAAGGTGTGGTTTCATCGGAAACGACCCCTGTATTCAATTCCATAATCTATAATTATCATGACGAATTCCATGATACCGTGATGATACTTTCCATATGCTCAATGGGTGCGACTTCACAATATGGAAACTTTTTTCTCTGTCACACTCATTGAGCATATTATGGAAAATTTGAATGCGAATATCTTCGTAATAGTTTGAAATAACCCTATCAAACCCAGTGTCGTTGAATTATTCATGATGATCCCTAAACGATTATGGAATAAAATACAGTGTCCCATTTAAAAATCAAAAGTTGGGACCGTTTCCGGTGAAACCGGAAGTGATAGAACTAATATTGTCTTGTCAGTTAATGAGCAATTTGGTATCTTGACTGATTCAGAAGTTACAGCACTGGCCGTTTTTTAAGCACTTCCCTGTACATGTAACAGTATGTATCATGCGTGAAATTGAACCGCCTTTAATTTTTAATAAATTGAAAAAATCAACATTGGAAGGTAGACAGCAGTCTAATCCAATCACCTGTTGAGGAAGAAATAATATTTGTGAAATTGAGCAAATAAAAATTTGGATAATTCAATATCTTCAAGCCTACCGTCTAGTAAGGTTGCCCACACCAGGCCTGTAGGGCCCACGCTGATCTGGCCTACTTCATGGCCGTTGGGTGTCTGAATGTGGTTCCAGCGGGCCCCTTCAGGGCATCTTGTGCTGACGCCGGTCCTGAACATTACCTACAAAGAAAGTTGACCTTTTGATGTTGGGAATATAAAATATTTCTGGAGTATATCCCCAAAGATACCAAAGAATTGGCATTAATGAATATTATTGTGGAATTTTGGGAATATTTTTGTAGGCTTGTGATACACAGGTCAACAAAAAATCTCAATTCTTCAGAAACTCCAACCTATCGATAGGTACTTACTCTGTTGTGAGAGGTGACAGCCCAAACTAGCATGATACCAGGCTCCGCTCCAGATATATTTTGCCCACCAATAGAAACATCAATAAATGGCTCCTAAACAGAGTAAATTTTATAATAAACATTATGCTAAAAAAGTAATAATAACATATTTTGAAACATTTTTTCACTGTTATATGAAGAATGGTTTTCAATGTCACAAGTGGGTAAAATTCGACCTTCTTCACAAGTAGGACGATTCCCAGGAGTAGAATAAAATACTTCATTCACATGATATTCATCTTAAAATGTTTAAACATTAGACATTTTCTGATTGCAAACTTGACAAAAAGGTAAATATTTACAAGCATACAAAAAAATGCTAGGGTTAGGATAACAAATAAAAAATTTAGTTCAAAATAGAGGCACACTGAAAATATCGTCAACAAGGAAAATGTTTACATATATTTTTTGAATTGATGGATGAATACAACACTGTTGTTCTGAAGCTAAAATAAAAACCTAGTTAGTATGTGAGAGATATAAAATATTATCTGTTCATTGACACAAGATTTGTCTGCCTAGCAATGGCGCTAGTCTACTGAAAACATGGAGATTCCTTTTGTTTCAATGAAATATTTGTCAAAATGGACAATTGAAGTTTTGGAAATGTCACATCAGACAAATTACAATTTTCATTTGATTGCCTAATTCCAAGTTAGTTGTTGGTTAGCTGTTTCTTCAATTTCAGTGTTCCATTTTGCCCTTCTACAAGAGGTGGAGGTGAGTGAATTCTTTAACACTCCTTTCACAATGATGACGTGAGTTTGAGGCAACATGAAATGTATTCCAATAACATCAGGTAATATTTTCTTTTTGAGCCACATAGGTATTCATTTCATAATAATGATCTGATATAGGATTAGAGACAATGTATTACCACAGTATACACCCTAGTTAGGGTGTATACTGTGGTATTAGGGTGTATACTGTGGTATTACTATAATTATCAATATAAAAGTAAATCAGTTCCTTTCCTACCTTTTAATTCTTAGCTTGCATGCCATCATTTTGATAAAGTGTGAACAGTAATGTTTCATCACAGCACTGATGAATTTCCATGAACCAAAAATATTTTTCTGGTGTTGAGTAGATTAGATACTAATCAGATTCCATTCTGTAGCTGAACAGGAATGGTTATTGCACGCATAAAGAGAAAACAAACATTTTTGTAATTTTCTACTAATAAGGAAGATAAAAAATGACTTTGCAAACTTCTATTTTGGGTCAAATATCTCGATAGCTGTTCATTTTATCTCAGTTGAAGGTGATGCATTTTTTCAACATACTTGAACAATCAATTCCAGGAATTGGAAATAATCGAAATTTCATCAGTGGCGTAGAAAATATGGGAGGAAAAGTTTTCACAACCTCCTGTAGCTCACTTTTGGATAACATTCTCGGAATGTCTTTCTGGTCGAAAATAGAACCATGGAAAGATGAAACCATATACCGAATTTGAATGCATTATATCCAATTTTTCTTGAGATATTGCGGAAAAACTATTTTAATTTCTCAACTTCGACGCCCTGTATCTCGAGAACTGAACACTTAGAGACCGTATGTCCCTATCTCAGTGATTATGAAATCACGAGGGCTATCACCTGTCAAGCGTTGTCGGTCGAATTTCGCAACATCCTGTATATTAGTATTATCTGCTTCCCTTATTTGTGTAAGTAGGTACTTCAAATGTTTCAACATGGGAAATTTTCGACTACAACTTTGACAGGAAGATGGATCTTGACAGGAACACGGAAAATTACTAAGGTTAGAATAAATATATGAACAATAGGTCGCGTGCAAGAACTGTCAGATGACCGACCCTGGAGGCAAAACATATTTGTTTACAAGTGATCGAAATAGTTTTCCAATTATTTTGGCAAATGAATCGTATTTTTCCGCTATTCATCAATTCGCTAATGCCATCACACTGTGCTGTTGTAAAATGCACAAAAACTGCAGTGGAAGATGAAGAAATCCGGATGGTACTTTATGATTCAAAAGTAAGTACCTACTATAGTCACTCACATACTTTTCATTTTTGAAATTTGGTTATTTCTCTGATTTCTCATCGGAATTCCTTCTGCAATAGGATCAGCTAATAGAAATATACCTGAAATTTCTAGAATAATGCAAGAAGATTGGATTCATGCAATCAATCGGTAGGACTGGTCTGACATGCTGACGATCGTGTGTGTTGTAGACATTTTCAATCTATTAGCAGCATTAGCTTGTATTGCAGAAGTGGCAGAAGGCAGAAGGAATTTTAATAAGGAATGACAACATTTCATAATGCTAACTATGTGAGATTACTATTTACCTGAAACATCAAATTCCCTAGTCTCTTGCTGCATTTTTTGTGCATTGTACAACAGCACAATGCGAAGGCATGCTTGAATTAATGAATAACGCAAGAAACACGATTCGTATGCCAAAATATTGTGAAAAACTATTTCAACCTTTTGATTCCTCTGTAACCAAATAAAAAAGTGAGGTTGTGTTTCAATAATTCACAGAAGAATGAGGTTGTGTTTCAATATTTTGCCTCCAGGGTCGGTCTTCGTGCACGCGACCTATACCACTCCACTTTGATGGATTTCTTCCAAAGATTAAAGTATAATCAACAAAAAACTACAACGGTGACTCACATTAGTAGCATCCTTGTGCAAGGGCGCGATGGCGCACCAGCTGCTCATAGCACTGTACCGCCTCCAACGCACCCAACACCGCCGTCGCACGCAGCTCTTCCACTGCTTCTTCGGGTGGTAAGTGGCGGGAAAGTCGACGGCGTACGTCCAACCGTCGTGGTCCAGCGGCTGCCCGTTCAAGGTCAGTTCTTTGCGCCACTCGCCGTCCCACTGCCACGCCATTGAGGGCAGTCGGATCTTGTCGATGGACCTGTCTTCGGTGCCCTCTGCGTTGGAGAAGTGGAAGCGGTCGGTCGGTAGGAGTCTCGAGGAGAATCCTTCGATTGGTAACCACCTCTGCAGTAGGAAAATGTGTGAAAAAGGACAGATATGATATCAGTTAGAGTGACGACAATGGCTGCCGTTTACAGAATGTCATTCATGGCCAAGTCACTGAATAGCTAAGAATCTGAAGGGTATCTCCCATGCAGTAATGAATTTGCGCCTTCGAAGTGCCCACCTGATGTTAGGTTTAGATATTTGATATTTCCATCTCATCATCTAAATAATCTGAGACTTACCAGTCCCAAAAGACGGATTTTAATAGTTAATACCCAAATTCCAAGGTACTTACGTATAGAGTTTCATGTCTGATTGTTGGATGTTTTGTGTCCACAGCGCGAAAAACAGAGACAGAGCATTGACAAAGTGAAATAGAATGCGTATAACTGAATAAAATGTGTGAAAAAGGACAGATATGATACAGGGTGATTCACCATAAATGTCCCCTCCTCTAGCTCAATTATTTTTAAACCGATTTCAAAATTTGAAATATCATCTTGAATGATTTTCGATACAGTCTTTTTCGCTACATCAGAAAATACAGGGTGCTCGGAACAAACGATCTACAGGGTACTATTTAATTTTTTTATATGGAACAATTAAGGAATCATGGAACTATTTTTCATTGTATTTTTAGATTCTCCCTGAAGAGCTGATTTGGTCAATGTATCACATGATTACAGAGATATAGGGTGCTCAAAATCGAGATTTTTCAACTTTAGAATTGTTTTGAGACGAAACTATTCATCATCGGTCAAAACGGCTTTCATGTCCATGTCTTAATTTTTGATTTACTATCTACTGACATTTAATAATTGGAACATATACAGGGTGATCAGAATTCTGAATCTTGAACCAACCTGTAAATGTTCAAATTAACTGTCAGTAGACAGTAAATCAAAAGTTAAGATGGAAACATAGAAGCCGTTTCGACCAATAATGAATAGTTTCGAGACAAAAAAATCCTAAACTTTAAATATCTCGATTTTGAACACCCTATATCTCTGTAATCATTCCCGCTAGACCCCAAGTGTGATGCATTGATGAAATCATCTCTTCAGGAAGAATCTAAAAATACAATGAAATACAGGGTGTTCCATTTGAAAAAATCAAGTAGTACTCTGTAGATCATTTGTTCCGAGCACCCTGTATTTTCTGATGCAACGGGAAAAAAATTCAGAAAAATCATTTTAGATTATTTTTCAAATTTTTAAATCGGTTCAAAAATAAGTGAGCTAGAGGGGGGACATTTATGGTGAATCACCCTGTATCAGTTAGAGAGAGTAGATTGAATAGAGTGACGACAATAGACCTCTAAATGGCTGTCGTTTCCGGAATGTCATTTATGGTCAAGTCACTGAATAGCTGAGAATGAAGGGTATCTCCCATGCAGTAATGAATTTGCGCCTTCGAAGTACCCACCTGATGTTAGGTTTAGATTTCATCAACTAAAAAATCTGAGACTTACCAGTCCCAAACGACGGATTTTAATAGTTAATATCCAAGGTACTGACGTATAGAGATTCATGTCTGATTGTTGGATCTCTTGTGACCAAGCGCGAAAAACAGAGACAGAGCATTGAGAAAGTGAAAAAGAATGCGTAGAACTGAATGGAGAATACAAGACAGGTATTAGATGTCAGACCAATCAAGAAGTGTACCACTATTGTCGTCACTGTATTTATAAAGTAAAGAGAAATATTCTCCATCATGAGTTTGATGAAGCTTAATTGAGAAGTTTTCATTATTCAAAACGTAAAGTGTTGATGATCCTGGAGCAAACTGTGGGAGCAAACAGGAGGAATTGAAACTCCAACAGATAGCTAGGCAGGAAAACAAATAGGAAGAAATTGTTGAATTCAATACAAATATTTATAATATTAACAATGTTTAATTCAAATGTTGTCACATGAGTCAAATAAAATAAATAAATTTGATGCTGCTTCTATATTGAAGAGTTTCTTGAGGTTCTTACAGAAGTTATCCACTGCTCTATTTTTGCCCTCCAAAGTTGCTTCAATTTTTTCAAGTCACTGCATTAGTTCTTCATGAGGATTTTTCCAGCAAACTGGAAGTTACCAGCAATATCACTACCACCAGAGCTGAGCATGGAATCTATAAGAAGCACGGATTGATATACGAGTAGACCGATGTTTTTAATAAACTCCCGAACGATCTGTAAGATTTTCATTCAAAAAATCCAAAAGCTCACGAAGTTTCTTGGACATCACGTAAGCGATGTCCTTGAAATTTCAGGAGAACACCATGGCTCCTGAGCCAGATGATTGGCTTGGAGGCCGATTCTGGGCATGGCCACTGGATGTGGTCAGAGAGCGTGAGTCCAAGGAGACTCAGCACTAGAGGAGGTTTTTATTTTAAATTTTCTCTCGTAAACCACTCCGGGGTTTTCTCATTCTAGGGAGCATGGCTACAGGAAATGAGATTCATTGACTAGGACTCTAATCACAGATCAAACACCCCTCTGGCTAACACCAGAAAACACCACACTGCATGGAGGATTGTTGTATACCACTTTTATCAAAATATGTTTGTTGTGCCTGAAATTTTCCATGTAATTGAGAAAAGAATGAATGAATAACCTGAAGTGTCGATCCTGTGGTCCCGTCCCGAGAAATTCGAGGGAAAAGCAAAGTGAGGAATTGATTGGTTTGATTATTTCCTCCATTATTTCACTCATCACATAATCCGACCAATCACAAGCCACAGGCAATATGTGCTCAGAAAACATTAGCTGTCTTTCAATTCTGGTTGGTCTATCAGCGTTGATGTTTTCAATGATGTAACCATAGACATATACAGGGTGTTTAAAAAAACTGACCCCGTGAACATCATTCAATTCTCCACCAAAAAGGTACTCTTGGTAAAACTCCATGCATACTTGCTCCACTCCTGTGGTTTGTGTTTAAATGTTTATAGAGCCATTGTTTTTCTCTATTCTTCACTTATTTATCTTTGAGAAAATCAAGGTTGAGATTTAATTGGTCTGAAAATATGATATATTTTCAATCGTTTTTTCCAAATTGCTTTAGTCCCAAGGTATGTAAGTCAATGTGTATTACATCCATTCATTTTGTGTGGGAAAATCAAGATGGAGAATTGATTTGTTGGAAGAGGTTTTTTCAATCCTTCCTTCCAAATTGCTCCCTCACAGATGTAGGTATGAATTCTAGTATGAAGTCAATTTCATTATAGTCATAATTTTTTCTCTTATCTTACTCTATTTTTCTGTGAGGAATTGATTGGTTTGAAATATTGATTTTTTGAGATATTTTCAATCAGTTTTTCTGAATTACTTCTTCTCTACCCAGATGTTCATAGAGCCATTATTTCTCTTTCATCTTAACCTATTTTTCTATGAGAAGAGAATATCAAGGTGAAGAATAATTCATTGGTTCAGAAATTTGATTTTTTATTTTAAGATTTGATCCAAGAATATTTGAGGAATATTATTGGTACCATTCTAGATGGGTACATACGAGGTACATACAATGAATAAGTCATGTTTAATAAGATCAGTCTTGGATTCAGTTTTCTGAAAATTTTTTATTGAAATTTCTCACCTCATTTTCGTAAGATTCTTCTACTACCCGTATTGGCACATCTAAACCATAAACATACAGGTATATTTGGTGGTCCCCACCTAGAGCCCATAGAAAATGTGGTATGGCTGATAGCTTTTTGAACTCTTGTCCAGCATATGTGAGTTCTCTCCAAAACGTACCAGATGTAGAAAGCGTGTGAACTCTACCTTCGTTGTTTATACCGAATAGAATGGAGCTCGGCATTCTTTTTTATCAATCAACTTCTCATAAGTTAGAACTAAACTAAACTACCTATCATCCAAAGGTTTAATCACTAGCAGAAAGTTCAAACTATTTATCGACACATGCAAAAGAAACTATATATTTTTACATAAAAAACACCCACTACTATGTAGTTTCATTTTATAAAATGAAAATGCCAAAATGGTCAATTTGTCAATATTGATAAAATTGAACATATGATTTTGACGTAATGAGTAATGACATTGTCGACGTTTGAGGTTATGGACCTTAACAACTAGCTGTTTCCGTCTCTAACCTTTTTGCCCACAGAACTAGACAGGCCTCTGCTCTTTAGTCACCTAATGGTATAAGAATTGACTTCGTATACAAGGTGATCCAAAATAGAAATGAGATGAAATATTTTACAAGGCGATTCTTGAAGATTGAATTACGTTATTCTAAAAACATCGCATGATCTGACACCTGATATTGCGTTATCGAGGTAACGTCTTCAACAATGATTGGGTGCTATGTGACCATTTTTTATGCGGCGTATTTTTTCCACACACTTTGAAGAGATACGAATGTATTATTGGTTGCATAGTAATCTGTCACGCGGTTTTCACTGATAGTTGAAGTTGAAATACATATATACAGGGTATTATTTCTGAGGTTGGGAATGAGAAAATACAGTTTTTTCCTCAGCAAAATAACTAGTAGGTCGAAAAATGTATTTCTTTTCCAATTAAACACCCTTATATTGTTGATGTATATCGATATTACTGAATTGAAGCTAACATTTTTTATTGTCCTTCAAACCGCGCCACGTCAGGGTTGGTAGAACTGATAATTATACTTCTTATTTTCATGTCAAGAAATGATCGTGAATTTCCACAATGAAAGTAAAAAAACTTGAGACGGCTCACGTCTTTCAATAACTTGAGGTTTTCCATTTGTTCAAATATTCTACATAATTGTTTTCGAATATTGTCGATAAAACAGGCAATAGCTTTTGAGGCTATATATTGACAAAGTTAAGGAGGTTGATTCTTCCAAGATATACTGGGTGTTGAAGGTTTGTTTTCATTATCGTTGATTTTCAAATAACTCGAAAGAATGAAATTAATTAAAAGAAAATTGATGAATTGCTATTGAGAGGTTTTTTTGAGATGTCCAATTTGAACCTAATATTGCTCATACTCGTAAGAGGCGCCACCTATACACACGCGTCTCTTTAATTTTTTGAAGATTCATAACTCTTTTGAGCGCACTTCTAATACATTTTTTAGTTTAGCTTAGGAAGCGATTCCTCCATCATATCTACGTAAAAATGCTACCCTTAGGAAGCGATTCCTCCACCATATCTACGTAAAAATGGTACCCTTTTGTTACAACATATACTATAAAACAATCGTTTTCTAGATATTTGGACATGAAACGTCGATTATTTGCTAATCGATGCATGTTATTATCACAATTAATTTGATAAATGAATGAAAAATTCAAATTATTAGGTAAAAAAACCCAACCTAGCTGTGAGACTCTTTTATCAGTAGAAATAGACCATGTGCACGACGTTCTATCTGGAATATTTTCAGTCCTAACCCGCTACTCTGATTATAACAAGGAGGGCTAAAATGAATCGGTGACCAAACTTATGCTACTTTCAAGAATGAAAACCACAATATTTCAATGATATTCGCCAAAAAGTAAATTTTTCAACATTACATATACCTACCTATTACCTATATCAATTATATTTAATTCCAAAGAAACGTTGAATTTTTGGCTTCGTGTCGAGTATGCCCTATAAATAAATTCATTTCCAATAGAAACTCATTCAATAGACCTTCTGCAAATTTCGATAGCGATTTTTTGAAATTGCCTGCGCATATATATCTATTCGAATATGCAACAAAATATGCATGGGATCACGTCAGAAATTGGCGTGGATTTTCAGCTAATTGCTTTACAAATTTTGTATTTTTTGGACCATAAACAGTTAAATATTTTATTCTTTCATGGACTGAGTATTACAAAAGATTTGTAACCATTCTTATCCCAAGAAAATTTAAATATGTAAGTATATCTAAAAACTGTCAGAAGATATAAGTGAGCATATCATTACACAGTCATGTGAATCACCCTATATAAAACTTCCATTTTGCACAATATACATTTTGATATCGTACAATACTTAGACTACGTTCCAACATGTTTCATATAAATGTCACAGTTTTAGTATATCTGAAATTATGTACGAACTATAGATATATTTTCTTGGCGACAAGATTTGTCCTGAATGCATATAACAGTTTAATTTCATTAGAAATTCCACCGAATTGTATTCAACCACACGTCTGTTCTTAATGAAAAATATCAGAACACAAAGCGTAGAAAAAGAACCTTCTACAAGGTGTTTCCGAACTTGGGGCTATACATGAAATGGGCAGGTAATTCAAAAACAAAATGAAATTAAAACATACCTTTTTTATTGAAAATCAATTATTTTGGATGAAACATACAGAGTGACCCATTTGAGAGCAGGCACCATCATACATATTTTATTTATGAAGCGATTTTAACGATTTTTCCTTTTAAATGTAGAAGAGGAAGAGAAGAGGTGTATTCTGGAGCTCAGCGGCGTACATTTTTCAAAAAAAATGCCAGCTAGATCACATTTAGAGGATGAAAAATCCAGAATTTATATTAACGATCACCGTGCTTATTGAAATAAAATGTGGTCGATTTATATGAAATCATATTGGGAATTTTTTTGCAAGAAAACTAACCTGATATTATGCTTTCGAACCTCCAGAGAGGGTTACCTGAACTATATTTATGGTAAAAATCATTGTGCTTCATTGTTTTCTCTAAGTTTCATATTTTTATGATTCAATAGTGAAAGATATACAACTTTCTTGTTCCATCAATTTTTTATTCGTATCTTGCTTTGTTTTCAAGAAAAAAAATTGCAGACCTATCACCCAGACAGCACAAAATATTCTATGAATAATTTCACAGCGTTCACAACATAACATACCCCCCTTGGAATATTCCGAAGAATGTTCATGGCGCATATGATGAGGATGTTCGTAATATTCATAGAATGTTTCACGAGATTATTCATAGATCATTTCATCTTAGTATCCTAGGAACGTTCCTAGAATATTCCATTATATTCTATGAATGTTATTCAGGAATGATAATAGAATGTATTGTTCGAATATTCTCCATGTCTGTTCATAGAAAATATTATTAACATTGATTATTCAAATTTCTTTCCGCTGATACTGATAAAACTTTGATGTGAGTCCAAATTTACCGCTATTTTCTCCAAATACTTCTTTCCTACCCGTTAGGGAGGCTGAAACCATAGACTGAAACTAAATTTAATATGCTTTCACACATCGTGATATTCGTAAAGCACTCATGATCCGTGTATGATAGATGTATAAATAATTGTATGTTTGAACTGTAACAGTTTTTGGGTGATATTTTCTTGAAGTGTGTGGGATAATAATATCACCTTCTCTCCCTATCCTCCATAGGTACGCACGATGTTCTTCGAACATTATAGAAATTTCCTTTCGTGCGCTCCAAGAGATAATAAAAAATACAGTAATGAACACATTTTCCTTCTATATCGACCCCTGAAATATTTTCCATGCGCCTCAAGTATATACTCAGATCCTTCTGAGAATGTTCTTTATTTTCATAGAATGTTATGAGAATGTTCTTTAAAATATTCCCACTTCATCCTTGACAAGGGAATCTCTGATTTACAGAAGTAAGCAGGTGTAACGGAAATTACAAGTATAAATGATATGAAACACTTCAAAAATAAAGTTAAAAAACTTCTCAAAGGGAAATGTTTTTATACCTTAGAGGAATACTTAGCTTATAGGTTCTAGTCTTTCCATGTGAAGTGAACTGTGGTATATTTTCTTGTTTTTTATAAATGTAAAACCTATATATTGTTGGTCAGCCACGTCAATACGTAAATGTGTCTCGTCTTTTATATTATTATTTCATTTTATTCGTAAATTTATTTCTTACAGCAGGTATATACAAGGTGATTCTAAAATAAGTTGTCAAACTTTGGGAGTATATAGAGTGAGTGAAATAATTACGAAAACCTCGGTAACATTTTTTTCCGTAGTGCCCCCCAACAAAGATACAGCCCCTCAAAGTTAAACAATATCGTTGTTTGAGACAAAAAAACAATTGCTTGCCGTGATTACTCAAAAACAAGTTATTCATCCCGAGAATAACGAATGAAATACAGATCAAGCAAGTGATTGAATCTTGAAGGCTTCTCTGATCAAAACAAAAATACTCAACTGAGATGTTTATAATTCCAATACTGGCAATACTCAACTATAATAAGGTGTATTTGTGTATGAAATGCCAAATATGCCGAAATCGGAAACAAATCAGGAATGCGTCTCAACCTCATTCTTGATGACGTCCAGTACATCCTTTTTAGTTCCTAGGAGCTAAATATGTTGCCTAGCAACATACCTATTTTTGTGTCAGTAATAGAAACGTCAATTTAAGAGCTAATTTTGGTATCAAAATGGACGACTTTTGTGTCGGTTGCAGAAAAATAAATTTTATTCGCTAATAGTTATCGAGATGCAACAGGAGCACCTTTTCTATGTAAATAGCCGTGAAATTTCATAATTTCATGTCAAAAAACTGAAATTGCGATGAACAAAAAAGTTGGGGTTATTTTTACCCCCTACCTCCCTATTTTGACACACCCCTGTATTCAATTTTGAGGTGATTTTAACTCTATTCGAACCGGCACTGAATAGTAAGTGGATGGACAGAATTGCAGATTTTCATTATACTAGGTGTTGAAGATAATAATACAAAATCATTCTCCGAGTCCCCCTTTGAGGGGCTGTATGTTTCTTGGGGGTCACTTCAGAAAAAAATGTTACGGAGGTTTTCGTAACTATTTCACCCACTCTATATGCTCCCAAAGTTTGACCACCTATTTTAGAATCACCTTGTATATTGTTGGGTGGACTTCTATTTTGACTTTGTCGACAAAATGTAATCATTTTAGACAATAAAGCATATTTGATTTGATTTGATTTGATTTATTATGAGAATAATTATTGCGGAAGATACGGAGGTGTAACCATGACACACTGAATATATTTCTATCTAACTGTGCCAAAATATACGGGGTGTTCCATAAGAAAAAATATAATTTGTATCGTATCTTCCTAATGTAACCCTGTATAAAATTTCTAATGATGCCAATGGATTGTTCGCATCATACTATATGAATAAACTTCCGAAAATTTCCAATATTCCCCACCATGAAGTACTCAGAAAATAAAAACGAAATCGGTAGTTTTTCAATTTCCCCCTGTATCTCTGAAACGAATGAAGATATCAGAACTCTGAATGCGCCATTTTGGGTTTCCCTATAATCGAACCCGTATATCGGTTTTTCGATAATTACTTCAGTTTAAGAGATAGCCCGTGAAAACGCCCAATTTTACCCACCCTGTATCTCGAAAACTGGGCTCCAAAACATATACGTTCTATTTTCGCATATTAAAATCTGGAACACCCTGTATATTCTCCAACGTTAGTCAATTTCACCTATCGCCTCGCAAAATAAGCAAAAAATCAAATAAACCCCTCCGAATGGAAATTCGTAACGCAGCGGGGGTTGTTTTCCATAGCGCCTACCCTGTGCTGTGCAGACATTTATCAGAATTCCAGAAGATCCTATATAAATGTGATCTCCATAGCTCTCAGTTCATTCCAGTCGGCACAGCGAAAGCTCCGAAAATGTCGAAAATATCCCTGATCACGTTTTCCGCCATTTTCCTCTTCCTTTATTTCAAAAGCGGTGCGGGAGACGACCTTCAAGAGAAGCGCAACGATGACCCCAACTATTCGCCCCTTTGGTTCGGCCCTAGAGTGGGCAGGAGGAAGAGGAATCTGATGGAGGACGGCTACAAGAGCAACGTGGGCAAGGAAGAGGTGGAGGTGCTGCTGGATTTGATCAGGAAAAGTCCGTGGACCATCGTGTTGTTCAGTAATGGTAAGACAAGATTCGAATTGAAGTTTGGTGCCCTTTTTAAATAAAACAATAGAAGGCTCAGAAATTATTTGATAAGAAGTGTAACTAGGTTTGGCCACAGGCCATCATCAGACATAAAATTGATATATTAAGAAAATTTTCGCAATTCGACAAGACAACATTTCTTCTCCAACCGTGTCGTCAATCAATGGAACTCTTTTACCAATTGAGTTATGTCTGCTCCATCTCTGAACTCGTTCAAAAGCCGCCACTTGGTTTCTCTATTTTTCATTTTCTAAACATCCAATGCATACAATTATTTGGACTATATGGCACGAAATGTTACCTTACTTTGTTATTCTGAGCATAATAAGCCTATGGCTCCTGCTTTCATGATTTTTGTAATATTGATGATAATTAAAGAAGTAGTTACTTCAGCAATACATATTGGGAACAAATTACTAGCCTAGGTAAAAATTCAAAATATTATCGGTCCTATAATTCAACATAGATTTAAATCTGGAGAAGGCCCAATAAAACCAGATCAACATTTCATTATAAAAGAGTATATTTGTATAATTTTTCAAGAATATAAAATTCTCTCACGTGGGATTCATCAGGTTATAATGCAAATGAAAAAAAAAAAAAGAAAAAAAATGTGGGGTTGAAGGACTGCAATTATTTTTCCTAATTCCGACTTAGTATCTCGGAATTCCGAATTTCTAACTCAGAATTATTCAATTCCGACTTATTATGTCGGAATTCTGACTTAGTATCTCGGAATTCTGACTTAGTATCTCGGAATTATGACTTAGTATCTCGGAATTTCGACTTATTATCTCGGAATTATTTAACTCCGACTCATTATGTCGAAACTCCGAATTGAATAATTCCGAGATACTTATTCGGAATTCCGACATAATAAGTCGGAATTAAATAATCCCGGGTTAATAAGTCGGAATTCCGAGATGCTCAGTCCGAATTCCGACATAATAAGTCGAAATTAAGTAATTCCGAGATGATGAGTCGGAATTCCAAAAAACCAAATCGGAATTATGAAAAATAATTGTGATGGCCCTTCAACGCTTTCGTATAAAATGCTTCATTTTCGAGATATAACAGGGCGTTCAAGTAGTGAGAAAAAAGATATACCTTCGATTACTAATAAACCATTGAACATAAATGACATACCAGATATCTGAGAGCATATAAGTTGGTAGTATTTTTCATCTGATAATGCTGATATGAACACCAAAGGAATCGTTAAGGTATGAATATTAATGTTTTTCATTAGGTATACGTAGTAAATAGATCAGTATTATAGGAGGATAGTATTCCATGGTATCTATGGTAATTCCATCGATGTGATAGTGAAAGATTCATCGAAATATCTTTGATTTGACGCTTCTTCTATTGGTACATTTTCATATTTTGGCGAATGAGCACTCAAGTTTTGGCGAAAGAGCACTTCTTGTGGGAACTTTCGCCAAAGTGGCATGACACTTAACAGGCAGCAAATGTGTACTTTCTCTACCTTTTTTATACATTGGATCGCACGAAAGTAAATTCCTATAATGTTCGTGGAACATCACGCGTAGGTACCTAGGGTGGAGAGGGAGAGGAGGTAGGTATTGGATTTTTTTGAACTTTTGGAGGCCAAAAGTTCATGGGAATACTTCAATTGGCAAAGAAATCCAGAGCTTCGCCGTTCTATAGACGAACGAGTTTTGGTAGAGTGTTGTTCGACATGCCTAGGCAGAAAAAGTTTGTTGCTATGAACGTTCCAAATAATGTGTATGAAATTGAAAATCGAAATTGACACTGACAATGAGTGAACACAAAGTGATGGAATTACACAAAAGTGTATTTGGCACTTACCACTAAAAATTGTTGAAGGTATATGCCCTTGTAGCAGATCAAATGGAGATTTCCCGCTTCATGGTAAATGATCGAGGATCATTATTAAAATATTTTTCATTTGGTTGTAAGTGTTTTCAGATTTTCTCTTTTCACCTACTAGGTACCTCACCTTTGCCAAATCCAAATCGGAACGAACACAAATCCTAAAAATATCTTTGTCGCTCTCTAGCGTCGAGAGGCCGAACATTCCGAAATAAACTGTAACAGGATCTGTACGACAGAGTGCAAGCTTCGCGTATGTATTGGACGAGGACGCCACGTGCCCTACCTTTGTGAAAATTGTTTTTGCATTCAAATCCGAAAAAAGTGTTTCTACCTGAACGAATAGTTTTCTGACCATTTTGATACCTGATTTCATTCGGAACGCCATTGGGTCCTATATATTATATCGTTGAATATTTCTTTAAAATACTTTGCTTGGGGTTTGGAATACCCGACGTTTTCGTGTATGCACCCGCATTTATTTTAGGTGAGTCTTACCTTTGTATGATCAATTTGATGTTCATAATGATATTTTTTGTATGTATGTTCCTCCGCCATGTGGGTATTTCCCATTTAGATTCAATGTAAGATATACTTGAATTTATATTACATTTATTTTAGAGTCATCGATTCGATATAAATAAACCCGATTTCACCTCAAATTATTACGAGTACGTTTTCATACACACATCCAAGAAACCCGAAAACACGAACTCCCTGAGAGTTTTCTTGCATCTGTCGCCCAACAGCGGGACTTGGACATTTCTGAAGAAAACGATATGGTTTTGGAGAAAAGTCCACACCCACAATATCCTCTCCGGAGTAGAACCGCTGGTAGGAATAATGGAGGTCTGGAAAACCAGTCACCCAGGATTTTACCTCAGAATATGCAACAAAATATGATGTCTCAAGGTAACAATTTTCCATTTATAAATACCCAGGGGCCACAACCATCAGCACCACCTGATACTCACGATCCTACTGCTACGACTATCACTTTTGAACCTGCAAAGGAGAATCCCTCAAATGATAGTTCTAGTAGCCAGGCAAATTCAAATTTCGGTCAATCGAGTGAAAAACCAGTGAAAATAGATGAAAAGACAGTTTCTTCTAGTGATTTAGCTAGAATTATAGAAAACGAGGTTACGAGGGTACTACAAAAATTAGGAGTAGGAGACTCTCACAACATTGCTAGTGCTAACAGTGCCAGAGGCCAAACTCAAAATTTCCCAAATTTGGCAAGTGCAAACGTTCATAATGAAGCATCAAGTAGCCAAAATTTTGCACCATTCACATATAATAGATACAGACCAAATCTGAACGACCCAGTTACTATACCACAATGGCACGAAGTTAGCAATAACAATGTTGGAAATGTAGGACTGTTTCAGAACTTACCAGATTTGAGTAGTGGGGGGCAAATGGACCATTTAGTGAACAAAAATAATCCTGCTTTGAATAACATTGTAGACTTGAAACTTTGTCAAAACCTACCAACTTTTTGTGATGATGGAAATTTACACCCTGTGGATTTTTTAAGTTATCTAGAGTGTTATATTGATATTATGAATGTAAACATGGTTCAATTCGCTTTACTCACCCATAGGCTATTCGAGAAATCAGCAAAAACTTGGTCAGACGCGTTTTTACACACCTTTAAGTCTTATAGTGATTTCAGAAAAGCTTTCATAGATCAATTTTGGGGTGCTACTAGACAACAAAGGATAAAACTTAAACTAGAAACAGGTAGGTACCAAGAGGGTGACGGGTCATTCGTACATTATTTTAATAAATTTGTTGCTGAAGCGAAACACCTACAGCCAACTTACTCACAAGAGCAACTAATAAGCACAATTGCCCGTCATTTTCCCCCAAATATTTCATCCATTTTAGTAGGTACAAAAACCCTATTGGAAGCAGTGGACCACCTTAGACAAGCGGACCATTATTTCAAAACAAATAATGCAGTAGTTGAAAAAAAAACATACCAAAATCACCAACCCGGTGGTGATACAAATCACCAAAATACTTATAGTAGGGGTAATGGAAACAGGAATAATTGGCAAAAAGGTTATCAAAATAAAAATATTTCATGTTTGACAGTAGGCGAGGAGGATGAACACTCGCAGTGTTCGGAAAACGGTCAAAACTCCCATATCTAGGCTCGGAAATGGGAGCAATCATGAAAAGAGCCTCCTCTCCCTTTAGAATAAGTAATAATCCGAGCGAGGAGCTTCTTGAGGAATGCGATTTTGATCACAGTCCCCTAGAAACCCGATCACCAGTGATTATTTTGGAAATTTTCGGATTCTCTTTTCCAGCCATGATCGATACTGGAAGTACAGTCTCAGCCCTCTCAGAAAACGTTTGGCTCCAATTGGGAGAAGTACAACACTTAATCCCAAATTTCCGCTGTACAGGTATATCGGTAGTCGGGGCTTTCCAAACTAAACACAAAAAAGTTTTAGCTCAGGCAATGGTGAATTTTACAATGGAAAATCGAACTTTTAGTCATGAATTTTTAGTAATTCCAGGCCTGGTCTTCCCTATAATTTTGGGAGTGGATCTGTTGAGACTTTATTCTGCTAAAATTGATCTAGAAAAAAAAAGTATTTTTTTCGACATACAGGGTGAAGAAATGTCTGTACCAGAATCGAATTTTAAGCACGAGGTGAACAACCCTCCAAGTATGGCGATTTCAGTGATTGTAAATAATTCAATAAACAAGTTTTCTGGCTTACCCAATCAAAATGCTTTGAACGGGTCACAAGTTTTCGATGTTGAGACACTTCTGTCAAAATGTCATTTGTCAAAAATGGAAAAATCAAACTTTAAATGCTTATTAATCAAATACCAAACAATCTTTTCAAATATCCCAGGGAGAACCCATCTTTACGAACATTCAATTAAGTTGAAGAATGAGAGTGAATTTTTCATTAAACCCTACCCCATCCCTGTAGCCCATCGAGACTCTGTTTATGAAGCTATAAACCAAATGGAAGAATGGGGTGTTATTGAGAGGGCAGCTACACCCTATATTTCTCCGCTGATGACTACGATAAAAAAAGACGGTAGCATACGAATTTGTCTTGATGCCCGGCATTTGAATTCGGTGATGGTATCAGATAGAGAGTTACCGCTGCGTATCGAAGACATCATCCGAAATCTTGGCGGGAAATCTTTTTTGTCAAAGTTAGATTTGTCCCACTCGTACTGGCAGATACCCTTACGCAAGGAGGACAGGAAGTACTGCGGATTCATCGTGGGGACGAGAACCTATCAGTGGCGGGTCATCCCATTCGGGATTTCTACAGCGGTAAGCAGTTTCACGAGGGCCATGGACATAGTTTTTGGAGACGATTTTTCTGATTTTTTGGTCAAGTTTGTTGACGATTTGCTGGTGGCGAGCGAATCATTCGAGCAACATTTAGTCCATCTGGAGAAAGTTTTTTGCAGGTTAAAGGAGGCTGGGTTCACGATAAAGGAGTCCAAATGTCATTTTTTCCAAGCAGAAATGCAGTTCCTAGGGTATACAATCAGCCCAGAAGGAGTCCAACCAGACAAAGAGCGTGTGCAAGCAGTCGTAGACTATCGGACACCAAGAAATGTAAAGGAGGTTCAGAAGTTCCTCGGTTTGTGCAACTACGACAGGAGTTTTATGCCTAGGTTTGCGGAAATTTCTGAGCCACTCACTTGTCTTCTTAGGAAAAAAACATCGTGGGTTTGGGGTAGCGACCAACAGAAGGCGTTCCAGGACCTGAAAAGTGAATTGAAGTCCACGACTCTTTTATATCACCCAGATTTATCCCTGCAGTGGCACGTTTCTACGGATGCAAGCGATATTGGTATTGCTGGACAACTCTACCAAATGGTAAACGGTCAGAAACGGGTAGTTGCTTGGGCCAGTCGTTTATTGTTAGATCGAGAGAGGCGCTACCACTCGAACGAGAAGGAGGTGTTGGCAGCCCTATGGTGCATCCAGCGTTGGAGGACATACCTCTTGGCAAACCATTTCCAATTACATACAGACAGTAGGACGTTGACCTACTTGAACTCGTGCAGGCTGCTATCACCCCGGATCACCCGATGGGCACTGGCGCTACAGGAGTTCGATTTCAAAATTATCCATGTTCCGGGGCGTGAGAATTTGGTGGTGGACGCCCTGTCCCGTTTTGCTTGTGTGAGACTACCAACACCCCCCGATAAATGTTTCCACCTCCTCCCGATACTCAAATTGCCACAGTCCCTCCACGAAAAATTGAAAAATATTAAAAATCTACAGGCTGCAGATAACAGGCTTTCCCACATCATAATAAAAATTCAAAATAAGAAAGAATTGAGTGGTCAGTTCCTTTTACACAAGGACATCCTGTACAAACGAGGATCTGATGAGTTTGCGCTAATGCTCTGTATACCAGAAATTTTAATCAAAGATATTGTACTAGCGTTTCACGAAGCCCACGGGCATTTCGGAGTCTTTAAGACCTATTTAGCCTTGAGGGATGAAATATATTTCTTCAACATGCAAAGAACCATAAAGAAGTACGTAAAGTGCTGCGACATTTGCCAAAGGGCGAAAATTTCCACATTGCCTAACCCCCCTCAATCTCAAATAATACCAAGCTCCAAAAATGATTTAATTGCAATAGACACCTTAGGGCCGCTTATTAAATCAAGGGGGGGCGTGTCATATATATTCGTGGTATTTAATGTATTCACGAAATATATCGTATTGTACCCTATCAAAAAAGCCACCACCAAAGCGATGTTGAACAGACTAAATGACTATTTTGAAAACCAGGGTTTGGTGCAAAGAATACTATCCGATAACGCCACACAATTTACCTCAAAATTGTGGAAGACGTCTTTGCAAGACCTCGGTATAAAATTAACGTATATTTCAGTGCGTCACGCGTGCGCAAACCCCGCAGAAAGATGTATGCGGGAAATATCCCGCCTTCTCCGTACTTTCTGCCACGAAAACCATAGTCGGTGGGCGGTTGATATAAAAATTTTGCAAAATTTTATGAATTCGGTCATACACGAATCAACAGGATTCACGCCAAACGAGCTCCAAAACGGAGAAAACCGTCCGAGATTATTACCTGAATTCCTAGCTCCACTGGGCACGCCAGCTCTGTCACACGAACAGAAATTAATCTTAGCAGAAGCCACTTTAAAATCTAGAGCCGAGCGTAGGGCCATAAGTCACCCGGGACGCCCTTATAACAGGTATAGTGAGGGAGACCTCGTCCTGTTGAAGGCGAATAATATTTCGTCAGCTTTCCGATCGGAAACAAAAAAACTATTACTCCTTTTCGAAGGACCTTACAGAATTAAAAAATCTGTTAGGGAGCATACTTACGTGTTAGAACATACTGATAAAAAGGCCGAACGCGGGATTTTTCACGCGAGCCACTTAAAAGTGTACCACCTACCACCGTAGCAATTTTTTTTTCCATAGACAACTATACAGTGTTTTTAATAATCAAATCAACAGCTGTCCTACGTTTTCGCTAAATACTCAGGTTATATATCATATATCATATACAGGGTGTTGCCGTTTTGTTAGGCATCGCCACACAGGTCGCGTCATGCACGGGACATTTAACTTTTTTGGAGGGGAGTCGGATGTAGCAGATCAAATGGAGATTTCCCGCTTCATGGTAAATGATCGAGGATCATTATTAAAATATTTTTCATTTGGTTGTAAGTGTTTTCAGATTTTCTCTTTTCACCTACTAGGTACCTCACCTTTGCCAAATCCAAATCGGAACGAACACAAATCCTAAAAATATCTTTGTCGCTCTCTAGCGTCGAGAGGCCGAACATTCCGAAATAAACTGTAACAGGATCTGTACGACAGAGTGCAAGCTTCGCGTATGTATTGGACGAGGACGCCACGTGCCCTACCTTTGTGAAAATTGTTTTTGCATTCAAATCCGAAAAAAGTGTTTCTACCTGAACGAATAGTTTTCTGACCATTTTGATACCTGATTTCATTCGGAACGCCATTGGGTCCTATATATTATATCGTTGAATATTTCTTTAAAATACTTTGCTTGGGGTTTGGAATACCCGACGTTTTCGTGTATGCACCCGCATTTATTTTAGGTGAGTCTTACCTTTGTATGATCAATTTGATGTTCATAATGATATTTTTTGTATGTATGTTCCTCCGCCATGTGGGTATTTCCCATTTAGATTCAATGTAAGATATACTTGAATTTATATTACATTTATTTTAGAGTCATCGATTCGATATAAATAAACCCGATTTCACCTCAAATTATTACGAGTACGTTTTCATACACACATCCAAGAAACCCGAAAACACGAACTCCCTGAGAGTTTTCTTGCACCCTTAATAATTGAATTCTTCCGACAGCAATCGAAGATGGTCAACTTGGAAATAATCGAGGACTCACAATGGATTTCGGACTTCGCATTCTTCACAGATTTACTTGAATACTTAAACAAATTGAATAAAAGCATTTAAGGCAAAAATCAGATTCATGACCAAGCCTGGACCCAAATAAAGGCGTTCAAGTTGTAGTTGTGTTTGTTTTTAACGCAAATTGCACAAAGAAATCTCGCACATTTTCCCAGGATACAGACCGTTGGCGAATTGACTAATGATACAGTTAATTTTTATGTAAGTCAACTCAATCGCTTGGAAAACGAGTTCATAAGAAGATTTGAAGACTTCAAGAATATAGAAAATGACTTGAAAATATTTTCTCATCTATTTGCCGTTGATTGTGAGTAAATTGCAGCTGAGTTCCAACTCGAAGTAATCGAACTACAATGTGATGAAACTCTGAAACAGCTATTCAACAACTCATCAAAGCTTGATTTTTATAAAAGTTTACTAAAATCTAATTTCCCAAATTTAATAAAATACGCTCAGAGAATCATGTCCATGTTTGGGTCTTCATACATCTGTGAGCAGGTATTTTCTACAATGAAGCTGCGTAAAAATGTTCTCAGAAATAAGATGACTGACGAACATCTTGAATGCGTTTTGCGGATCAGTTCGAGTGAAATAGAGCCAAACGATGACATATGATTAATAAACAATCAAAATTTCATTCGTCACACCATCCTCCTACTTCCAAACAATAGTTGAATTGTTAATTGTAATAAATTATATTCTGCCCGCCACATTTATGCACATTTATTGAATGTTTTTCGATTCGTCATATCTACTATAGCTGGCCTTATACCTAACCGATTATTTTTTGTTTTGCAGGTAGAACCCACTATTTGAATTTCGACCCGAAATCATCTTCAGATGATGTCACCGAGGAGCAGATTACCAATTTGGTGCAAAGGTCCATGTTTGCTCCGAGATTAGGAAGATCCATGTTCGCACCAAGACTGGGCAGAGATACAGTCGAAATGGGACTTGAATAACGAACCGTATAATGAAGAACAATGATTATAATAATTGTTGAACAATTCCGAATACAATAAATTTTCTTGAAGTTGCAAGTATTTTCGAATTTTTATTGCTGATGATTTTTCATAACAAAAATGATGATCGTGATGCATAACAATGAGGATACCTGGCCCAACTAAGACCACATCGAGTCTAGCTATATCTAGGGTGCCTCGAACATATAATTTACGCCCTTTAAAAAGTGTGGACACACTTGTCACGTTATTGAACAGCTGAACAAAGAAAATGAGACACAAACATGTTTTATAAGAGATGGAATGTCATTATTCTGTACCCATTCATTGAAATATTTCTAATGATTCAAAATTTTTAATCATTTGAAATCAACAAACTCAAAAATTTTAACATTTTACCTAACGATCAATTAGACCTCAATAGGTCACCACTGTTGAATTTGTTTTCTTACTAGGTCATAATATGTATTTGCTAGCATCCCTTTCTAGTTAATCCGTTACACCGTATTTTAATGTGGATATTGTGGCTATTTTCCGAAAATGAGGGTTTAACGAACCTTTTCCGTCGACCTCGTATTAACGACTAAGTTTAATGTATATGAAATCGTTCATTAATGACCCCTATTAATGAACGATTTGTCTATTAATGTACGATTGTTTTATAGGCAACCAAACATACACCGCGTGCATTCATTGTTTATGCTATAACTAGCGGAATCTGCATTTAAATCGAAAATATGGATTTCATCGACGATTTTCCGTTAACGGGTTCGCCTTTCCAAGTTTCTGACACGGTTTTAATGTTTTAATCCATGTTTTCTAACACAAGGAATTTATTTCCTATGTTGATCATTTCGACAAATGTCAAATGACACTAATGTCAGTAACAAGGCTACTGGGTGATTCTTAGCAGTTTCCGGATGGATGAATGAATTCGCGAACCAAGATTTCTTCATTGCAGGAGAAATGAGAAATATAGTCGACGGAAAAATATTGTAACCAACTTGTATATTAAAAGGAGATTAATGATCTCGAACATTAACGCACTCGCTTCGCTCGCACGTTAAAATAGCTCGATTATTATCGCCCTCATTAATACACTAGTTGGTTAAATAACTATTTCCGTCGACCTCGTATCAACGACTAAGTTTAATGTATATGAAATCGTTCATTAATGACCCCTATCAATGGACGATTTGTCTATTAATGCACGATTGTTTTATAGGCAACCAAACATACACCGTGTGCATTCATTGTTTATGCTATAACTAGCGGAATCTGCTTTTAAATCGAAAATATGGATTTCCTCGACGATTTTCCGTTAACGGGTTCGCCTTTCCAAGTTTCTGACACGATTTTAATCCCTGTTTTCTAACACAAGGAATTTATTTCCTATGTTGATCATTTCGACAAATGTCAAATGACACTGATGTCAGTAACAAGGCTACTGGGTGATTCTTAGCAGTTTCCGGATGGATGATGAATTCGCGAACCAAGTTTTTTTTTATTGCAGGAGAAATAAGAAACATAGTCGACGGAAAAAATTTTGTAACCAACTTGTATATTAAAAGGCGATTAATGATCTCGAACATTAACGACTCGCTTCGCTCGCACGTTAAAATATCTCGATCATTAATCGCCCTCATTAATACACTAGTTGGTGAAATAACTATTCCACAGGTAATTCTAATCCTTCAGGTTGGGAAAATAGGACATACAGAGTGTCTCCCTTCTAAAGGAAACACCCCGGTATCTTACGTATAATGAATGGGTAGGGATTCTGAAATCTGCTGGAGCCAGTGATTTACACCGCTCGCCAATAGCCATGGAACCATCCCAAATTCCGGAAAATTATATTAGGAGTCGAAATAGGTAGAAAATCACTTCGGATTCGGAATCAGGACGCCCAATTCACTGAATATTCATATTCTTCCTGAAAAAATTTCAGTTCTGAAAATTTTCATTGAAACATCGCTGTATCTTACGTGATCGTGTTAGTATCCTGAAATTTGCTGGGAGCGAGAGATATACGAAAAATTCACTCTATGACTGAGTGAGGTCATATTCAGTGATGGACAGTTGCGATTTGTGGAGCATATAAACAATATTTCAGTGAATACATTAAAATTGTTGGGATTTATCTTGCGTAACTGCAAACAATTGTCAGTGAGTTCAATACGAACTGTATATATGGCATTAATAATATCTCGGTTAGAGTATAGGTCAATCGTTTGGTCACCCTTTTATGAGAATCACTGCACTACATTAAAAAGAGTTCAACATAAATTCATGAGATTCTGTGCATATAAAATGAACATTCGTATTGATAACCATGACTATACCTCTATTATGAACATTCTCAACCTCAACTCTTTGAATAAAAGAAGAACAATAATTGCTGACCTGATGTTTATGTTTAAGTTGATTGGAGGCCTTGTTATTTGTCCTGAGCTCCTTGAAATGATATTTTTACATGTACCTAGTAGAATTCTCAGGAATTCTGATATGTTTCGAATTTCCTTACATCGTTCTAACTATGGTATGCATTCTCCTATTGATCGTACACTCAGATTGGTGAATGAGAAAAATATAGATAACAGGCATAACTCTTACTGCATTCAAAAGTAATGTATTGAGAACATTATGAGCATCATTACATAATATAATAGTTTCAATTTGTATAATCAATAGATATGGGCATTTTGGTATATAATTTCCACTGAGGAAGTCATTTTTCCATCTATTTTCATATTTATAATGTATACTATAATTATTAATTAGTTAAACTCTTTTAGTGACTACATAGATTTAATATTTGTACTTATTATAATGGAGGTTACCCGTACAATAAATAATACAAAAAAAGTTCAGATTGTTATTTCATTATCCCTGATGAGAATTGACTTTATGATTATCAATTTCAGAACAACCATTAGGTGAATTTTCCCATTTAATAAATTTCTCCACCTGGAATGTCGGTGGATCTGTCGCTGCTGGCGAATAGTGTATCATTGAAGATGATCCTACTTGGTTATTGGTCACTTTCTCTTTCCTAAAATTTTCATTTTTCGGAAATTGGGGTGTGGTTCCATGGCTGTTGGCGAACAGTGTATATCACTGAAGATCACCCCACTTGGTCATAGAGTGCATTTTTTGTATATCTCTTGATCCAGCAAATTTCAGGAATTTCACCTGACGAAGGTACTGTGTTAGCGTGTGACTGAGAATTTCGTGGAAATTTCATCGTTTGTGTGAAGTTTTTACATTTGCTATGGATTTCCATCAAGGTACAGCCGAGTCAATTAAAAAAAAGTTTTATATCGAAATCACCCTGTATATTTTTGAGACATCAGTGATCGCTCTGTAGGCGTGAAACAAAAATAACGAAAACAATAGCCAACCTCACACATCGCAGTTATCTTTTATATTGTGAAAAATAAATAACGATTTCTTTATCAGCGATCCTCTAAGATTACGTTCGAAACAATTTTCTAACAAGTTCACATCGCGAATTCTCAATTTTCATGGAATCCAGTTTGATGTCTCTGCATTTGACGTTGTTTTGCCAACTCACCATTTGAAAAAATAATGCATTTTGGTATCATGGAGCGTTAAGAATTGATATAGGGCTTTATCCTGGGGATTCTGGCGATACAAAAATCATAATAAGGTACGTTAACATTTTCCTATATGCACAATAGCTGATAATATTCGAGGTAACCATAAGTTGTTATCTGTTTCAAGGGTATATGAATACCCATGCCAATTTCTGAAATAAAGTTGAATTTTGATAGCTATTTTGAATTTTTAACTTTATATGAAGTGGTTCAGGTGCTCGAGGTTCCTCTTGCCCTCTAGTATTTATAAGCCAAATTGAAAATCAACGAGTTTCTGGTTGAAATTTCCATACAGGCATACATATTAATATGTGTACAGACGGTGAGTACCTACATTTTATAAAGGTTCTGTAAGTACATCAAGCACCAAAGATGTCAGAGAAGACCTCGACAAATAATTGAGGTGTTTTTTTGGGGGGTGTATAATTTGCTGACCAAAATTGAAGTATGCTGACCGAGCATTTCTGATTAGAATTTTCTCTTCAAATTGCATATTTGAATATCTTATATAGATATATAGATGTCACCAGTGGAATCATTTTGATCCACCCATTCAGAGGGGTAGTTTATTCTTGCAGTTCTTCAAAAATCCTTGCTGATCGAGCATTTCTGTTTCGTATTTTTTCCATCAAATCACATATCTGAATATCTCATATAGATTTATAGATGCCACCAGTGAGATAATTTCGATCCACCCCTTCAGAGGGGTAGTTTATTCTTGCTGTTTTTCAAAAATCCTTGCTGACCGAGCAATACTGGTTCGTATTTTTTCATCAAATTACATATTTGAAAATCACATATATATTTATACATGCCACTAGTGGAATTATTTCGATCAACCCTTTCAGAGGGGTAGTTTATTCCTGCAGTTTTTCAAAAATCCTTGCTGACCGAGCATTTCTGGTCCGTATTTTTCCATCAAATTACATATTTGGATATCTCATATAGATTTATAGATGCCACCAGTGGAATTATTTCGATCCACTCCTTCAGGGGGTGATTTGATGGAAAAATACGGACCAGAAATGCTCGGTCAGCAAGGATTTTCGAAAAATAGCAAGAATAAACTACCCCTCTGAAGGGGGCAGAAATGCTCGGTCAGCAAGGATTTGTGAAAAACTGCAAGACAAAACTCTGAAGGAGTGGATCGCAATTATTTTACTGGTGGCATCTATATATTCATATAAAATATTCAAATATGCAATTTGAAAAAAAATTCGAACCAGAAATGCTTAGTCAGCATACTTTAATAATTTTGGTCAGCAAATTATATTTCCCAGTTTTTTTTTTCCAAATTATCACTTCATTTATCACTATAACAATATATTTGGGTATAATCTACCTGTCCTTTTGTATTCCCGGCATTGTATAAGTAGGCATTATTCTTTATCTAATAATTGCACCAGTACTGAATCTCAAAAGAGGGTTCTTTCACTTCAGAATAGCTTTTAGCATAGACTACAGAAGATTTGCGTCCAGCTTTCATTATATTTTTTCAATGAATATGTACTGAAACTATATACCTGATTACCCAAGAGGTAAATTATTATACCACCTATGAATTATTTGTTAGTTCATACGGCTCATGGAATCAATAATAACCAAAATCAAGTGACGTAAATGAAATGAGGGAGTATATTTTTAGACCCATTCGTATGATGAATATGATTTTCGGTATTAACTTTTGATTTAAGCGAAATCAAGTCATTGAAATGGGTAGTACTGCAAAGCAAAATCAAGCTTTATTTTCTCCCCATCATGTAATGTACTGTGTATCAATTAAAATTATAACTTATAATAATTGTCCGATAATTTCAGAGAAAAATGGTTGGCTGTATTGGAAGATCGTGCTTCAGCAAAACTCTTGTTATAAACGATCCCCAAAAAAAGTCCAAAGGTCACCCAAACCCTTCTCAAGGAAGAATAACAATTACTCCTTTGAGTCCATACGGAACACAGATAGAAACAAATAGTACCTCATCACGTCAAAATATTTCCAATAAGTCTTCCCACGTAGATGGAAACGAAAATACTCTAAGTAGTACTCAGTCACGTCCTGTAATTTCTGAAAATGAATTTAAATTGTCCACTACTGAGGAAATTCTCCACTCCAATGGAGATTCGAAAAAAATTGCGGAAAAGACTAAAAGTGTTGTAGAAAATGGAAAGTCCACTAGCGTTTTCGAGACTGTCAACAAACCTCCCAAGATAAATGAGGAAAATTCTGCAATACAATCAAATCAAAATGGAAAATTGACGAATGTCTTCGATACTGTCGACAAACAACCAGTGATAAATGGAGAAGATTCTGATGCCTATCAATCGAATCGAAATACACTAGAAAGCATAGATCAGGTAAGAAAAACGTAGAATCATGCATGGCTATGTGCAACTACTTAATTTTCCTAGCAAGACATTATTTTCCGCATAAGTTTTCCATGGATAATAGGTATCTAGTGAGCTATGAATAACCCATGCACTAAAACCTCAATTAAATCGTTTCAAATAACCATTGTTTTGGGTTATCCTTATCAAGAGATATTGATAGTATTCTTATTTAATACCCTTTCATTTGGATTGAAAATTGATAATTATCAAGTTTATCAATTGACTATACCGGTTAACCCCCCTTTTCTCCTTTGTTTCTATAGCTATACAAGGTGTTTTTGAAATAAGTGCACATATTCAGCACATTAATATGATACAGTTTAAGGAATATTCCCATGATATCAGATTTTTCTAATCCTTCTAATTAACAAGAAATTTCATCCCAAAAATTGAATATGATACGAGAAAAAAATCAAGTACACCACTTTAAAACAATTTAAATGATTGAACTCCACGTGATTGTGCCTACCACATGGAAATTTTAACAGAGGTGACGTCAGATTTGCTACAGTGTAGAACTTTGGGTGGAAAAAGGGGTCTAACCTAAAATTTTATTTTGATCCCTAAATTTTTTTATTAGTGCCATTCGATAGTGCACGTCGAGCTTTCTCAGTGTTTGAAATATTTGCACTTATTTATCTGAAATTCGGATCATCGAATATGCTCACTAGAGGGCACTTTCTTACATCTCAGGAATTTTTTTCATCTTCCGGTTTTCCTGGAAATGACATCAACTTTCAATTTTCAAATGGAACACCCTATATTTTCCTCTCCATAATTGGTTGGAGATTATTACAACGAATTCAACATTTTACTCAACGATCACTAGAGCTCAATAGGTAGGTAATATTTTTGTTCAGGTTAATCCGTCTTACCGAATTTTAATGTAAACTGAGGATGAATATTTGCAAAGATATTGTCTGTCTGTATTGATGATTTTTTTTTTAGGTAAAGCCTAGCATTTCATCGATTGATGAACTACCAAATTCTGGAAGGAGGAGGACTGGAGTTGCTCCTATTCCTGTTCGATATGATCAAATGTTCGAAGAAAAATTGCCGGTTTGCATCAAAGGCCCAGAGTGAGTTCACATTTCAAAAATCAATATCTTCCATCACACTTTTCATTCCTTGGTGCATTAATATAGTTCCAAATATGAAAATAGCTATGTAAGCTTCGATTATTGGTGCATACCACAACCACAACCTATCAATCATATATACATAAATAAATATACATCAAAGCTTGGCCAACTTCCACTCTCGCTCCCATGAATTTCAGAATCATAGCTACATAATTAGGAAAGGTATACAGAGGTGCTTGCATCAGAACTGAAACATCATGGTCATGTCATGGTTCCACGTGAGTTTCTTGTCTAGGATTACTCCTAGATATTTGACCTCTTCGGAGAAATTGATAGGCGTCCCATCCATAATGGGTTCCTTCAACTTGATCTTCCTTCTTTTGGTGAATGGAACGATCTCTGTTTTGCTTGGGTTGACATTCAAGCCCTCCTGAAAGCACCAGTCTTTCAGCAAGTTGAGTGCAGTCTGCATTAGGTTTGATAAAATCCCATCATGCTTGCCTCTTATTATTATGACAATGTCACCTTCATAGCCTTGAATATCGAAGCCAGCGGTGCTTAGTTTGTTGAGTAGGTTATCGACAACTATGGACCATAGAAGAGGAGACAGTACCCCTCCATGGGGGCAACCTCTAGTGGCCTGTGCAGTTACCGAGCTGCTTCCCAGTGTAGCTTTTATTCTTCTACTCCTGAGCATGGATTGTATCCAGCCTGTTGTTGAGGCCTCGAGCCCCTTGATGGTTGTGGTTCGCTCTATCGATTCATAGGAAGTGTTATCGAATGCATCTTCTATGTCGATGAAAGCACACAGAGCAATTTCTTCATCTACCTGTGCCTTTTCAATCTTGCCCACCAGACTATATGTAAGGCGGTCTCAGTAGATTTGCCTGATTGATAGGCAAATTGATTTTTGTGAAGCGGACTATTCACCAGAATTTTGCTTCTGATGTGTTGATCAAGTAGTTTCTCCATAGGTTCCTGGAGAAACGAAGTGAGGCTAATAGGTCTATAGGATTTGGGCTGCTCACTGGGACGTTTACCCACCTTTGGAATAAAAACCACATTAACCTCTTACCGTGTTTGCGGGATGTGGCGCAAGAAGAAGCTGGCTCGAAATAATGAAACCAGTACAGGCAGTATCTCCATGATTCCCTGTTGTAGGGCAGCCGGTATAATGCCGTCACCACCTGGAGATTTGTAGGGCTTAAATGTGCTGATAGACCATCGAATTTTGTTTTTTGTGAAGATTTTACCTGTTATCCGGATAGCCTACTTGCAGGTTCTCGTCACTGATGCTTTCTGGGAAGTGAGTATTAATTAGCAGTCTCAAACTTCAAGATTTTTTGTAAACGGGTTGCTGGCGGGACTTCATTGATCCCTTCACAGAACCTCCTCCACGTTAACCTCTTGGATTTCCTCAATTCTTTGTTGTACTCAGTCAGGGCCTTCTTGTGTTCGTCCCAGTTGCCTGTACGTTTTGACCTATTGAAGAGTCGTCTGGCTTCAGCTCTAAGTGCACTGAGCCGTTTGTTCCACCAAGGTACATTTCGATTCGATACCTTTTGTTTCACAGGACAGCTTTGCTCATAAGATTTCATTATGAGATTTTTGAGTTGCGTCGAAACCTGCCCCACGTTGATTCACGAATAAAAGTATTTGTCTAGAAAGAAAATCTTCCGATTTGAATATACAGAGTGTTTCAGATTTTCAGTCAGGAAAATATTATAGGCGATAGTACTCGCAATAAAAAACAGGCTGTGACTGACATATTATCAAAATCTCCAAATTCTAATTAGATAAATACCGTCAAATGGGGTTACGTGAACCGTATTGGCTAAAATGAATCAGTCTGATGTTTCAGTACAAAAGAGGGAGCTGTTTGCTCCATCTACGTCTCGGGAAGGGGGGTGTTTCGCCACGTTTGAAGAAACACGAGGGTATCATGAACACACTGTAGGCTCTAACAGATTTTGCTATTTTTACGAAACTGTTCAAAGGATTGATTGTGGAGGCACTAATTTTATCATTTTATTTACTAACTTGCTCTAAATGTGTTTAATAGTTATAACTGAAAATACATTTGATGAAATTTCTGTCCAAATATTTTCAGTAAAATTTCAGCTTTTTTTACTTTCAAGTGGTCACTATAATGAGTAAAATGAATCATTCTAATTTGAGAATGGGGTGCTATACTATGAATCAATCATCAATTTCTAATAATTTGATTTATTCTCAGCATGCCAAGAATATATTATATGTATAATTAAAATCACATGAAATATAATGTGTTTGATTTTTTCTACCTCTGAGTATTTTGAAATGAGTTTTCACGCGTTTTTAATGCCGGATTCATTTTACCCCGAAGTGGTGAGTAAAGCTAATCAGATTTCACAAAAAAATGACGGCCTTTCCCTAAATTTTTCAAAATTATTTTCGACTTTAGCCATTCTAAAAGGATGCCATCAGGACCTACATTATTTTTTGTCCCAATACTTTTCAAAAAACGATAAAAATAGCTATTTATTTCACTAGGCCGTGTGAAACATATAATTTTTTCTCCAAATGTTATGAAGCCCATTTTGTGCAGATTTTTTGTTGAAAACATCATCATTTTTTGTTCACCCAATGTCAGTGTCAATTTTGATTGCCAATTTTATTAGAATTTTTTGGAACGTTGCATAGCAACAAACTTTTCCTGCCTAGGTAGTAAAAGTACAGCTTTAATGCCTGTTAAGTGTCAGAGAAAAGCCATTTTCCCTACTGCTTGGAGAAAAACGCATTTTTTTGATTCACTCAACTCCTTTTGGCGGTACTGTAAGAAAACCGTGACTTTGCATTTTACAGGGATAAGAAGCTGATCAAAACAGCAATCGAACAGAACGAATTCATCAACCAAATCATCTCCGAAAAGGTGGTGGACGACGTAATCGGCGCCATGTACAACAGAGAGGTGTCCGCCAATGAAACCATAATAAAGCAGGGCGACAAAGGGTCTCATATGTACATTTCGGCGAAAGGAAAATTCCAAATAATCGTCAAGGGTGAAGTCGTTACCGAATTCGAAGACGTTCGTGTCTTTGGCGAATTGGCGATCCTGTACAACGCCAAGAGAAGAGCTACCATCAAAGCAATGACTGCCGGCAGGGTTAGTGTTATTGTTTTTTCTGTGACAGGAAAAAAGTTTGACATCTCATCAGAGATGTATAGAAATTCAACTGGTGCGCTTGCTCCCTATTGAAGGTCGTTTGCAAGTTTCTCGATGGCGCCTACTCTGATAAACCTTTGATAAACATACTTGACGTGGGTAAATCTCGCTAAGCTCATCCTAGTTACAATCCATATTTACAGGAAACATATTACCGACCGATAAATATTTGGATACGTATATGATTTGGATCAGAGCAGTAAACTGATTCCTGATCAAAGGATCGAAACGTCAATAGGTCAAAAATATTCTTGAGCTGAAAAAATGGTTATTTCTGAGATTGGGGTCGAGTGTTCGTTAGGGACGTGTTCCGTAGTTTCTAAATTTTGTGTATAATACCTAATCCACAATAAAAAAAAAGAAAATCTCTGTTCAACAACAGTATTATTTCAGTGATTTGAAATATTAGGGTGAGCTGGTGTGAATAAATTCTAAGGTGAGTACCAGTTACCATATCTGCCTATTATGATTTTCGATATTGGTCTATTTCAATAGTTGATACACTCTTTGTTCTGGTTCTTCAAAGAGGAAATTCATCAGATTTCATGCTTTAAATAGGTTCATGTCATGAAAGAAGTGAAGCTTATTAAAATCGGCTACAAAAAAGATTTCTTGCTTCTATTTCAAATTGAAATTTGAATGAAAATGTTGAGCACAGTATTTATTCGACCACAGAACAATGATGAAAGTAGATTCATCCCTCACAGAACCAAGGTTTTGAACGATTTTCCGATTATGGCGCCTCTATCTCAAATACCTGAACCCCACGTCCAAAACTCGCTTGCAATTGTTCCATATCGAGAGTTTAGATCTATGGTCTGACGAAACAATTGCAGAGTGAGCCCACCAGTTAAATTTCTATACATCTCTATCTCATCTCTATTGACAGGTTATGAAATGTCATTGAAATGGAACATTCTCAGATATATTTATGAACAGAAAAAAATAGGTATATAAAGAAATACATTGAGAATTCGCATTCTCCATGTGATGAAAATATCAATTCTATCACGGTTTATTCAACAGAAAACAACTACTTTCCTGGCTATATGCCACGACGAATATTGAATTACATCTATTGAACACACACGATGAGAATTTGAAAACAAAATCTTCTGAAGTAGAGAATTTTCATTCTCCTTCATATAAAGATATGCATATAATATAATTCTGAATATTCAACAGAAAACAACTACTTTCATTGAATTATATCTGTTGAATATCCAAAAAGAGAGCATGAAAGTACAAAATCCTCTGAAATTGAGAATTAACATCATCTCCCCAATCGAATAGAATAATATGATCAGTATTGAAATGAAAAATGAAATGTAAAGGAGAAGTATACTTGTATGAACTCTGATCTTGATGAGCTTGGAACTTCCAAAGAAATCATATGATATCCGAAATGAATTCATATAACCTGTTTGTGAGAGATATAATTCCCATATCACTGATACGAACGTTATTTTTATAGACCTCGATCGCAGATTAGTGATTAGGTTTTTCTCAATTCAGAATTTCTTTCCACGTCCTGTATGATGAATGTCAATTTATCATACATTTTCAGTTTTTGGATTATCTGAGAAAAACGAAAATTTGTAATTTTCGTTTTTATTTTTTCAAGCAAAAACCAAAAGACCTAGACGTTTCTAAATAGGACATTCTTAAGGCACTTTTTTACAAGGAATCTGAATCTGTCATCGTATTTTCCATGACGTTTTTATTCCATGCCTACCCTGTTTGATACGAATACGAAATTATTTGGACATTATTTCTCCTTTACTATATTGGTAGGTGAAAAGTTTGCATGTATTCTGTAATCTTTGTCACTACTGCTATACTTCTAAAAGGGGAAAAACTTCTCAACTAGAAATGTTTGATTCGATTCGATTCATCAGGTAATTTCTGTTCGTCGATTTAATGTATATAATCTCTGATTACTACAATATTTCCTCAATAGTCTTTTCAATAAATATTGAATATTTGTGATAGAATATTCAAGGCTGGTGACATCTATCAAGATCATGCATCATCCACAATTAAATTTTGAAGATAAATATTGGCATACTCCATCACTATAAACGAAGCCTTCCACAGGTCTGGGTTCTGGACAGTGAGGTATACCAACAAATACGCATCGGTAAAAACATTAAAGAGCAGGAAGAAACCATGACCTTCTTGTCGAACAACGAAATACTCAACGTAGTCGGCAGAGAAGCCCTACAGATAGTCGCGAATCTATTGAAAACGGAGTTCTACCCCTCTGGACAACAAATAGTGAAACAGGGTGACAAAGGTAGGTCAATCAATGTGAAATTCCCTTCGATAATGGCATTTTTATATTAACACCATCTGGTGTACATTCACACTAACCAGTGTAAATTAACACCATGTGGTGTACATATTCGCCATTTTCAGGTAACACATTCTACATCATCAGAGCGGGCACCGTGACCATAACGAAGACTGGCGAGGGTGTCGTAGGGATCTACAAAAAGGGCGATTGTTTCGGGGAGCTGGCCCTTCTCGAGGATGACCGTCGCCAAGCGACGGTAACAGCCAATCCACCGGGAGTAGAATGCCTCACCCTCGCCAGGAAGGAATTCATCGACCACTTCGGAGATGTCAAGAAGTTCAAGTACATGCCCGTGGCACCGAAAGGGTCCATCAGACCGGCAGCCGTCGAACACAACGACATCAGCTTGAACGATCTGAAGATACGGAAGACTCTGGGGGTAGGAGGTTTCGGCAGAGTGGAGTTGGTGCAGCACACCAAACAGGAAAATTTGGTGTTTGCCTTGAAGTACCTGAAGAAGGTGGAAGTGGTAGCTCAAGGTCAACAAGAACACGTGTTTAATGAGAAGAATATTCAGATGGCGTGCCAGTCGCCTTTCATAGTCAGGTTGTTCAGGACGTACAAGGACCAGAAGTACATTTATTTTCTAATGGAATCTTGTTTGGGTTAGTGGAAACATATCAAAGCAAACATAATTGATACATGTTTTTTTCGTCAGTGTTTGTACATTATTTTCTCGACATGCGTATAGTAGAGTCTGCATCTATTTCTGGTTGTTCATATATATTTAGCACTTGTCTACCTTGGCTACACTGCGAATACTGTTTGTGAATACACTGCGACCTAAAAGATCTATTGTCTCCTTTTCTTTTGCTATGACCGATAAGGTCCTTAGCTGTAGTTATTTCTCTAGCCCTATATCCCTCGGAGATTTCAGAATATGTGGTGGGTCCAAGTAGAAAAACTCCTCCTTCTCTATTATGAGTGCTCCTATTGGTTTCTTGCCCTTGGGTTCTATGTTACACATTCCGAAAGTAGGTGGATAGAGGTTTCCTTCTCTTCTCCATAGCCACATAACCTGCATCCGTCTTTCTCTTCTAAGCCGTCTGTCTTCTCAATTGATAGTGCCCAGTTAGGATTCCCATCAGCTTAGGCTGACATATTCTTTCGATCTTTAGTGGTTTTATGTACATACCTATCCAGTAGTATCTCAAAATGCTAAGACCTTGAATTTTTTTTATGTTCTGGTTCCCACGAAAAGGGATATCCTGTAATGTTTAGAGAACATCGTGAGAACCTCGCTGTTCATTGGATGAACGAGTCTTTGGAAAGATATGTTCTGCAGGTCTCCAAAGTGACCACGAAGGGGTGCGAAGCCTCAACTCGACGGGTTAATCTCGCAGGGACTGCCAATGAAGGAACAATTGTTGATATTTCAGAAGAGCATCGTCCATGAAAATATCTATAAAATAAAGCCAGATCGCCAACTTTTCCACGGTGTTTCAGAGAAGCGAGTGAATTTGTGAGCGAGGCATCACCCACGAGACGAATTAACTTTTTTGGACAAAATCCAACAGTTTCAGGGTATGTTTGGGTGCTGCACTCCAAATATGGGAACAGTATTCCAGGACAGGTCGGATCGTGCCTTATAGATGATAAGCAGCTGACTGGAAGTGGAATAGCTCCGGGCACGAAACACAAAACCAAGTTTTTGGGATGAACTTCTAGCAATTGATCTCACGTGATTTTCCCAAGAAAGGTTATTGGTGATAGTAATACCAAGCATCGAAATGGATGTCTTCAAAGGTATGGTTACTCCTGACAAGCTTATGTTGGGCAAAGTGAGATCGGCTTTTTTAGAGAAAAGGCATGCTTGTGTTTTGTTTGCATTGAAATCTACCAAGTTATTGGATCCCCATTCGAAAATTGTTGCCAAGTCCATATTTATGTTGTCAACATTTCTTCCTCGTTCGTTTCTGATTTGCCTGGCTGATATTGGAGCCCTGGAAGAGAAGGCGGTATGGAGGGTACTATCATCCGCGGAGCTCTGTACTGGACACGAAGTTGCTTCCAATAATTAGTAGAAATAGTGTTGGTGCTAGAAGAATATTTTCCCAGATGACTAAACCTTGTTTAGCTTTTCCTCCTCTCATTTTTTCTGATAAAGTACTACTATTGATCCCGCAGGAGAGTTCTGGCGACATGAAGGGTGTTTGATCTTCTTTTCCAGCGAGTTTGTCCGCTACTTCATTTCCTTCTGCTCTGGAATGTTCCGGAACCATTGAAGGATGACTGATATTTCGTTTGACTAGCTCGTTCAGTTTTTCCCGGCATTCCCAAAACATGTTAGAGCTGATAATCATATAGCTCAGCGCTTTAATGGTTGCTTGACTATCAGACATGATAATGATATCTCGTCTCTCATAGCTTATTTCTAGATTGAACTCTACACATTGCATGTTGATTTGCCAAAACTTCCGAAGTACCTGGCAAGAGAACCAAGAGGTCCGTGACTCCTATTCCAGTTCCATATTCGGTTTTGGACCCATATGATAATATGAACCTGATATTTCCTTATCAGTTACTCAGATAGATATCTTTCCCAGAATATAGTTGTTTATCAAGCTCAATTCAATGATCTCGGATTGCCCTTCTATTATATTGCATTGCCTAGGTGGAGATCTATGGAGTCTGCTACAGAAGCAAAAGATCCGTCGCTTCGAGGAGAAAGAAGCTCGATTCATCTGCGCGTGCGTGCTAGAAGCCCTCGACTACCTCCACGTCAGAGGCGTCGTTTACAGGGACCTGAAGCCTGAGAACCTCCTCATCGCAGCCAACGGTTACATCAAACTCACCGATTTCGGCTTTGCCAAGAAGATATCCGGCAAAACGTATACGTTCGCGGGAACCCCAGAATATGTAGCGCCCGAGATAGTGCTCAACAAAGGACACGACAAGGCGGTAAGTCAAAGGATATCCTAAGGAGTTGTAATCGGTGAAGTGATCATTCAATGGAGGAACACATGGAATACCTAGATACGAAGTTTCATCGTAGTAAATTTTTTATTTATAAATAATAGAAACCAATTCGAAGAAATATTTTCCGAACTATGAAATTGTTCATGAAGTCATCTCTTTCATTACATTTCGCCAAAATCGGTATAGGATTATGAACACATCAAGCAACAGTATTTGGAGTGTATAGACGAGTGGACTATTCTTTTTCATCACTCAAATAGATTCATTACTCAATTTCCTTTCAATTCCAAATGTTTGTAGATTTTTTTGGTCGATTTCACGGTATTAAAATCATCAATATTGCCAAGGTAATTTTCAAACGGCTACTAATTTACCGCAAATCAGAACTGACGTCACGATTTCGTAATTCATAAATTCTCAAATATGTATTGGTAATATTCTGAATCAGCTATAAAAAACTCATTGTCTTTTACTTTTCCCTCTTATATGTTGTGTCTTATTATTGGATGATTTATTTGAGTTGATACTAATTTATTACATTAATTCACACTATAGGAGATTTGATACGGTGAACGTGACAACACAGGATTGTGGGCATTGTCTTGTCAGTTCTCTGTGTTTAGAACAGCATTACCAAGTCTATTGCCTAGCAAACATTCACATGATGTTTTGTTATTGGGTTTGAGACATATTTTAGCAAATTGATTGTTCGAAAACGTCATTTTTTTATGTTCTGGTTCCCACGAAAAGGGATATCCTGTAATGTTCAGGGAACATCGTGGGAACCGAGGGAAATCAGGTAGGAATTGGTGTTCTTCTTAAATTTCTGGAGGTAATATGCCTCGGGGAACACCTCTCTTGGCAATGTGTTCCAGAGCCTGAACGAGTCTTTGGAAAGAGATGTTCTGCAGGTCTCCAAAGTGACCACGAAGGGGTGCAAAGCCTCAACTCGACGGGTTAATCTCGCGGGGACTGCCAAGGGAGGAACAAATGTTGATATTTCAGAAGAGCATCGTCCATGAAAAAATCTACATATCATGGTTTCCTCCTGTTAGATCTAACAAAATATTTAATTTGGATATAGTTTTATTTAACTACAGGGCTCTGACAACTTTTTAATAACTTGTTTAAAATATAATTGGTGACTTGACAACCTTGCTTAATGAGTGGGAATGGAAGATTATCTGACAAATAATGTAATTGCATAAAAACTGACGTCACTATATATATATATATATATATCTAACGTATCGAAGAACATGTCTCTTCACATATCTATACCTCGTTGTCCTCTCTGAACTGCTATGACCATCTGGTGAAGGCTAAGACGTCCGTTCGTCCAACCCAGAGATTTCAGTCAGTACCCCTATATGTGAAGGCGCAGTAGTTGGCGATCCCTGCCAATCAACCACACCGTCTTCGACTTGCTTGGACCGGCCATCAGGTGTTTTGATTGCCTGCAGACGCCTATATGCCTTCAATATCCTTCTAGTGCTTTGTCTACCCATTCCTTGAGGGCGGACGAAACTTCGCTTCATATAATGCCCAGTGCAGGCTTCTGTTCCCAGAACGGTATCGCGGATCCGATTCTATAGCCAGTTCGTCTGCAACTTCATTCCCGGGTATCCTCGTAAGACCCAGAACGCATACTGATTCGACCTCCTTCAGTTCAGCTAGTGCCAGGATGGCAGATATCTTTGAGCGCTGCTTGACTGTCCGAGCATGAAAAGTTCTGACGATTTTAACATCCATGACAGATACCTTTGAGTATCCCTTTTGTCTATCAAATATCCCACTCCACTTCTGTATTTGAAGCAGGTGGACTATTGGGCGTTCGGAGCCTTCGTCTTCGGGATGCTATCGGGTAGAATAATGTGCAGATAGCTTTGAGTATCCCTTTTGTCCATCAAATATCCCACTCCACTTATGTTTTTACCAGGTGGACTATTGGGCGTTCGGAGCCTTCGTCTTCGGGATGCTATCGGGTAGAATAATGTGCAGATAGCTTTGAGTATCCCTTTTGTCCATCAAATATCCCACTCCACTTATGTTTTTACCAGGTGGACTATTGGGCGTTCGGAGCCTTCGTCTTCGAGATGCTATCGGGCAGAACTCCATTCCGCACGGACGACAGCAGCCACATGCGCACCTACAACAAGATCCTGGGCGGCATAGATGCCGTCTCCTTCCCCAGCTACATCAACTACAAGGCCAAGCACCTGATCGAGAAGCTGTGCCGGCCGGTAGCCATGGAACGGCTGGGCATGCAGGACGGAGGGGTGCAGAAGATCAAGAGCCACAAGTGGTTCCTCGGGTTCGACTGGGCGAAGCTGGCGAAGTGCGAGGTACCGTCGCCGTTCAAGCCGAAGCTGAGCGGGCCGGTGGACACCAAGTACTTCGATCAGTTCAAGAAGGACGTGTTCGAGCCTCCGGACGAGTTGTCGGGGTGGGACGAGGGATTTTAGAAGTGCAAGACAACGATTATTGATGTACTACTGCCTTGTACGATCCGATAGACCGAACAGGATATGGAGCAAAAGTTGCGGTTATGTGGTGTGCATACGGACTATTTTCAGCTATAGTTCTGTTTTCCTTTTTAGTTTTATCGTAAAGACGCATTGGTCTATAGTTGGAGTGCTCAAACTGTCGATCTAGAACACATCTATATCGTCTCACTGATCTATATGAACATTTTTTTTCTCTTTACGCGAGTCGTTAATCTATGCGCTGTTCTGATCTGTTCTTCAAGTGTCGCCAACTTCTCAATTATAAACCTATTATATTTTGCATATTTTCAACAATATGATGATTCCTATAGAATGAGTTCATTCACGTAATAATATTGCTCATTATAAAATCCTATCTAACCCTCCTGTCATGAAGATTTTTCGAGTTTTTACAGTATGTCTAAGATAAGGATGTCTATCATGGGGTAAAGTTGATGATGGTTTCTCCGAAACGAAACGTCGTACGGAAAATATCTCAACGATGTTTTATACAGCTTAAAAAGTGGCAATGAGAAAGTGTAAAAAAATAAAAACGATCTCCATCATTGAAATCCTTATCATCTTGGACACAGTGTATACTCAATATTTTTACTGTCCTAATTTGATACGACCTTCTATAATGTCTAGGTGAATTCGTTCTCGTAATTATTTTCAAATTTGCTTGAGTTTATTACAATATTTTCAGCTATAGTTCGGTTTTCCTTTTTGTTTTATCGTGAAGGTGCTCAAAATGTCGATCGAGATCGTCTCACTATATAACATATAACCTATAAACAACAAATTGAATGGAAGAACAATGCAAGTTCTTAGTTTTACGCTTAATATTGAACTCTCGCATACTGTCACTATATAGCCAAATACACATTATGCACAATACACCAACCGAATCCGATGATCTACAACGAGTATATACATAGGTACTAGACTTCAAACAGAGAGATCAAAGAAATGCAATGCTGACGTTGATACATACTGCGCAGGTGCTTCAACCAATTTTGATGCACGCTTGTTGGTCGTAAAAGTTCTTCACTCTTATCCTCATGTATTGTCCTTCCCTGTGTTGCTCATTCAGTGGTTTGAAAAACTGTTCTAGCTGGTACGGATATCTTTTCACTTTATTCATTTTCCACTGATCAGTCACTGTTACTGCATAATCATGATCGCATATAATTCAAATCCTTGTGATGAAAACACAATAAACGAATCTAATCTAATATCAATAGCAATCGGATGAAAAATTACGTTCCTCATACAATTCCTATTCGAATTCGTATTTTGTAAATATCGCGAACCACTTATTCAAATAATTCGTATGGTTGATGAATTATTTGAATATCACATGAATATCATTCAGAGATTTCAGAGAATATAATGATTTTTCAGCATGTATAACTACAATGTGTTTTTATTTACTGATAAAATAATACCTAGTCGTTATGGAAGTAAATCATCTCCGGGAGAGAAAGGGCACACAATTCATTAAATAGAACTGACCTGTTTATGTTGTACACCCAATACATTCGATGTGAGTCATCAACCATTATTTATAGTACATGGATGTAATAAAAGCGTGAATAAGGTTTTACTCACAATTTCATTATTTGATATTATTGAGTACGGCGCAAAATAAATTTTTTTTTCTACATTCATGCAAAAAGCAGCACTTTATTGAACTATATTTAGTGGAAAAAGAAGTTCTTTATTGCACGCACTCATATGCCATTCTACTTCAACGTGCTGTCATCATGACAAACATTTTTTATATTGCAACTGTGGTTATAGAAACGTCAGTCAAAAATTAATTCAGACAATTAACAGAATTGTACCTAGTGCCGCACCTCCATAAATCATTTTTTGCTTTTTGCATGAACGTAGAAAAAAAGTTGTATGCAACTCGTGCAAAAATTGTTTATTGCACTCGACGATTCACTTTTTGCACTTGTTGCATAAATAATTAAAAGTAAAAAAATTATACAAGTGATGATCCTGAATGTCAGTCAATTATAGTAATTGAAATTAGTTTGTATTTATTTTTTTCCATACAGAGTATCGACCTCCGATATATACTATTTTCTACGGCTATAACACTAAATTGTTGTTGTTTTACTGTGTTCGATACATCAATGAGGAAGTTTGTATGTCATCAATTTTATTTCCATATCTGATATCACAATGACTCCATTATGTTCTTATTTCAGAAAATCTCATCGCTCATGTAATGTCAAATTTCAAGCAATGACACCACTGTCTAATAGATTAGCATTACTTGAGAGGAAATCAGATGGCTACAAGACGAATAAATAAAAAACGCCGCTGCTATCTGTTACGGCCGTAGAAGAATTATAGTGCATAACTCGCACGGGATGCTAATTTCCCACTTGAATGATTCATTCATTCTCTTGGACAATCACTAGCATTCCGTGCTCGTTGAATAATATATTATAGCAGCTGACTATATGGAAAATATCAATGAGAAAGCTTTGAATTTGAAATCGTACGAATCTCTGTTTGGTGTTTAACCGACTGACCCCCCTCCCTCTACTACCGTCCACAAAAGAATTTTGTTTTTCTAACGCTAGTCATCGGATCCGCTTTTCAATTAGCTTTCTATGAATTGTTATAAGCAATGGCGCATGTTTACGAAAATAATGAGTTGATTTACGGCGAGCGTCGCCAAAGTGCAGCAGCAGCAGCAGTTCGTTTGTAGACGGAAATATTTCCGTTGAGAAAACATCTGACACCGCGAATGTTCGTTGATTTTGTGCAAAGGTTCCGTGACACAGGGTGTTCCAAGGAACAAAGAGAAAGACATTCTGGAATTGATCGATATAAAATCCAAAAATGAGTACTAGGTCCATAGCAGGACGAGCCGGTGTGGATCACTTCAAGATCGTCCCAGCGTGGGTTGAATTTGATCTGTGGCTTACGGACAATTTACAAAACTCATTTGGGCTACAGAAGAAGCCATATTTACACGAAATGTGGCAATTCCCATATTTGGGCAATAGAAAACTGAAATGAAGGTGACATTCCTTCTCCTCTAAAATAGTGACAGAAATCACACTACCTTTTGATGGTCAGCAATTTCAGCAGAATGTTGAGTCGAAATATTTGAAATGAATAGTATGTCTGCTCACACTTTCAGTGAATTTTTTCGAATTCGGAATGAATTCAGTACTTTCATTTGAATTCGGGATATAGCCTCAATGAAAGAATTCAATGTGACAGAAGTGCATGTCAAATTGATTTTCGTTCAGATCTCTGGTTCCTTTCTGGTTCAGATTCAAATACTGTCAATCATCTGTAAATAATTGTCGATGGCATAGAGTACACTTTTGTCACCTTAGATCATGTAACACATTAATTTGGAATTTGGATCGAGACTCGAGAGATAGACTCATGAACCGCTTGAATCATAATTTTGAGAACGACGTTCTCATCGTGGATAAAATGATATTTATATCTTGGGAGCAAAGGTTAATTTCCTCCCATGTGTGTTCATTCATTCACATGCGGGAGAAAATGGATAACTATCCTACAGGGTGTATCTAAATAACACCGAAAAAGTTCAAGGTGTGATTCCTTGTGATATTTTAGGAAATAAAGTTTATATAAACATGTGTCCTAACTTGCTTCGTTTTCGAAATACAGGGTATTAATATTTCCATGAAAAATCGTGTTTTTATTTATTACACAAATTGTCTTTTCATCAATTTCAATGAAACGTTGTGGTTTTGTTAATAGTAATATGGAGCTTTGGAGACTTGCAGAACATCTCTTTCCAAAGACTCGTTCATCCAACGAACAGCGAGGCTCTGGAACATATTGCCAAGGGAGGTGTTCCCCGAGGCATAAATCCTCCAGAAATTCAAGTAGAACACCAATTCCTACCTTATTTCCTTTGATACTCACGATGTTCTCTGAACATTACACTATATCCCTTTTCGTGGAAACCGGTCAACCTGCCCAAAATTGCATTGAAAAAAGTTGGGATTTCCCACGCCCCTGATCAAAATTTCGGAAAATCCTCGACATTTCCATAAGAAGTAATTTGAAATTTGTTTATCTCAAGACAAAAAGTTTCGGAAATATTTACAATGAACCATCAGCTCGGGCCCCAGGGGGCCGTTTCTGATAGGCTCATGTTTATATAAACTATTCTCACTATTTTCGTTCCTAGAATCTGTGGTTGGAATCTTTCTATGTAATTTTGGGACACTCTGTATATATAGCTCAGTCGAACTCAAAAATCAAGATTGAGTTATTGAGAAAACAAAGGAACCTAGAGATATTAATTATCTTGACAATAGAAATGGAGAAAAAAAAGATATTGAACGAATCTCTTATTTCGGCGGAAATGCATATCGTAAAGGAGATTAGATTCTCAATCACCCAAGATAACAATAATTGAAACTTATTTATCAGAATTCGTCGTATCAGTCTATAGAAAAAACTATACACATTCATCTTTCCCAGCGACTTTTCTTCATCCAAGCAAAATGGTAACTTTCTGCTGGGGTATTTTTTGCAAACACGGTTCATATGTACTCGAAAAACCAACAGAATCTTTGCCAGAAGACAGGAGGTCATCAAAACGTGATGGAGTCATCAATATTCCAATACATACAGGCAAACAATCGATAGTACAACATCCAAAAAGTCCAGAGTAAGTAGTACGTAATTAGAATAGAAACCTATACCGGGGGACAACGAGAATATTGGACAGGGCATTATTCAATTGATTTTCAAGATAGAATTTTGAAATTTGGATCGAATACATAGTTCCTAACCTAAAAATGCATATTTTCCATGAAAAAACAATTGAATATCACTTCCGGCTCCACCGGGAATTGACTTTTATAGTATATTACGTAATATGTGTTGTAAGAACCATATTACGCACGAATGGAAAAGTTCATGAGTGCGTAATTGCTTTACAACACGCATTATGTACTATACTTTACCTACTGCCATATGGTACATCAAAAAAGTTTGGACAAACAGTCTGAATTATAATTCTTGACAGTTATGTCATCTGCTGTTGACGGCGATTACGCGATCATGACATACCTATACTGGCGGAATATACGAAAACTGTGCGATGTGCTTACTGTGCGTAAATAGCTACTTACTGAGGCTGTATCTCGTTTGTTCTTGCCTACTTTCTGTACTGGCCGTGATAGATTGAACATAAAAATATTTTCTTGATATGAAATTACCTTCTTAATCGGTTTCTGAGTAGTGCTTACTACACACAGACATATAATTGGAAATAGGTTTCCCAATTTTTGAAATGTTCTCCACAATGCATAATTTTGCAACTGCGGAGAAGCCGTGTATTGATGAATTCGTACTTCATATATTGATTACACTGAGGCACCGAACAACACATCTTGCATCTGATGGTCATTATTACAAACTAAATAAGTCTTCTAACACAATAAACTTCACCAAATTCCTTTATGTTCGTTAGCAGCGTGATGTAAGCGTGACACGCTGCAAACGCGAATGCCAATTGCGAACAAGAAGAACAAAATCGAAAACAAATCAGAATTCATCGTATTGTGACGTAAGCATGAGACGTTGTGGTGGGGCGAACAATGAAAGGGCACAAAAGAACAAAAACAATACTTCCAATATCCTTCGAAGACCTCTTTGGGAAGTGCATATTACGCCTAAAAAAACATCCTCATGTCTACATTTCTGAAACATCCCAAAACATCCCAGGGAAACCTCTCAGTAGGCAAACAAAGAAATGCCACAGAAGAACAAAAACAATACCTCAATTTCCTTCAAAGACCTCTTTGGTCAGTGCATATTACGTCTCAAAATAACATCTTCATGCCAACATTTTCAAAACATCCCAAAACATCCCAGGGATGTTTGTGCTCGCTGGGTCCACGTTCATCAAGATCATAATTAAAATAAATACAATTTCTGACAGAACAATAACTTTTTTGCCAAACTTGAAATATGCAATCATCACCAACAATTTATAGCAGATTTTAATATATCGCGCCAAAAACTTTTCGATGTTAACCAGCACCACAATAACATATTATTCGTTTTAGAGCAGTCCTGTATGTATACATCAAGCACTGTGTCATTATACCCTACTATGTCATTTTGTACACCTTCCCCCTAGGTGTTCTGTAATTTCGAGAATTAAACAGTCAATTTTTTTCAAGTCAAGATAAGGTTGAACAGCATGGGGATCTCGAAAACGGTAGGAGATACGAAGTCGGTTAAATGGGGAAAAAGTTGCACATTCGGAGGCTCATATCAAGAGCCTTCGAAAAATTTTAAAATTATTTTTAGTTTTTGATTTATATCGAAAAAAGTGAATTTTTGGAATATCTATTTTTTTTTTTTCCGTTATTATCAGAGATACAGAATAACTGAAAATACTTTTTCATAGCAACTTTTGATGACGTTCAACGTGGTGATACGCGACGTTTCGTATTAGTAGAACCATCATCAACTTTTGGTTTTTAAATACGGCCCTGATAATTTTTTCACAGATTCTGAAAGGTTTTTTTATTCTGAATTCAACCATGTAATATACAAGGTGGTTTATTTATGTTTCGACCTATTTTCAGCCATCATCAATGTTTTTTCGAAATTCCAAAGAAAAAATGCCATCACTTCCACTTATTTTGAAGGAAAATCAGTCAACACACTAATACTTCATGAACTGGTTTCAATCAACATCCCATTTCATTTTGCAGAAACAAAAATTACATCCATACAAATTCAGAATATGTCACGCGCGAAACCAGGCGATGACGAAAGGCGCAGGACATTCTGTGAGTGGTATACCAGGAAATGTAAAAATTTTGCGGATTTCTCTCGAACAATCATCAGTCCACTAATCATGGTATCTTCGATAGAAAAAATACACATTATTGTTCACGAGAAAATGAACATTTATACATTACAGCGACACACCAAAACACCGTTTCGGCTCTAATATGTGGGTTACAATATTTGGTACACGAATTATTGGTCCTTTTATTTAACATGAAACACAGACTTCCGAACGTTATCAAAATTTGCTTGAGAATCGTCTTGAGGAAGCTCTGGATGATTTACCGATTGCGGAAGTTCAGAACTGTTGGTTTCAACAAGATGGCGGTCCGGAACATAATTCTAGAGAAGTCTGTGCGTTTTTAGCCAGCATAATGGATTGGTATACTCAACTATATTAACGTCATCAAAAGTTGCTATGAAGAAGTATTTTCAGTTTTTCTGTATCTCTAATAATAACGGAGAAAATAAAATAAAATGGATATTCCAAAAAATCACTTTTTTCGATATAACTCAAAAACTAGAAATAATTTTGGAAATGTTCGGAGGCTATTGATATAGCCTCCGAATGCGCAACTTTTTCCCCATTTGAACGACTTCGTATATCCTACCGTTTCCGAGATCTCCATGCTGTTCAACCTTATCTTGGACAGACTGTATATCTAATAACTTGAACTTTCTGTATTTCGAGCAGTAAACTATCTTGAGAACATGATGAGAACCTCAGCTAGAACAGTGTTTCAACCAAACTCAACATCAAATTACTTTTAGAGATGAACAATCAATAAGAACAGCAATAGAGACCAACGACTTCATCAAAAAAATAGTATCTAAAGACGTGATCGAAGAAGTAGTATCCGCCATGTACGATAAAGAAGTTTCAGCAGAAGAAATAGTTATAAGACAAGGCGACAACGGTAGTCACATATACGTGTCAGCAAAAGGAAGATATCAGACGATAGTAAATGAAAAAGTTGTGGATGAATTCGAGGACGTTAGGGTTTTCGGGGAGCTTGCCATCCTCTACAATGCCAAACGGGGTGCTACCATCAAAGCGATGACGTCTGGAAAGCTGTGGGTGTTGGACAGTGACCTGTACCAGCGGATAAGGTACAAACGGAACCTAAAGGAAGAGGATGAGACGATGGAGTTTCTGTTGAACAACGAGAGATTGGGAGTAATTGGTAGGGAGGCTTTACGGTTGGTGGCTAATCTGCTAAAATCCGAGTTTTTTCCAAGCGGCAAGGAAATATTGAAAGAGGGAGATGAAGGTAAGGCACCGGAATGCACTACACGCGATTAACTGCTATACAGGGTGAGTCATTGAAATGGGAAAGTGAGATAACGGCTTCGCTGTTTGAGATAGATGACTATAAATTTTTGTGATGGTCTAGGCTCATGAGCAGCATATTTCTAAATTACTTTGCGTATACTTGTGACTCAAATATGCGTGGCGTATCAAAGTTATACTTTTTATTGTAGGACACCCTGTATTTTATTGCATTTTCGGGTTTCTCCTTTGTGAGCTGATTCCATCAATACATCACACCCGGGATCTAACGGGGATGATTACACAGTAATAAGGTGTTCAAAATCGATATTTTTCAACTTTACGATTTTTTTGGGTCGAAACTATTAATTATTGGTCAGAACGGCTCACATGTCCCAATTTCAACTTTTGATTCACTATCTACTGATATTTAATTATGATGATTGATTTAATTTGGACGAATATAGGGTACTTCAAAATTCAGAATTATGAACCATGTAAGTGCAATGACAGGGTGTCCCATAAGAAAAAGTATAACTTTGATACGTCACGCATTTTTGAGTCACCCTGTATAACGCGAAATATTTTGAAATTGTGCTGCTCATGAGCCTAGACCATCATAAATATGTTTGTTCATCTATCTCAAACAACGAAGCCGTTTTCTCACTTTCCCATTTCAATGACTCACCCTGTATATGATGGGGCACTAGTTTCAAAATGTTTTCTCCTGAACAGGGTATTGAGTGATGATAATTTCATATTTTATGGAAAACAGTTCCTAGAAAAATGTGTCCTTGCTTCGTTTACGAGAAACACATCAAACTTCTGAAGAAGAATATTTATTTTATTATAAATCTCAGTGTCTTCGCTGATTTTGCACAAACGTGGCATATACAGGGTGTATCTAAATAACACCGAAAAAATTCAAGGGATGATTCCTTGTGATATTTTAGGAAATAAAGTTCAGCCTAACTTGTTTCGTTTTCGAGATACAGGGTATTAATATTTCCATGAAAAATCTTTTTTCTATTCATTTCTCAATTGTCTTTTCATCATGCAATTTCAATAAAACGTTGTGGTTTTGTTCATAGTAATATGGAGCTTCTTCTAGTGCAATTAGATTCGAAATAATATTTCCAGTGGCGTGACAGTGGGTAAATTTATCGTTATTCATGATGAATGTACACCACCGGTTTTTCTGAGTTTCATATTTTTATTCATTGAACTATTGAAATAACAAATTTTTTATCCTCTGTGTGATTTTTGTATCTAGCTTAGTTTTTGAGGAAACAATAAAAATTCGATTTGACTCCAAATTTTAATGTTGGTGTTTTGAAGACTTCCATTGAGACTAGTCAATAACCCCAATTAGAATCATTCTGAAATTATGGGGCTTTCTCAGTCTCCATCTATACTGAATGTTGGCACCATGAAAGCTTTTACAGAGGGATTATGAATAAAAACAATTGATACTTCCAACTTCAACATCCTGTATCTCAAAAATGGAGCAAGTTAGGATCGACACATGTTTATATGAACTTTATTTGCTAGAATGTCACAAGAAAACACCCCTTGAAGTTTTTCGGTGTTATAATAATAATAATGTTTATTCACAACAACAACGATACAGCAAGGTAAATTTTTAAGGCCACATAGGCTAACAGTGGGAGTTATAATAGAATACGGTAGAATTAGTAGGCGTAATTAAAATGAAGTATAATTAAAATCGAAAGAAACAAATAATACCATCATATGAGAAGTTGTTACAATAAACAAAAGGCCACAGGAACGCAGGGTTGTGCCAAATAATAATGGTTTCGTTGACCAATATTTTTTCTTGACGTTTCTGTTCTCGCGTGCAAGTTGGTTTTTTGTCTAGTTTCATGATAATGGTCGATTATTATTATTCAGATACACCCTGTATACTAGAGCAGTCAGAAGATAAGACGGCGTGTTTCGAGTTGATACCACATAAAAAAGGTGATTGTGCCAAAGTTATATAGCTGAGTTACGAATTGAAAAGATGGAACAATATTTTTCACTAGGATAAGCTTCCAAGCTTCAGCGTCTATCTAGACACTATGTTGAATTGAAACTTGAAACCGAAAGAAGTATAGACCACTCTCCCGAATCCTTAATCCTTATTGACAACCAATGAACGTTGACAACACCGTATGATAATCAGGGATCATCGCCATGCCATCACGTGATTTATTGTTATCAATGAATATTGAAAACGCAATTAATGATTTTCTCCTTTATTCCCCTTTTCATTTTCTCCTTTTATGAAATTTTATTATCAACATTTTGAGACTATATCATATTATATTATACGGGTTTATATCTCAAAATTTTAATATCAATTTCTCAATATTTCGACATTGAGTTCTCAAAATATTCAGATTTCCAAAAATACGACCTCAGATTGCCCGTGATTTGTTTTCCCTTCCATCTATGTTCTGTTCTCTTTCTTTTCCAATGAGTTCCATCCTACTATAATCTTTTTCGGTTTCAAAAACTATCGGCCCTGGTCCGAAGATGAAATTTGACTAACCAAAATATTATAGGGTGTTAATAAAGTTGAAATGAATTCCTCGTTTTCCAGGCCACGAATTCTACATAATCAGAGCTGGCACCGTAACAATAACCAAAGCAGGCGAAGGAATCAAGGGGGTGTATAAAGAGGGCGACAGTTTCGGGCAGGGTTTCACGAGACTCTCGAAATTCTCGATCTCATCTCGATTTCGAGACGAGATCGAGAAAAGCACTTCGAGATTTTTCGAGATCAAGAAATTATTTCGAGATTTCTCATTTCAGACATAATAACAGAAAATATCAAAAAAATTATCAAGATAACAAAGTAAATAAAAAGGACAAAGGTAGAAATAAATATCTTCATATTCTTAAAGAACTTTAACGTCTTCAACTATTAAAAACTATCAAATACGAAAATAAAATTTGAACACTAAAAAATTAACAAAACATAAGAAAATAAATGAACAATAAACAAAGTTTTTCAACAGAGAACAAAATTGTTGTTTACACACTTGTAAATATATCTCTGGTACATAGCGAAGAATTCGAACATAGTAAAAGTTGTGCCGATTTTCCAGTTAATCGGCTTCGTTCTTTTCTGATGGTAAGTGTTGCTCTTGAAAACAGTCTTTCTGCCGGAACTGAAGTAACTTGAATACTCAAAAAATCACGAGCCATCTTTTATAAATTCGGATATATGGCCTCGTTTTTTCTCCACCACTCTAAAATATCTCGATTCCCTTCAGCTCTCTCAGACAAACAATATTCATCTATTTCTTTTCTCCAGTTATGTTCTCTGTTGCCGTTGCTTTTTTCGAATAAACTTTGCAAATTAAAATCGTCGGTATTGTTATCAACATCATAGTCAGTAAGAGGCTGCGATGTTGAAGGAATATCGTGATTGGAATTGCATAAATTTCACTATGCAGTACTTCGACCCCTACTATTGAAATAAAATAATTTGCTCAATAATTTTTTTTTCGATTATAAAAAATGAGTTTGTTGCTGTTGCTGTTACATTCTTCACGAACGAAGAAACAATTTTAAACTTTCACCTCTCGTATCTAGGTAAATTTAAAAAGTATGGATAAAAGATTAGGTAAATTGAAACATCAAGGATTCGTTGAATTTTCATTTTTTGGAACAATATTCTTAATTTCTGTGCTGATACTCGGCGGTTTTTTATACGTGGCTTTTAGTTCATAGCATATAGCGTCTGTATTTTGACGTAATTTTTTTATAGAGAAAATTCAATACCCTGTATTTTGGTGCAGCCTTATAACCTATACATAGCATTTTTTGATAGCGTTCAGTTTTTGTTTTCGAGACTCTCGAAATTTAGAGAGTCTCGAATCGAGATCGAGAAATTGTCTTCGAGAAAAATATCGAGACGAGAGTTTATTTCTCGTATCGAGACAGAACGAGAAAGTGCCTTCGAGACGAGATTTTTTGTCTCGATGAAACCCTAGTTTCGGGGAATACGCCCTCCTAAAGGAAGTACGTCGGCAAGCCACTGTCATCGCGAATCCCTCAATATTTTGATCTTGAGTTCTCAAAATTTCGATATTTTCAAAAATAAATCCTAAAAACTCACCCCCCCTACCTCTTCCCGACCTCAGATCGCCCGTGATTCGTTTTCCCTTTCATCTTTGTAATGTTGTCTTTCTTTCCCAAGGAGTTTCATCCTACTATAATTTTTATCGGTTTCAAAAATTATCGAGCCTGGTCTAAAGATGAAATAATATGACATTGAATTTGACTCAGTGAAATATTATATTATGAATTATTATAGTTTATATCTCGAAATTTCAATATAACTTCCTCAATATTTCGATCTTCAGTTCTGAAAATTTCGAGATTTTCAAAAATAAATCTTGAAAACTCACCCCGTACCACTTCACGACCTCAGATTGCCCGTGATTTGTTTTTATTTTGATCTTTGTTCTGTTCTCTGTCTCTTCCAAGGAGTTTCATCCTACTATAATTTTTTTCGGTTTCTAAAACTATCGACCCTGGTCTAACGATCAAATTTTACTCACTAAAATATTATAGGGTGTCAATAAAGTTGAAATGACTACCTCGTTTTCCAGGCCACGAATTCTACATAATCAGAGCTGGCACCGTAACAATAACCAAAGCAGGCGAAGGAATCAAGGGGGTGTATAAAGAGGGCGACAGTTTCGGGGAATACGCCCTTCTAAAGAAAGTTCGTCGACAAGCCACCGTCACCGCGAATCCCCCAGGGGTGGAATGCCTCATCCTCACCAGGAAAGAGTTCATCCGGTACTTCGGCGAGGTCACGGAGTTCAAATATTTGAAACTCCCGCCTAAAAACTCCGTCCAGGTAGGTTTGGAAAGTTTCAAATTGGAAATATTTCAGCCGTTAAAGTGAACTTCTGAAAATTCCAAACGAAATTTTCAATTTGATAATGTCTACATAATTCATTTGAAATATTCCGAAATTTTCGCGAAGTGTACCAGGTCAACCAGGTGTACCAAATTTCAATTCATTATTTTTTTTTATAATTCTCATATGTCAGTTCGTTATAGTTTTAGTTTGATATTATGTGCATAATATCTTTATATGAAGGAGAATGCAAAATCTCTACTTCAGAAGATTTTGTTTTCAAATTCTTATGGTGTGTGTTCAATAGATGTAATTCAATGTTCGTCGTGGCATATAGCCAGGAAAGTAGTTGTTTTCTGTTGAATAAACCGAGAAAGAGTTAATATTTTCATCACATAAAGAATGCGAATTCTCAATGTATTTCTTTATATACCGGGTGTCAACGAATCTATTAGACAAGTCATAACTGCTAGACCATTAGGTGTATCAAAATGAGATTTGGTATAGGTAAATGGTATGTGAAGAGGAGAGTTTTCACATATTTTTCACTTTCCGGTCACTTCCGGTTTCACCGGAAATGGCTCCAATACTAAATTTTTAAATGGAACACCCTGTATATTATAACATTTTTGGATTTCTGAGACAATTCTAGATCAGAATGTGACAATCACAAAACACTACTCGTCTATCGCCATCGTCAGCATATACAAATGTTGATGTAGCTGATATTTAAATACTCGATATCGGTGCTTTTTCAATATTTTTCTTGCTGATTTGTGATTTATCTGCATTTCTCGACTAATTTCTCTTAAAGAAACCGTTTTGTCAACCTCAACCATAGCAAGAACGTTAATCTCAGTCTCCTCATTTATGATAAACCTCTGATCTGCCTCTCGATTTCCCTCTTGCCTAAAACGATTATACGGAAAATACTGATGGGATGGATGTTGCCGATTGGGATATCTCTGAGCATACAACTCAGCAGCATTCCTTGAATTTCTGTGACATTCTCCAAACAATAACAACATATCCAATTTTTCACTTTGAGTATACATTATTTTGTCGTAAAAATAAACTAAAATTCAAAGAAAATTTCACCTTCTGCTCTTGAATCTCATGTCACTGTATTTTGTTCTGAGTTTTGTTCTCCCAAGAAGACTTTATCGAAATAACTGCAAAATATTATGCATCATGCCTATCCCCGGCACACTTGACAAAAAGTATTCTCATCAGTAATATTTAATTTATGTTCTTATTTGTAATCCAATCGCAAATAAATTAGTATCGTTAGATTCGTCAGAATATCCTTTTTTCGGAATGTGTTTGTCAAAAATTTGTCGCCATTTGAAAAATAATTATTAGACACGAAAATGTAATTTTGCCAACTTGTCTTATTCATATCTATCATACTTGTCACTAAAACTTCGCGATTGAAATTTTCTGATATCACCTGAGGTCCTTAGATTAGTTCACTTCAAATCATGGCCACCTAGATGTAATTTCAAAAGTGACTCCGAAAAAATAAAGTAGGCATAAAAACTTTCGAAAATGCCACATCCTGATCTAGAATTGTCTCAGAAATCCAAAAATGTTGCAATATACAGGGTGTTCCATTTAAAAATTCAGAACCGGAGCCATTTCCGGTGAAACCGGAAGTGACCGGAAAGTGAAAAATATGTGAAAACTCTCCTCTTCACATACCATTTACCTATACCAGATCTCATTTTGATACACCTAATGGTCTAGAAGTTATGAGTTGTCTAATAGATTCGTTGACACCCGGTATATATATTTCCATTTTTTCATGTTTATAATTTATCTGAGAATATTCCTTTTCCATACTTGCACCCAATCAAGGGGTTCAAACTTGAACGATGAAAACTTGTTAATTTATTGTCAGATTCGTGATTAGGTTCTCTCAATTCAGAATCTCTCTCGACGTCCTGTATGATGAATATCAATACGTCATACATCCAGAAACAACCCAGTTTTAATAATTTTTTCCGTCGACCTCGTATTAACGACTAAGTTTAATGTATATTAAATCGTTCATTAATGACCCCTATTAATAAACGATTTGTCTATTAATGCACGATTGTTTTATAGGCAACCAAACATACACCGCGTGCATTCATTGTTTATGCTATAACTTACGGAATCTGCATATAAATCGAAAGTATGGATTTCATCGAAGATTTTCCGTTAACGAGTTCGCCTTTTCCAAGTTTCTGACACGATTTTAATCCCTGTTTTCTAACGAAAGGAATTTATTTCCTATGTTGATCATTTCGACAAATGTCAAATGTCACTAATGTCAGTAACAAGGCTACTGGGTGATTCTTAGCAGTTTCCGGATGGATGATGAATAATTGGCGAACCAAGTTTTCTTCATTGCAGGAGAAATGAGAAATATAGTCGACGGAAAAATTTTGTAACCAACTTGTATATTAAAAGGCGATTAATGATCTCGAACATTAACGCACTCGCTTCGCTCGCACGTTGAAATATCTCGATCATTAATCGCCCTCATTAGGTTCCATGTGAGTAGGGCGAACACCTCCCCTCCACTGCGACCCCAGATGGGTCTATTGTGGCTCACCCCTAGAGGTTACAGTTCACCGTACAATCCACATCTTTTTACAAAGTTCATGGTTGAATTGGGTGAGATTTGTCTGAAATCGATAGGTTCTAGGTTGGTAAAGCCAAATGTGTCGAACCTTAGTCTTTCTAAGCTAGAGCATGAGCATAATATGTGTTCAGCCGTTTCGTCTTCCACACAACAGAACCGACAGTCCGTTTGTTGGTTCAGACCCATCCTTCCCAGGTGGTATCTTAGACGACAGTGTCCCGTAAGCAGTCCAGTCAGAATTCGCAGGTTACCCCTGCTCCATTCTAGGATCTGCCTGGTTATTTTTTCCGATGGTTTAGGCAGGAACGCCTTCGAATGGGTTAATCCTGGTAATTCGGACCAGTACGTGAGTGTTTTTCCCTCCGCCCAGCCCGAGATAGTTGTTTTCGCCGCACTTGCGGTGACCCCAAAATATGGTTCTGGTCCTATGAACACAGATTCGGTTCCCTGTTTGGCGAGGATGTCGGCTTTCTCGTTACCCTCCACCCCCTGGTGTCCAGGCACCCACAGCAAAGTGACTCTGTTGTTAGCACCCAGGCTTTCTAGGGATTCAATGCAGCTCCATAGAAGCTTGGAATTTATCTTGCTGGAGCTCAGTGCTTTAAGAGCAGCCTGACTGTCTGATACAATACTGATATTTTTGTTTACTAGAGGTTTATTCGACAACTCTCTAGCACACAATTCAATTGCGAATACCTCCGCCTGAAAGATTGTAGCATATTTGCCGAGATTGACGGAAATTTCCGTCTTCGGTTTTCTGCTGAACACACCGGCTCCCACTCCACGCCCTCATTAATACACTAGTTGGTTAAATAACTATTTACATACTGAATAACTTATAAATTAATTTTTATTCATTAAACAGATAGTTGAAGGTCGAACTTACTTCGGATCCTCTACTATGAACATTTCAAGTGAAATCTCATATCATAATTAAACTGAACTTTTCCCAACTCCCATGTTCAGGCGGCAGTCGCGACAGAGTTTGCGGACGTTTCTCTCCAAGACCTGGCGATAAAGACGACCCTGGGGGTAGGAGGTTTCGGCCGGGTGCAGCTGGTGCAACACAGGCGGAAGAAAGAGCTGGTCTTCGCGTTGAAGTGCTTGAGAAAGAGCGATGTGGTGGCTAACAATCAGCAGGAGCACGTGCGATACGAAAGGGACATCCAGAAGAGGTGCAAGTCTGCCTTCATCGTTGAATTGTATAGGACATTCAGTGACGACATGCACATTTATTTGCTCATGGAGACGTGTATGGGTAGGTAAAGACGGTAAAGTAGGAGAGCAATCCTACAGCGTATACGCCAATGGGACCTAGGAATTTTTTGTACAGGGTTATCCATCGAAGAGGCTCATCTCTATACAGGGTGTATCTACATAACACCGAGAAAATTCAGGGGGTGTTTCCTTGTGATATTCTAGCAAATAAAGTTCACATATACAGTGTGTCCCACTTACCATGCTCACCATGGGTATCTCTTTAACGGTGAAAGATACGAGGTCGGTTAAATGACACCAAATGTGTAGTTTGTCAAGGCCAACTATAATGTGGAGAAATATTTTGATAAAATCTATTCGTTTTTGTTTTATACGCAAAAAAACAGATTCTGATCATTTTCATGTATCCTCCCCGTAACTTCTTTATTTATGAAAATATTCGATTAGGAATTTCACATTCTCATGGCAGTTTTTCAAAGTGATTCCGAAAGAAATATGAACTGTATACCAACTCTTCTAGAATTTGAGATATCAGCACCAACTTTAGTTTTTCAAATGTAGGTCATGACTTAGTTACAAATAACTTTTTTTTCTCTTACAGATGATATGTCGCAGTAATAGTTTTGTGTCGATAACAACGGAGTTATCGTCATTTATACAAAAACAAAGAATTATTTGGAAGCCGCCATCATGAATTTATATATTTTAACAAGAAAATCATGATCTCCGACCTCAACAACCCCCACTTACCAATTTTGAATGGAATCGGACCAAATCTTGTCCGCCATCTTGGAGCAGTCATTTTTTTCAATTTCAACAAAAATTCCATAACTCCGATTAACTTGAAATTTGGCAGGTGTTCATAATTTCGGTGGCAATACATTATGGAATTTTTGTTGAAATTGAAAAAAATGGCTGCTCCAAGATGGCGGACAAGATTTGGTCCGATTCCATTCAAAATTGGTAAGTGAGGGGTTTTGAGGTCGAGGATCATGATTTTTTTGTTGAAACTTATTAATTCAAGATGGCGGCTTCCAAAAAGTTTTTTGTTTTTGTATAAATGACGATAACTCCGTTGTTATCAACACAAAACTATTACTGCGCCATATCATCTGTAAGAGAAAAAAAAGTTAATTGTAACTAAGTCATAGTGAGCTATGACCTACATTTGAAAAACTAAAGTTGGTGCTGATATCTCAAATTCTAGAAGAGTTGGTATAAATTTCCAATTTTTTTCGAAATCACTTTGAAAAACTGCCATGAGAATGTGAAATTCCTATTCAAATATTTTCATAAATAAAGAAGTTACGGAGGAGACATGAAAATGATCAAAATCTGTTTTTTGCGTATGAAACAAAAACGAATAGATTTTATCAAAATATTTCTTCACATTATAGTTGGCCTTGACAAACTCCACATTTGGTGTCATTTAACCGACCTCGTATCTCTCACCGTTAAAAAGATACCCATGGTGAGCATGGTAAGTGGGACACACTGTACATGTGTCCTAACTTGCTCCGTTTTTGAGATACAGGATGTTGAAGTTGGAAGTATTAATTGTCTTTATTTATAACCCCCCTGTATAAGCTTTCATGGTGCAAAAATTTAGTATGGATGGAGACTGAGAAAGTTTCAGAATTTCAAAATGATTCTATTTGGGGTTATTGAGTAATCTCAATGGAAGTCTTGAAAACACCTACATTAAAATTTGGAGTCAAATCGAATTCTTATTGTTTCCTCAAAATCTAAGCTAGATAGAAAAATCACACAGAGGACAAAAAAGTTGTTATTTCAATAGTTCAATTTAATAAAAATATTAAACTCAGAAAAACCAGTGGTGTACAATGACATTCACCATGAATATCGATTTTGTCAATAGAGCACCCTGTCTAGCGGGAATGAGAACAAAGATATAGGGTGTGAAAAATCGAAATTTTTCAACTTTAAGAATTTTTTGTGACGAAACTATTCATAATTGATCAAATCGGTCATCATGACCCTATCTCACCTTATCATGTACTATCAATTGATATTTTATTGAAATAAATACAGGATGGTCAAAAATCTTAATTGTGAACCATTGTTAAAGTGTTTTCAAAACGCTTCGACAAATTACTTCCTCAATTATTTTGTCTGTGGATTTAAAATACCAATTATGTCCCTAGGTGTACCTATAATGTACTATTGTCTCCGAAAAACTGATCATATACCAGTCCAAATTTCATATAAGAATCGAATGACTGATAGCTAATATTTGAGGGGGGCGTCGTTTAAAGTTAGACACGCTGTATATATAAACTCACTGCTCATGGAAAGATTCACGTATAATTTATAACAAAAGTGTGGTGACATTCGGAAAATTAGCGAGAGGATAGCCTCAATGAGAATCCATTGCTTCATTCATTGAAAATTCAAAAACTCGTTTACCCAAAATGATATTCAACTCTTATACCTAGTTATTCAGAAGTTTTCAGACACCCTGTATATTCCATCCAGTTTTTCAATTCAACACGAATTATTATTCTTACATTGCACATTATACAGGGTGTCCGCTAAAAGGAGGTCAATCCATTACCCACACATATTCCTTGAACAAAATCAATATGAGTTTCTAAATATCATTTTTCATTTTAGCCCTTCATATTCGGTATACAGGGTGTCAAAGTTGGAAATTAAAAACTGTTTTTTTTCTAATTACTCGCGTATTTGATAAGATATTAATCTCAAAATTGGTACATTACTTCAGCACAAAGAGTTACATCGTGTGAGGAAAACAAAACAGAAAATAACTGTCAAATATTCAAGATACTGGGGGTCAAGTTCACACTTACCCCCATATTTTGTTTGAACGTGCGCTAATGACTTCCTATCTATTTTCCTTCAAGTGTTCAATCATTTTTGAGTATTTTTTGTGTCCTGTAAAATTTCGATTGAATCATTTGTTTTTAAGATAATTCGAAAAGTACTGGTTATTGTTTGATGCCTATGCGGGTTAGGTAATCACATAATGTTCACATACTCCTATTTATTTCGTCGAAATTGAAAGAGGGCGTATCTTTTTACGTACGAAAAGGTAAATATGGAAATACCGGGTGCTCGGAGCAAATGTACTAAAATAATGTTTACAAAAAAAAAATTTAAAAAGTGTAAAAATTATTTTAATACATTCGTTCTGAGCACCCGGTATTTCCATATTAACCTTTCCGTACGTAATAAGATACGCCCTCTTCCAATTTCGACGAAATAAATAGGAGTATGTGAACATTATGAGATTACCGTAAGCCGCAAGGCATCAAACAATAACTAGTACTTTTCGAATTATCTTAAAAACAAATAATTTTATCGGAATTTTACAAAAATCAAAAAATACTCAAAAATGATTGAACACATGAAGAAAAATAGATAGGGAGTCATTAGCGCACGTACAAAAAAAATATGGGGGTAAGTGTGTACTTGACCCCCTGTATTTTGAAAATTTGACAGTTATTTTCTGTTTTGTTTTCCTCACACGATGTAACTCTTTGTGCTGAAGTAATGTACCTATTTTGAGATTAATATCTTATTAATTACGCGAGTAATTAGAAAAAAACAGTTTTTAATTTTCAACTTTGACACCCTGTATATCGAATAAGAAGGGCTAAAATGAAAAATGGTATTTAGAAACTCATATTATTTTTGTTCAAGGAATATATGGTTAATGGATTGACCTCCTTTTAGCGGACACCCTGTATAAGTAGGCAACGAACATATTTTAGGTGGAGACCTGTGGAACCACATGAAAAGAAAAAGAGCTCGCAGATTCGAAGAGACCGAAGCAAGATTCTATTTCGCCTGTGTACTGGAAGCGATCGGTTACCTACACTCCAAGGAAATCATCTACAGGGACCTAAAGCCAGAAAATCTCCTATTGTGTTCCAACGGATACATAAAACTGGCCGACTTGGGAACCGCCAAGAAGGTACCATTTCAAGGGAAAACCTGCACCTTTTTGGGCACTCCCGAGTACCTGGCACCGGAGATAATCAAGTACACCCCTTACAACAAAGCCGTGGACTATTGGCAATGCGGGGTCTTGCTTTTCGACTTTCTTTGCGGCTTCACCCCATTCAGATATCCGGAAGGTAACTCCCTGAGGGTGCAGCAAAATATACTCGATGGTATCGACAAAACGAAATTTCCAACTTTCGTGAACTTGGTGACCAGACATCTGATAATGATGCTATGCAGACCAGAGCCGTCTCAACGGCTAGGTATGAACGAGAATGGGATTGAAAGTATCAAGGGGCATAAATGGTTCACTGGGTTCAATTGGAGTAGGTTCCAAGAACTCAAGATGACACCTCCGTTCAAGCCGAAGTTGAGAGGTCCTTTGGACGACAGATACATTGAAAAGTGCAAGAAAGATTGGGATACTGGAAATGATCAAGTAGAGGCTATCGACGCTCAATGGTTTGAGGATTGGGATTCATAATTCATACACTCAGGATTTTATTCAATTTATTGGGAAGTAGTTTTTTTCATTGATCAATTTCATATTTCATTCATTAACCCTGTATCCTAGATAATAACCTTCTCTGAAAATAAGATTGAGGCTCTAGAAATATTCAGAGGAACACACAAAAATTATTCTATTTGCTCTATACAGGGTGGTATCTAACTATCTGGTCAAACGCCAAGGGGCGATAATTTGGGTGATTCTAGACGAAAAGTTCACATAAACACCGGTCCTGAAATGCTTATTTTCCAAGATATATGCGGTGTTGAAATTGGAAGTATTGATTGTTGTTTCTCACCATTACCCTGGGTTCAATTGAAGTCGGTTCCAAGATGCCACCTCCGTTCAAGCCAAAGTTGAGAGGTCCTTTGGACGACAGATACATTGAAAAGTGCAATTAAGATTGGGCTACTGGAAATGTTCAAGTAGAGGCTATCGACGCTCAATGGTTTGAGGATTGGGATTCATAATGGGCTTATATCACAAAAAAATTTTATTTCATAGTTCGATAGAACTCACCCAAACTAGCTCACCACCGCAAACCGTTTCTTGCTGTGAGCTCCCTACGTTTTATAAAAAATTATTGAAATCCCCGATTTTTCGGACCTCTGAAAACGAGGCGATGATGTGACGTCAGAACCCCAATACTGAAACAAGACTATTCTAGACAAATATAAATGATACGTGATTTCTGACAGAGTGAATTAGCGCGAGATCACAGTTGAAGGAATTAATATATCAGTTGCCTCAGTCTCCGTCGGGCTTTTGGTATTTTCTTTTAACTATGGCGAGATGAGGTTTCTACGTCATAAGAGGGTCCGTTTTCAGAAGGTACTATTATTTATGTTCAAAAATAAAACATTCCAGTTAATTTTTCGATCGAATTATGTTGTCAATCATTATTTATGTATAAAAGGATCATTATAAACATGGTTTGAGTTAAAAGTTCTACTGAGGTGTACACGCCCATTCATACACTCAGGATTTTATTCAATTTATTGGGAAGTAATTTTTTTCATTGATCAATTTCAAATTTCATTCATAAACCCTGTATCCTGGATGATAACCTTCTCTGAAACTAAGACTGAAGCTCATCTAGAAATATTCAGAGGAACAAACAAAAATTATTCTATTTGCTCTAAACAGGGTGGTATCTATAAGTATCTGGCCAAACGCCAAGGAGCGATAATTTGGGTGATTCTAGACGAAAAGTTCATATAAACACCGGTCCTGAAATGCTTCGATTTCAAGATACATGCATGCGGTGTAGAAGTTCGAAGTATTGATTGTTGTTTCTCATGATTACCCTGTATAAGCTTTCATTATGGCAAAATCCACTCTGGTGGTGAAAAGTCTCGAAGTTTCAGAATAATAGGTACATTAAAATTTGGAGTAAATAAATTTTTCATTATTTCCTCAGAAACTACATGATATCCAAAAATTTAATAGGGGACAAGAAAGTCGTATTTTAAATTTTTTACTCTGATAAAAATATCCAACTTGGAAAAATATATGACGTATAGGCACCTTCTACCGTAAATGTCGAAAATGTAACCCACTGCGATGCCACTGGTATCATTATTTCGAATATAATTACATCAAAAAAAGCTTCTTGATACTTTCAACAATATCACCAAGTTTCATTAAGATTGGAAAACAGAATTTTGAGTAATTAATAAAAATCGATTTTTTATTGAAACTTTGACACCCTCTGTATCTTAGAAACGAATCATTACTGGGCCTTTGTTTATGTGAACTTTGGCCAGAGACTTAAATAACAACACCCTGTATATTTTAATGAATCATATTATCATAACGAAGGTAAGCGTGTACGGTAAGACCTCCTATTTACTGTAGGCATTGAATGCACAATAAATCATTGAGTAATCAGAATTTACTGTGATAAAATTAGGCTTTACTGTTTTTATATCCTATGCACCTACTCATTGTAATAAAAGCTATGAACTATTTGTAGTATTTATTGAAATAAACACGATCATAATTCATGAATTTTATTTTGTCTATCTTCTACTTCTACTCCATTTATTTCGACAGAACTTCACAACTGAAACAATGTGATCGAAGAAAATCTCGATTCTTAGGTTTTTCTAGTTCATTTTTATTCACTACCAGGCGGGGGGGATGTCTGTCAATCGAAAGAATGCATGTTGACTGATGCAGTTCAGTTCTAGTAGAATATTTCAGTTGGTTCAGAACGAAATATATCACCATAATTACATTATTAATGATTCAATTATGAATGCACTTTTGTAAATGTCTATACCTAGTCTACTATAATACTGAGTAAAATTCAAACAATAACTAGGTTGCAGACGATCCAGATGATTTAGCATTTTCAGCAGAAATTTCAATTTTTAAGCGTTCTCCACTCGTAGACAGAGCGCCCTATCTTTGGTCATAGCACCAAGAGCAAGTACAAATGGAAATCAAAATTAATCACTCTAGGAGCTGCAACAGCTAAACAGTCGATTTCTGTAAGGAATTTTTTTTTCTATGCAAAATCTATTCGAATCATATTTATCGCGAATGTATCATTTCCTGTCAAAGACTTTGAGGTAGGTATATGTAGGTATGTCAGGTTTGAATATTTGATAATAATTGTTCATTTATTTACGAAATGGGTATTTCAATTGATTCTCCATCATCACTAGTATCCAAAAATCTATGATGAATTCAAGAATCCATTTCAATGAGATGAAATTTGATATACCTACATTTTTATTAATTTGTGGGCGAAATGATTGGCTGTATACAAATTCTCACTTCATTTAATATGCGCATTCAACTTCATTGATGAGAACGTGAACTGAGTAAAATTCAAAGGAGTCCTAAGTTGCAAATGATCCAGATGATCCAGCAGGATCTTTCTTTCGTGCTCTTAGTCTTCTCCTCTCATCTTCAGACACACCGAAAACTCTAATGTAATTTCGTTGATACAATATAACCTGTAAAATACCTTTCTCAAAAATCATAGCCCCAGTTCGTAAAACAATCAACAGGTACCGAGAAATCATCAGGAAACTTATCGAAATTCCTCGTATCCACGTTATCAGTCAGCTGCAGCTTGCTGGTAGGTTTCAGCTCCTAATTCCTCAGTTTCATCCAGTCCAAGACCAATTGTTCGTCCTTATAGCCTCCACTCCAGTTTTAGAAAACCCAGTCTCTCACTAGGACTCCCAAAGCACAGCTTCTTGATGATGCTTCTGGCTTTAGTCGTCACAAAACTAGGGAAGACGACATAGCAGTCGATGTCTTTGATGATGAGGTTTTAGGTGCTGATGTGGCTTTGATCGTTGCTCCAGAAAGGCGTTCTTTCCACCAGGATTTCGTTGACGAACACCCCGATTGCCGAATAGTCCACCACTTTATTGTAGCCCTTGTTTTGGAAACATTCGGGACCGACCTTTTCCGCTGTGTATTATCGAATGAACATGCACATGATTCACAATTTTTATTCAATATACCTACATTTTTAATGATTTATGGGAGTAATGGGATTGAATCATACGTGGCTATATATACAAATTGTGTACGTAAAATTTAAAGGTGACCTAGACTGCGATTGATCTAGATGATTCAGCAGATTCAGCAGTATCTATTTATTTCTTTTGTGCTCTTAGTATTTTCTTCTCATACTCAGACACACCGAAAACTGCGATGCCATTTTGTTGATACACTATACCTGTACAAGATCTTTCTCAAAACTCATAATCCCAGTTCGTAAAACAATCAACAGGTACCGAGAAATCATCAGGAAACATATCGAAATTCCTCGTATCCACGTTATCAGTCAGCTGTGGCCTGCTGGGAGGTTTCAGCTGCTGATTCCTCAGTTTCATCCAGTCCAAGCCCGAGTACCAATTGTTTGTCCTTATGGCCTCCACCCCAGTTTCAAGACAACCCAGTCTCTCGCTAAGACTCGCAATGCACAGCTTCTTGATGATGCTTTTGGTTTTACTCAACACAAAACTAGGAAAGACGGCATAGCAGTCGATGCCTTTGATGATGAGGTTGTAGGTGCTGATGTGGCTTTGATCGTTGCTCCAGAAAGGCGTTTTTTTCCACCAGGATTTCGTAGACGAACACCCCGATTGCCCAATAGTCCACCACTTTATTGTAGCCCTTGTTTTGAGTAAATTCGGGACCGACGTATTCCGCTGTGTATTATCGAATGAACATGCACATGATTCACAATTTTTATTCAATATACCTACATTTTTAATGATTTATGGGAGTAATGGGATTGAATCATACGTGGCTATATATACAAATTGTGTACGTGAAATTTAAAGGTGATCTAGATGATTCAGCAGATTCAGCAGTATCTATTTATTTCTTTTGTGCTCTTAGTATTTTCTTCTCATACTCAGACATACCATAGATTAACGACTTAATCTATGCACATACCAAAAACTGCGATGCCATTTTGTTGATACACTATACTTGTACAAGATCTTTCTCAAAAATCATAATCCCAGTTCGTAAAACAATCAACAGGTACCGAGAAATCATCAGGAAACGTATCGAAATTCCTCGTATCCACGTTATCAGTCAGCTGTGGCCTGCTGGGAGGTTTCAGCTACTGATTCCTAAGTTTGATCCAGTCCAAGCCCGAGTACCAATTGTTTGTCCTTATGGCCTCCACCCCAGTTTTAAGACAACCCAGTCTCTCGCTAAGACTCGCAATGCACAGCTTCTTGATGATGCTTTTGGTTTTACTCAACACAAAACTAGGAAAGACGGCATAGCAGTCGATGCCTTTGATGATGAGGTTGTAGGTGCTGATGTGGCTTTGATCGTTGCTCAAGAAAGGCGTTTTTTTCCACCAGGATTTCGTAGACGAACACCCCGATTGCCCAATAGTCCACCACTTTATTGTAGCCCTTGTTTTGAGTAAATTCGGGACCGACGTATTCCGCTGTGTATTATCGAATGAACATGCGTATAATTCACAATTTTTATTTAATATACCTAGATTTTTAATGATTTATGGGAGTAATGGGATTGAATCATACGTGGCTATATATACAAATTGTGTACGTAAAATTTAAAGGTGACCTAGACTGCGATTGATCTAGATGATTCAGCAGTATCTATTTATTTCTTTTGTGCTCTTAGTATTTTCTTCTCATACTCAGACACACCGAAAACTGCGATGCCATTTTGTTGATACACTATACCTGTACAAGATCTTTCTCAAAAACCATAATCCCAGTTCGTAAAACAATCAACAGGTACCGAGAAATCATCAGGAAACGTATCGAAATTCCTCGTATCCACGTTATCAGTCAGCTGTGGCCTGCTGGGAGGTTTCAGCTGCTGATTCCTCAGTTTCATCCAGTCCAAGCCCGAGTACCAATTGTTTGTCCTTATGGCCTCCACCCCAGTTTTAAGACAACCCAGTCTCTCGCTAAGACTCGCAATGCACAGCTTCTTGATGATGCTTTTGGTTTTACTCAACACAAAACTAGGAAAGACGGCATAGCAGTCGATGCCTTTGTTGATGAGGTTGTGGGTGCTGATGTGGCTTTGATCGTTGCTCCAGAAAGGCGTTTTTTCCACCAGGATTTCGTAGACGAACACCCCGATTGCCCAATAGTCCACCACTTTATTGTAGCCCTTGTTTTGAGTAAATTCGGGACCGACGTATTCCGCTGTGTATTAGCGAATGAACATGCGTATGATTCACAATTTTTATTTAATATACCTACATTTTTAATGATTTATGGGAGTAATGGGATTGAATCATACGTGGCTATATATACAAATTGTGTACGTAACATTTAAAGGTGACCTAGACTGCGATTGATCTAGATGATTCAGCAGATTCAGCAGTATCTATTTATTTCTTTTGTGCTCTCAGTATTTTCTTCTCATACTCAGACACACCGAAAACTGCGATGCCATTTTGTTGATACACTATACCTGTACAAGATCTTTCTCAAAAATTATAATCCCAGTTCGTAAAACAATCAACAGGTACCGAGAAATCATCAGGAAACGTATCGAAATTCCTCGTATCCACGTTATCAGTCAGCTGTGGCCTGCTGGGAGGTTTCAGCTGCTGATTCCTAAGTTTGATCCAGTCCAAGCCCGAGTACCAATTGTTCGTCCTTATAGCCTCCACCCCAGTTTTAAGACAACCGAGCCTCTCGCTAGGACTCGCAATGCAGAGCTTCTTGATGATGCTTTTGGCTTTACTCGACACAAAACTAGGAAAGACGGCATAGTCAATGCCTTTGATGATGAGGTAGTAGCGAGGTGCTGATGTGGCTTTGATCGTTGCTCCAGAAAGACGTTCTTTCCACCAGGATTTCGTTGACGAACACCCCGATTGCCGAATAGTCCACCACTTTATTGTAGCCCTTGTTTTGGGAAAATTCGGGACCGACCTTTTCCGCTGTGTATTATCGAATGAACATGCACATGATTCACAATTTTTATTTAATATACCTACATTTTTAATGATTTATGGGAGTACATACAAATTGTGTACGTAAAATTTGAAGGTGACCTAGACTGCAAATGATCTAGATGATTCAGCAGATTCAGCAGTATCTATTTATTTCTTTTGTGCTCTTAGTATTTTCTTCTCATACTCAGACACACCGAAAACTGCGATGCCATTTTGTTGATACACTATACCTGTACAAGATCTTTCTCAAAAATTATAATCCCAGTTCGTAAAACAATCAACAGGTACCGAGAAATCATCAGGAAACGTATCGAAATTCCTCGTATCCACGTTATCAGTCAGCTGTGGCCTGCTGGGAGGTTTCAGCTGCTGATTCCTAAGTTTGGTCCAGTCCAAGCCCGAGTACCAATTGTTCGTCCTTATAGCCTCCACCCCAGTTTTAAGACAACCGAGCCTCTCGCTAGGACTCGCAATGCACAGCTTCTTGATGATGCTTTTGGCTTTACTCGACACAAAACCAGGAAAGACGGCATAATCGATGCCTTTGATGATGAGGTTGTAGGTGCTGATGTGGCTTTGATCGTTGCTCCTGAAGGGCGTTCTCCCTACCAGGAGCTCGTAGACGAACACCCCGAATGCCCAATAGTCCACCCCTTTATTGTAGCCCTTGTTTTGGATGAGTTCGGGGGCGACATATTCCGCTGTGCCAACGAACGTGAAGGTTTTTTCTGTGGAGTCAAGTTGTTTGGCAAACCCGAAATCGGCCAGTCTGAGGTAGCCGTTATGGTGGACTACCACGTTCTCGGGTTTCAGGTCCCTGTAGAGGATGCCTCGCCCGTGGAGGTAGCTGAGGCCTTCCAAGACGCAGCCTATGGAGTGGAATAAAACAGGTTTGAAAAGTAGGTGGTCTGAGTGGAAATAGGGTATATATCGTATATATCAATTTGGAATCTTCATTGTTCAGTTAACGTTTGTTGAATATCGAAAGTACTGGAAAACAGTAGGAGTTTTATAGACCTGCCAGAGCAGCCTAAGTATACAAAATCTAACAAGTTTTTGATAGGTTTGCTGATATTACTTGCATATTTTTTCAGCCTGACGATTTCATCAGGCACAAGTCAAGGAGACCCGGAGGCTTATGGTGAATACATGTACAACTCTACATAGTCCTAATTTATGAATAGCGGGTGATCATTGGTTAATTTAAGAAATTAATCAATTTTAGATGCGCCAATTATCTTCTGCAATTCTCTAGTTAGAACTAAATTATGACGTATATGAGTTCACCATTATTTTTGATACATTTATACACCGCTTCAATTATTGTTATCACTTATTCACTCGTATTTCAGAGTAGAATGAACAAATCAAACAATATATCTTTCAACGGGTAATTCTCAAAAATATGGTCTATGAGTTTAATTGATCATTTTATAGCCTCCTTTTGATACATACATCACATAATTCAGAAAACTAAATTAGATTAGGAATTACATTTATTTTCAAAAACTTTGTTCATATTTCAAATACTCGTACACGGAGTTTCATCGAAATGGACACTTTCAAAGGAGAAGTGAAAAAAACTTCTCAAGCTAAATAAAAGTTTTCAAAATAAAACAATGCCTATTATAGTTTCCTGATTTTTGAGATGTAATTCTGGTCACTGAATGACATGGAATGATATATCAAACACAACTCATAGACCATCTGACCGATATTTTCACGTAGTACGTTTCGAATTAAAAATGGATCGTTCATTTTACATCAAAATATATGGATTTGGACATGGACATTTGGAGTGGGACAGTATAATTAGAAAGTTGGGAGATTTGCGATAAAATACAAAGTTGTAAAGAATGCTTGGAAAGAAGTCCCATATATAACAATAACACCTGTTGATTTCGAAATGTCATATCAATCAATGAATAAGTGAAAGCTGGCACATATATGGCTCCTTTATGTCGCCTAGTAGACTCTGATATTCAATTCCTAAGAATGACAATCATCAAACAAAAATAATTGAAGCCACGACATTTTCTATTATTATTAGATATCAATGAAAATAACTACCGATCTGTAATCTTTGTTATTTGTTATTGAATAAATGTTTGTACCAACGAACGTATCTCATTTCTATTTGTTTTGAAGGCCATTCAACCAATAACATTTTTAATAATATGACTGTACCTACTCAAATATTTTGTAGAATTTGCCTACAAACCTGAATAAAACTTTGCATCCTCGTCAGTAAACCTCTTATTCTTTTGCTTGCGCAGCAAACTCCACAAATCGCCCCCTAGACAAGGCTCCAGCAAAAAATAGATATACTTCGAGTCCTTGAAGGTCCGGAACATCCTCGAAATGAAAACACTACGGCACGACATGTGCAGATTCTTCTCATTGAACACCTGGTTCTGATGCGACTTCTTACTGATATCGGACTTTTTCATGTACTTCAAAGCGAACACGAGGTTCTTCTGCTTAACGTGCCGCACCAGCTGAACTCTACCGTAAGCACCGACCCCCAGCGTTCGCAACACCTCCAGATCTTCCAACTGCAAATAATCATGCTCCATGGGCTCCTCCGTCCTGGTAAAAGGCTCTTGCTTGAGCCTCACGAACTCCTCCACATCCCCAAAGTGTTCGATGAACTCCTGTCTGGTCAGAGTGAGGCACTCGGTGCCTGGGGGGTCTACTTTCACAGTAGCCTGCCTGAACTCGTCTTTGAGCAGGGCCAGCTCTCCGAAGTATTGCCCCTTTTTGAGCCAAGCAACTTGCTCGCCATCCTTCTCTACAGTTACTGTCCCGGCCCTGATTATATAGAACGTATCGCCCAACTCGCATTGCTTTATGATTTCCTTGTAGGAGGGGAAGAACTCGCTTTTGAAGAGGTTGGCGACTTGGTACAGCTTTTCCTTAGAGGCAGTGTTCAACGTGGGGACGTGACTGAGAAATGAGACTATCTCCTCTTGCTCTTCTATAGCCGATTTGATCATGAGGCGCTTGAAGGTAGGACAGTCTAGCACCCATACTAGACCATTCTCGATCGCTCGTACTGATGCTAACCTTCTGGCGGAGTACAAGATGGCCAGTTCCCCGAAAACTCGTGCGTCCTCGAATATGTTGACCAAGCTTCCTTTTATGGTGACTTGGAAAGAACCCTTGCTCGAGATGTATAGGTGCGAGCCTATGGTACCTTCTTCGATGAGGATGTATCCTTTTGATACTCTCTCGGTGTACATACAATCGATGAGTTTTTGGAGGCGGTCTCCCGATAGGATGTTAGAGAGGAACTCATTTTGCTGAAGGGCTACTCTGATTTCGTTTTCTTCCCTGGAAATGGGTTGAGTTGGGTATTCATTCATTGTATTCTACCTGAACACAACTATCTTTGTGATTAAGAATTCCACAAAATCTTAAAAATGTCTACTACATTGACATACACTTTTAGAAGTGCACTTGGACTCCAACATCACAACAATAGATACTCATACAGGGTGATGAGATATATAAAGAGAGTATTACAAAAGTTGAATCAGAACTATGCGACAAAATGGATAAATCAAATACTAGACTATATTATGATATTTCTTCAACTAATTATGAATTGAATGAATACAAAATTGTGTTCTAGTAGAGATAATGCGAATAATAATCATTGCTGATGAAATAAATTATAATGATTTTCTTGGAGAGAAAATGGAAATAAAAATTGGTGATGACTATTTTGTATTTACGAAACCAAAATCAAATATATAGATTTCAAAAATTACAGAACCGATCAATGCGCATAATCCTTTCGTGCAATAGACGTACTCCTGTTACAACAATGTTGAACAGACTAGAATGGTTGTCAGTAAAAGATTTTTCATTGTACCAGGCACTCATTTTTATACACTTACTAAATAAGCAATGGCACTTCACCAGACTACCTGAGATATAAAGTGAACTATAATTTTGAATATCACCACTATGAAACGAGATCTAGAAGAGATTTCCACATTCCCTAACTCCAGAAAAGATTTATGCAGAACTGCCAACTGCAATAAAAAGTGCACACTCTCTCAATTGTTTCAAAATCACTCTGGAAAAACATTTGTTGGAGGGAAGTTATCTCTAATATGCATGATTGATTCTATTTTATTTCATTTTTATTGTATAGTATGTATGTAGTGATGCTGTTTGACATATTTCTAAATGAAAGGATATATAGAATGAGGTACATTGATATATTTTTGATAGGCAAAGCTATATAAGTTAAAATTATTGCTACTTACTCACTGGATTTCGGGTATGACTTTATCTCTGTTTGTGAATCGTCTAAGATATCAACTGATTTCGAGATGATCCCCGATCGTCTGGGATCATCTTCCGCTTCTACGTCATATTCACTCATTGATTTTTTCTTCAACAAATTGCAGAAGAACATTTTTTTTCTCGACAAGAAGTGATCTGTCGATGACCATCAATAAGCTCCGTTGTCTTCGAGAAATCAAAATATTTATCGAATCATTGATTATTTTATCGAGGCAAACGAAGCGATTACTTTTGAGTATATAATTTATAAGATAAGGAGAAGGTAACTTATCAGGTGCTCAATGTGGGAAGATAAGTGTTTTTATTTATGAAAATAATTGCTCTATCAGAAACTCCCGATACTTACTTATCTATTGCTATACAGGGTGTCATGAAAATAGTGGAAACTACTCTATTAGCAGCTTCTTGATCCGAAAATAGAAAAACAATTATAAACATAGATCGGTGAATGTTCCCGAAAAGGGGCTAAGCTATGTAAACCCGTTTGAGAAGAAGAAATAATAGTTATTTATTATACAAGGGAAAAAAGTAGTAGATTTTAGCTCCAGGTTGTGTGCGTAGCGTAGGGAGACAAAACATCGTGAGCTAAAATCTAATATTTTTCCCGTGTATAATGCACTATTTTTTTCTGTGACAGAAGGAAGGTCGAATCAATATTGAGAAGACATTACATTGCTTTGAAATCTGAAAATTATCGACGTGAAATTTTAAGTTTTCAACAGTAGGGACACCTGCGTTGTAGGCAACTTATCATTCTTTTGAAGTAATCAAATATCTGATGTCACTTCTGTCAGTCTAATTCTGTGATTTGATTTCAAAAAATTGCGAATTTAGTGGTTGTTTAGTAATATACGTAACTGCGAAGTTGAATGGAAGATAAAAGGACCTGCAGTTCTTTCTCGGAGACGGTATTATTGACTCATTTTTCGGAACTATAGCACAACAAAAGCCATCAACGTGCCAACTGAGATGAAATGCCAAACTTTTTTTCCGTCACAGAAAAAACAAATTTTGTAGATGATCTCTCAACTTATATGTTTAATTTAATAATGTTGGGGAATAGGGGAGTAAACAGTGCTTTCGTTAAGTACTGAATACATTCATTTTAAGCCAAACTATCCACTTATGAGGGATTTCCTGAGACATGTCGATTTCATATTTCAATTTGCCATATTAATGGAAAAAAATTAAGGGTGATCCACGTTCACATTATGACGTCCACGACAACATATGTATATTATTCAATTTTCGAAATTTCTATTAAAAGCTAAATTCAAAAATATATTACATATAGGGTTTCTATAGTGCGTCAGTTAAATCAAGTGATCTCATTAAAGTAGTAGTGGATACATTCATTGTTAGCCAAACCATCCATTTCTGAGGAATCTCCGGAAAAAAATCAAGTATGATTCTCAAATTGCTACATTTATACAGGAAATTGAATATACAGGGTGCTCCACGTTTGAGTTATGACGTCCACGACAATTATTTCAAATGGAACACCCTATATATTTTAAAATTTTTGGAATCTCCATGAGATATTCCATTCTCTTTTGTCATAGTTTGAGAAATAATTTAAAGAAGAGGTGGAATCAGGTTCATTTTTTTCATATAACCGCCTCTGGGACAGGAACACAGCAAGTTATACTGCATGTTTCACTTGAAACGCCCCGCCCCTCTATATCTCATTTATTAGTAGTTGGATACTTTCCAAATTAGGACTGATATGAATAACCATCAATTAGATCAGTTTTTCGATTTTTTATGAAATCATATTAGGCATTCCTTTGCAGGAAACCTAACTTTTTAGTATTATTCCTTATGCAAAAATTCCTTCCCCAATTCCAAATTCCTTCCCCAATTTCAAATTACCAGGATTTTTAAATTTTTTGTCTTGAAAAAATAATGAATTAAAATCAAATTAATTGCAAATGTTAGAATGATCAATGGCTCCAGTAGGTAGAAAATTATGTTTTGAAAGAAAACAAAGGATATATATTTTTTTGTTGAATTAAACCCAGTAAATAATTATTTACCATCTCAAAAATGCTTTAAATCTCGGTTGAGATGTGCTTGTTTTTTCGAAACCCTCCATAGAAATTACAAGAAAATCCACGCATGGGGGTTCAAAACCATGAACAATATTAATAGGTTAGTTTTCCCATAAAAAAATTACCTAATATGATTTCATGAAAAATCGACCCAAAATAATGTTTGTCTCTGAAAAACTGATAATATCAATAGTTTTTCATACCGGTCCAAATTTGGTAAGAATCGTCCGATTGCTGGGATATAATAGAGAGGGGCCCTTCAAAGTGAGACACACTGTATAGGTCTTGGCAAGAAATGAGAACAGTGGGTAGTAACTTTGGTAGTATTTTTTCTATTCGATATTGTTACAAAAGTGGCAGCTTCAGATATTACAGAAAAATAAATAGGTATACATGACACATGTATATAAAATCATGTTACCTACCTAGTCATTATCATCGCAAATAATATTATAATAATACAAATTGAATCAGTCATACAAATCCTAGAAAATGTTAGAATCATTCATAACTATACATAGGTACCTACTATTGCCATTCAGCCTGCCAAATCCAACAAGTTTTTGCATGGATAATTAAATCATTTATTGGATCAAATATGATTATTATGAGCATTGAAAATGTGAATAAAATGTCTGTCATGGAATATGCTGCTAATAAGCTAACAAGTCAGCTGCATTAGTTTTCGAAAAGAATATGGGAATATGTATGTAGGTACTCACCTGATTTTGGATGAGAAAATGTGCAATCAGTTTACTGGACATCCATATCAATCCATTATTCTATCATCAATAGTCACAAACAGGAAAATTATCAAATGAACCCACTATGGTAATATTCACAAGTTGGTATATTAGGTACCCTCAAAACTGACAAGAACCAAAATTAAAGTTATTATAGTATTACATTTCAATAAATCATGGTATTATTCTACTCTTCACTGAAACATGAAAAAAAATGTGAATGACAGAACAACAGAACTATAAAACATTTCATTTGTAGGCTATTCCATGGAATTCATGATTCATACAAAAAAAGTCAGTTGTAACTAGGTGACTATAAAAAATGTATGTTTTTTGTTGGTAAAAAATGCATCATATTGTATTAATTTTCATGTCCTCTAATATTCCTGTGATTATCAAGGTGATGATAATATCATCTATTGTGTAAGTGTACAGGTGTTAGTGATTGTTGTGATAACTTTCATCAGTGTTTAGTGATTTTTCTCTCTTCATTTTATGGAGAACTTTTAATCCCATTCCCAAATGTTTGTTAAGTTCCACAAGATGTGCAAGTAAGTAGTATACTCTATTATGATTTTTCATTATTTATAAGATGATAATCAATCCATTCAAGTTAATAGTAGCATAGAATGGACCAGATTTATTTGCATGTAGGGATGGAGAAAATATGTTGAATTACTTTTTTCCTAGATATCCCTCATGGACTAGAAATCAGGCAGTAATAGGAATAGGTATGTTCATTGGCTGATAGAAATAACACATATTTAAAACTAATCAGTGCTTTGGAATACTACAAATTGAGCCTTTGATTAATTAACCTTCATAAACAAAACCTACCAATACAAATGTTGCAGTTTCATATGAAATTCCATCAAATATAAGTGAACAATAACTTTCTTTCTGCTACAAAGCAGTTTACCAGTTGTCTAGAAAATCTAATCCAGTCTTTGGAAGAGAGTTAGCATGATCATCATCCTGAATTGAATCCAGTTTCTGAAGATTAGCTTCATGATATATTGGAATTTTGGGACATTGGTCTTCCATTTTTAGTTTTGGTTGTTTTACAGGAGGAAGTTTCACTTTTGGGACCTTTGGCTTTGGTTTGTTTTCTTGGATATTTTTTGGTTGTTCATTCTGGAATATGCTCAGATCTCTTTGGCTTTGTGTTTTGAAGCTAAAAGGTCCAGAATGTTCATCTTGGTAAGAGCAATGGTCATCAAATATAAGCTTCATAGCATATTCAGATTTTATGTCTCCCTCACTAGGACCATATTTGATGGAAATCTCTGGTTTGATAATACTTTCTGATAGGATAGTTTGTTGTTCCTTTTCGGGAATGGTGTTCCAGAGTTCCTCATAAGAGGTTTTGGTTTCCTCCAAATCCTTGTACAGCCTGGATGCAATGGGGTTCAAACTGCTGAAATATTCCTCTGCAATGGTTTTGAGAGCCATTTCGCGAGGGGAAAACCTACCCCAGTTTATAGACACATCATGGTCCTCCTTGTTTACATCAAAAATAGAAATAATTTCCTTCTGTCAAAAAAAACATAACCTTCTTTTTTCTTTAAGATCTTTTACTTTGGCTTTAGATCATAGATTCATAGAATACCTACACTGTATTTGTACAACAGTGACAATGGCCTTTATGAATATAAAACACTATTAACCTTGAGAAGAATTGATTTATACAGGGTGATATCCGCTCTCTAGTTTTGAGAAATTTCATGTTATTAAGATCATGTAGGCTGGTATAATCTAGAGTCCCTGTATATACGGACAGACGGACACAGCTATTTTTTTTTGCAATTGCATTACCTCGTTGGTCCCAGCACTGGGACCAAACGCCCCATAAGTCGAAACTTGTGCGGGGTTAGGTAAGCATACAAACACAAACATCCATGGCCTAACTAGGATTCGAACCTATGTCTCGGCGTTCACGCTCTCGACCACCGAGCCGCCGTAATAAAATGCAAAATGATATTGGTGTACCCCAAGGGTCTATATTGGGACCATTGTTATTCCTCATATATTCAAATGATATTGTAACCATAGCAGAAGAATGTAAAATTCACTTATTTGCCGACGACACCCTACTGTACTTTAGTAGTGATGATGTGCATGAGTGTGTTGTATGTAAATAAAACAAAATGGATGTTATTAGGAAAACATAAAGATCATAATAATGAAAATCTACTTCTAAGATTGAATGACAGTGATATAGAAAAGGTGAACAAATTCGTGTACTTGGGTGTTACCATTGACAATGAATTGAAATTCAAGGAACATGCTAATCAGGTCATCAAAACAGTAGCTTACAAAGTCAATTATTTAGGAAGATGTTCCCCATATCTAAGCCATAGGATAGGGGTCTAAAATATTAGTATACAACTCCATAATCCTTCCACATTTAAATTAACTGTTCCACCATTCTGTTTTTTCTCAACCAGCATGAATTAAACAGACTACAAATGATGCAGAATCGTGCTATGCGAATAATCTTACAATGTTCAAGGATATAACGCAGATAGCAAATATGTTGCAAACCCTACAATTGCTACCAGTGAGAAAACTCTTCGAGTATCAAACACTAATTTTCATTTTTAAAATCAAAATTGCATATTCACCTGTATATCTACAGAATAAATTATCATATGTGGCTGAAATACATGAGTATAATACAAGAAACAGAAACAATATAAAAGTTGAAGAATATAAGAAAAATAGTACACATAATTCCTTATTTTATAAAGGAGTAGATTGTTTTAATGACCTCCCACAAGAAATTAAAGAGAGTGGTTCGATAAATACATTCAAAAGACGATTGAAGGATTATTTAATGAAAAATTAGTATATAATTATTACTTTTTTATGTACCTAGTTTTTATTTACACGTATGTATTTTTTATTCAGACTGATTGTATTTTTTCATGTTAATCTAAGTTTATTTATATGTGAATGTATTTACTATTGTGAATGAATTAGTTTTTCAACTAAATAAAGAGATACATATATAAAATTCTTTTTTTTTTGTACTGTTTTTACAAGTAAATTTGAATATTTACCTCACATATTGCGGATTTCTTGAAATTGATTTTCCATTCTGAACGTTTCATTGCATTCTTCCATGACATCATCTTTAAAGGATAATTCCACGGAAAATTGAATTCGAATCCCTTTTTTAATGAATTATCGCAATAATGTACGCAGCAGGACATTGAAATAATTTAAAATGCAAAATTTTGGCGGTCATAAAATTTCAAAGTGACAGTGACAGAAATTCGAAATAATTGAAAAGAAGCGGGCGGGACCACTTGTTTCGTCACATTGTCAGGTGGGCAAACCAAATAAAACAAAATATTAAAAACTCCAACGGCTGTCAGTTTTGTGTCCGGACTCTTGTCTTAAGGTACAGGGACTCTAGTATAATCTATTAAATACTGATAGATAAGCAGGAAGACTGGTATGTATACCTAAATACACAATTCAGAAAAGAAATCAGAATTCGAAAAGAGAATGTTCAATTACCTTTAGCTACACGGCTCATTTTTAAATTAATATATCATATGCCCATGACAATAAGAGACTAGAAAATCATGTGAAAATCGCCCGCCTTCCGCCACATTTTTTCAAAATTTTTGTGAATTTAAGGGAATTTTTTCTTTAATGTAATAGTCTTATTAATGGAACCATATTATTGACTCAATTTATTACCATATTATTAATATGAGAGGGAGAATCAAATCACCAAAATAACAAGAGTTTCTTTGTACTAAATCCACTAGTGAAAAGTCGGGAAAGGATGTAAAAAAAAATCCATATTCTTTATTCGACTTGTATTAAAATATAATCTTCCCTTATCTGCTCAACATGCATAATACATTATAGTAAAAAATAATAACTAATTCATACTAAAAATGATGTATATTATCCTGTCTTATTTATGATTTATGGCTTATTGAAAATATAATAATGCACTCATTACAAATTAGTTACTTACTATGGAGAAGAACAAATAGAAAATTGAGATAAAAACACTTCAAATGGATGACAAGAGTAATACAACAAATACCTACACTGAAACTTTTACTTTAAAGTATCACAACCTATTTCTAGAAAACGTCATTTACTTAATTATTTTTTACAATATCATGGTTATCAGAATCGAATAATAATAAAATTACCTATAATTGCTATTTATATACAATCAACAAAAGAGCAATTTCAAATATATACAATAAATATAAGGCACCTGAAGGTTTCATTTTTAGAACTGCAAGAACAATTTTTATCACAGAAAAATAGCATTGTGGATTTGGATAAAAAAAAATTGTCAAGAATATCATTCTCATCAACTTGAAATTATAAAAAAAAATATCGCGAAATTTCATAGGTCAGCCGGCTACAAAGATTTTTCTCCCGGCATTTTTTCTCCAAAATTAAAAATTTTCCAATGAATGTAAGCCCCTACATCACTACAGGAAACAATATGCAAATGGTGTATTGTGTATTGTCGATTTATTGCAGTCGATGTTTAAGAAAAGCATCACTTCAGTTGCCCGTCGGCATGGTTTCAGGTTATGTTGATTTTACGAAAAGGATCATCACATGTGAATCGTCGCTGCAGTGTATCTCGCTTCCCCCCTCCTCCACCTCCACTGGCTCGGACGGTACTGCATAATAAAAACAATATCAATGAATAATAATTGTATTTGTATGTAGGTACAATTATTCTAGTCAGAGGTCAAGTGCCAAAGGTTTCACCCACATATTATTGGTAATAGAAGATTTTTCCATACTGTAACGTCCTGTATAGGCTTCGCAATTTCTCCAACAATACACGATACTCATTTCTATCAAAACACAAATATAACACTTATTATTCAACGATTTTTATATTATCAATTATTACTCTACTCCTCAAGTATGGCAAACGTCTATCATTTATAGGTATAAAAGTACTTCCAGATAATTCCTTCAACAAGTCGGCCGATTTTCGAAAACATTTTTTAATAAGGTTCTCCATCTTAACATCCTACTATGATAACATATAGGTATACAAAAAATGAAGAAATCGTATATGGCATGCAAATTCGCAATTTCATCTATCATGTATTAAAGTTGATGACTGTTTCTCCGAAACGAAACGTCGTACGGAAAATCTGTCAACGCTGTTTTGTAGAGCTTAAAAAGTGGCAATGAGAAAGTGTCTTTTATTTTCCAATTTCTCTTTGGATAACGTCAGAAAAAAATAAAAACGATCCCCATGATAGACATCCTTATCTTGGACACAGTGAATATGGAGTAAATCAAAAGTACAAAGGTGTATCAGTAGATTGTTTAAACAATCATAGCTTGCGAGTAAGTCGAATGTATTTTATTTATCCCTTGAACCGCACGAAAGGAAATTCTTGTGCGAAAGGGAAAGGAGGTTGGTGTTGGATTTTTTCTTGAACTTTTGGAGTTTATGAGTTCTTGGGAATACTTTCATTGGCAAAAAATTATGGTTCGTGCACTCACCCTTATCAACATCTGTCCGCTGGTGGTGTGCGGGTTCCTGTACGCGTACAAAACCCACACGGACAACCCCGACACCATCGCCACCAGAAACAGTATGGCCATTATACCCGACACGCCCACGTCCCGTTTCCCGTCCGCCTGGCCCGCCATGGGCACCGGGATGTCGTCGTTCATGTCGTGGTTGACGATGTTGGGGTCCTCCTGGTAGGGCTCGCCATGGTAGTAGACGTCTTCGTCCGTCGAAATGGAGCACATCGATGCGTTCTGGAAGCTCTTCCGCTCGCAGCCGTTCGCCAGCCAGGTCTGCCGGTGGCGGTCGAAGCCCTCAGAGCATTTGGCCATGGTCGGGCACCATTGGCACTGAAACGGTAGTTTGTCATTGACTCATTCAGATATCATCAAAAATTATATGCCAACAGTCCTGAACACCACACACGGACGGATAAATGAATGAAATCACGAATGGTGGGGATAACGCTGTGGAATCAATGCTTCGTCGGTCGAAATAGAGCACAGCGACGCGTTCTGGAAGCTCTTCCGCTCTCGACCGTTCGTTTGTCATTGACTTGGACTAAATAACGATAGGTAGACACCGTGATTTATTCATAAAGCATCAAAAAGTGTAAGCCAGCAATCGTGAACAACCAAACACTGATAAATGAATGACCTCCGAGCATTTGCCCATGGTCGGGCACAATTGGCACTGAAACGGTAGTTTGTCAATGACTCATTCATATATCATCAATCATCATATATCAGAAAGTCCTGAACAACACACTCGGACGGATACATGAATGAAATCGTGAGATAACTCTGTGTAATCATTGCTTCGTCGGTCGAAAAGGAGCACAACGACGCGTTCTTTAAGCTCTTCCGCTCGCAACCGTTCTCCCTCCAAATCTGCTAGTTGCGATCGAAGCCATCAATTAAAAAGTATACGCCAGCAATCCTAAACACTCCACAGGGATTAATGAATGAAATTGCGAATGGTGAGATAAATCTGTGAAGTCATTGCCACGACATTATTTTTTACACAGGGTGGTCCGGTTTGTAAAACAAAAAATTCAACAGTGTGATGTACTCGTTGAAATAATGGAATAAGTTCATATAAACATATACTTTTAAACGCATCGTTTTATTGTTCTTTGATGGAAAGTTTGAAAAGGTTTGGGATAAATCGACAAAATTTCTCATAGATACCAAACTTTTTACGCTCTATAAGATGAAATAAAAATTATTTCATAAAGTGAAGTCAGTGAATGATATTATGTGCATACATATTTTTATCTGAAGGAGAATTCAAATTCTCAACTTCAGAAGATTTTGTTTTCAAATTCTTATCGTGTATGTTCAATAGATATAATTTAATGTTCGTCGTGGTATATAGCCATGAAAGTACTTGTTTTCTGTTGAATGAACCGATAAAGAATCGATATTTCCATCACATAGAGAATGTGAATTCTTGTTATTTTTGTAGACCTTCAATCGCAGATTCGTGATTAGATTTTCTCAATTCAGAATTTCTTTTCACGTCCTGTAGGATGGATATCAATTTATCTTACATCCAAAACCGGAATGATTTCATTTGAACACGACGAAAGACAGTCTACGGTACTGACATACAAGTTCTATAATGTGGACAAAAATCGCCGGCTTATAGGATTTCCAATGAATATCAACCCAACCAGTAAACTAACAAAAAGTTCAACAGATATAAGCGATGGATGAACAACTATTCAACTGTACTACCGTTCCCTTTGCCACTATCACAGTTTACGTGCAGTGATGCCGTCTCAGCGATTTTGTCTCCAACTCTAGCGAACTCGATTTGCGACGTGTCGGAATTCTATCGCTTTAGATTATCGTAGATAGTGCAAAATGTCACAAGTCTAGCGTTACTCACATTGTTGAAGTAATTTTTTGATATATTTCATCATGTGAATGTGTAACATGGCAAATAATATAAAACCAAAACTGGATGATCGGAAATGTCGCTAAATAACGAGAAGAAAGTCGCACACTTGCGGGTAAGATTGCAATTTTGAAATGTTATTTTTTGTTACATTTATTGCAGCAAATAATTGTTAGCATGCAATGGGACGTCGGGATCTCAATTAATACGTCAGACAACAACACATGCTTACACATCACCTAACATTTTCATACTGACTGAGCACTGAGCATGCTTCCTGCTGAAACTAGAGACGTATTTTAGCTAAGAAGTGGGGACAAATCAATTTAGAGTATTCCAATTGAATACTTGATTATCCATCGCGTGTACTTGTTAAAATTTTTAGGAGGTCGACTGGTTCAAGGACATATCGTTCTACTGAATTGGAAATCCTATATGTCGGCATTTTTTTACATCTGTATAACCGTCGTGTGTCTTAATCAAAGTTATTACATTAGGCCATAAGTATTAGAGTAAAGAGTCGTATATCATCGGGAATGTGAGGCTCATTCATATTATCTATTGAAATCATTCAGCGGCCAGGTAGCCGTGCGGACAGAGTGTCAATATTCTAATCCGCATTCGCTTGCCGATCGTGGGTTCGATTCCCATCGACTGCAGACATTTTTCTGATGGCCCAAGAAAGTGTTTGGGATCACACGTTAAAAGGTAACGCCCCCGTCATTCCTTGCTCGCACAAGACTCTCGAAGACTTCTGAGGGTTGCTCGTAAGGGGGCAACCGAATGACGGATAAAACAATTTTAGAACAATTGGATGAAAACTATAAACATATGGTTAACCTTTAAAATAATAATCAATGGTTTCCTAGATCAAATTTTGTCGCACATCAACGTTGAAACGACCTAGTAACTTGACTGGATAGCAATAAAGGTAGAAGCTAGGTTGGTGACGTTCATTTCTTGAATGAACTTTGGTTTTGAAAGCGTTTTCTCTGGCAACCGTTTCAATTTATTATATATCATTCTCACAACACTGAACATGAGCCTTAAAAATACTATTTTCTAGCTATTACGCTTTCCCACCCTAGGTGGAGACCCCATAACAAATATTATTCTGGGGAACCATTAATTTCAATTTTTCAGAGAGAAATCGAATTCTCTGTAAGATCAGTGATGACGTTTGCATCAGTACCGAACCAAAAATTTCCTATAATTTAATGGATATCATAACCCTTAATAACTTAGATAATGGACCATGAAATTGGTACTCACTTTGAATTTTAGTTCTCTTGTGAGACACGTTTCGCAATCGTGAGCGTCCAAACAGGTAGGCAATGCACTCAAATAAATTGTGGTCCAATCTTTGATGTAGGTTTTGTTGAAGTGCACTCTGTCATATTCGTAGATTGTTTTTCTTCTCACAACTAAAAAAAGTAGGTATATCAGCTACAAATTGACATATAGATTTTTGTCGTCCATTCAAGCATCCACAAAATGAAGATATACACACACATCCAACTAGTGGTTCTCCTGAGCTAATGAATGTACAGAGTGAAATTAAAATATCTACATCTAATAAAGTTTGTATCACAAAGCTAATAAAGTTTGTATCACAAAGCTAATAAAGTTTGTATCACAAAGCAGCCTGAGAAAAAAATCATAAATCAATTAATTTGCTCCTACATTCATTTATTAAAATATTTGTAATGATCGATAATTCATGAGATTGTTTATGACTAACCATTAAAATCATTGTCAGTGGCTTAATGTCCTTAGTACAGACCTGTTCAACAAAATAACCGTCAAATGTCAGAAGTCATTTTCAGAACTAGAATTACAGGGATCGACCGATACCGATATATCAGTGGCCGATACCGGTGTATATCGGTATATTTATTCACATTGTAATTAAACGTTTCTCAAGAATAAGATTTACATGGCATTTCCTATCGGCCCTCATAATGCAATTCTTAGTAGTCAACAAGACGAATCGAAGCTGGCGATTTGTTCAGTGTGTCGTCATTTCATCGGTTCAATCGGTTCAGTACGTTGATTATGAGTTTTTAAAAGCACCGAGAACGAAGAGCAAGTTCAGGCAGTATTGTACCAAGAATGCAATCGAAGCCAATGAAAAAAATAGTGCTACGTGCAATTCATGTATTTTTTATCTACATGAATAGGATTCATTTGGATTATGAATGTACCTATTCAACAAAAAAAAAAAAAAAAAAAACGATTTACCCGATATACCGATATGTATATCGTTATCAGTTGATGCCTATTTAATTTCTCACAAAAAAGTATATCTAATCTAAAGTAATACGTCATTAGGATTCCGAAACTACATCAATATTTCATCAAATCTAACGGATAACAAAGTTACTGCTTTGAGAGAATAAAATTGAAAGCGGTCGACGAATACGAAAACACAAAGGTTGTGACGCTCAAAGTGGGATACACTGTGTACACATTTTTTTATAGATCTAATGAATTTTAAGGATCTCTCAATTTCTCATCAGAACAACAAGCCAACAAATAGCTAAATACTGCTATTCCAGCTAAATTTCGAAAATTGTTCAATTTCTAGGAAGTGACCTGCATGGAATATAATTTCTTTGAATTATTTTTTTCATTCATTTATTTATTGTAAAAATAACTTACAGACAGAATAGGCTCAGGTATAAGGAAGTACATAATTATTTACCTATAGGTAAACATGTCATCATTCAAAATATATCAACAACTATAAATTGGCAAACAAAGGATAATATTTGTAGAGTAAAATAACATGATTGATTTTATCCAGTTGGCTCAGAAATAATCAGTTTTTTTACTCTATTTTTGAATGTACCTATATTTCAGCTTTCATTTTTCAATTTCAATAATAATCGGCCTTGGTACAGGTATTGTTGATATACCCATATTATGTATATCGGCACATATCATATCGGTATTGGTCAATACCTAATTAGATTGACTTTGTAAAACAAAGGAAAATTTTCTTTACCTACAGGAAATGTATAATATCGAGACACCCAAAGATAAGTGGAATGTTCTATTTTTTAAATAGACCCATATTCTTCTCTTCTTGGAACATTATTCAAAAGGAGGTGGCACCGGATATCGATTGAATTTTTATTTCAGGGGTGATAGAATATAGAAATTATGAGCACATAGACATCCTGGAGGCAAATAATCTTATTCAAAGAGACGAGGAAAGAATATCCCAAAGATCTAGAGAAATGTAAAATGTATAGTTTTCCACCAATATCAATTGAATGTTTTACTGAGAAAATATTTCCAACACGGAATACTTACGAAAAACAGTGTGGTCCATGATATAAGCATCCGACAAGCCTACCTTCACGGGATGATGTAACTCTTGAATCTTTTCAACCTGCAAATAGGGGTTGGTTGTTATGGTCGAAATTTCCAAAATTGGTCTAAAAATTGAATTATTACATTCAGCAAGAAATTTTTGAATATTTCAAATTCAAAATTACATTTTCAAGGAGAGAATTCTTCCAGTACTCTGTGATTGACTGAAACTTTCAAAACCCATAGAATGAGTCCTTGAAATTTTGATGATATTTTTTTAAATTTTCAACGAAAATTTCACACCAAACATTTTCGATCAATTGAAAGCCTGTTTTTCGTATCGTTACCACAGCAACTAAACAAATTTCTTGGAATTTTTTTTCCTCCTTCTTGGGGGAGCATGAAATTACACTGGAAATTTTTTGACGTTTATAGGTTAAATAACATTTACATTAAATTTCAGATTATTTCGAGTTCATTCTATAGGTCAATAAATAAAAATCCTTTATCAAAGGTTTGCCATATAATATTATGTAGGTATACTTGCAAATTCGGAATTTGCCAAAACACATGTTGTTACTATACGTTAGTTCTAACATCATTTTCAACTAAATCATCTATTTGTTGTTGAAATTCCTCAGCTTTAGATTGATCGAAAATGTTTGGTGTGAAATATTCTTAACGAATACCACTTTAGCTTCAATTAATATCCGGGAATTTTTTCTCGAACACGAATATTTAGAAAATTCTCAAAATATTCAAAATATTCGTGTTCTCGTAGAGATTTCCGGAAATAATTGAAGATCTCGTGATATTATAAGTGAAAACTCTTTCATTCTGGACGAACTCCTGCCTAGAAATCCAAAAATGTTACAATAGACAGGGTGTTCTCATTAAAAATTCAAAACCGGAGCCATTACCGGTGAAACCGGAAAAGACCAGAAAATGGAAATTATGAGAAAATGATCCTCTTCACATTCAAACCTTTCCTTGGCACCTGTTCAATTTCATTAGGTGAACTATCGATGGATTCCGTTTTATAGAAGAATTTGTCAATTATTTTAGATATTTTCGAGTGCTCATTACATTTTCACACACACAAATGTCAATTTGGATGCGCGCTTATGAAAAGTAGACCATATTGTTCATTATTTTCCTCTTCTTTCCAGTTAGCAAAACATATCTAGATATTTTGGGAAAGATTTTATTTTCAGCCCATGTTAATTTTTTTTAAATCATTAGACTTACGAAAATAATACAGTCAGTATATCCGTGTTCAATACTTCATCTTATATTTTGTATACTATATATCTTTTCCCCCCGTATAATCATCATTAGACATAGTTGCCCCCCCCCCCGTATAATTCCATTATCACCATTAGTCATAGATAAATCATTTGTTCGGAAATTAATCAGTTAGCAGTATGATTCAACGTATTAGTCATTCATTCGTGACCAGGTGGTAAATCAAGACAGTCTTATATTAGATGTCATCACGAACGGTCGAATTTTGTGATCGACATCGAAAAATTCGCGAAAGGAATTATTTATCGTTCCAAACTGAGTGTTCCCTAAAAACTGAGTGATTGTATTGATTCGTATATAGTGTTTTTGTATTCCTCATTCGATTCAATAATAATAATATCGGGATCGTGTGTTGTTCTAGTGTTTCGTTTTGTTTCATCAAAGCCTCACTTTTTTCACGCTGGTGAGTGGAGAGAAATTCTCTCAATTTTTCCTCATATTTCCCTGTTTTCATTTAACTTCATAACCCTATACAGGGTATGTCACGACGAGCTTACACTATCATTAAATCGAGAATCTGTCGGGAGAAACTCATGAAAATGTACATGCTTATATTTTGGTATATGCTCTCTTCATTTAAAATATGTTCGACAATGCAGTGTTGCCGCTTCTACTAGAATGTAGTAGCAACATTGATATTTCAAACGGAACACCCTGTATTTTATCGCATTTTAAGATTCTCCTTGAAGAGCTGATTCCATCGATATATCTTACTTGGGGGTCTATCGAAAATGATTACAGAGATATAGGGTGTTCAAAATCGATATTTTTCAACTTTAGGATTTGTTTGTGTCGAAAATATTCATTATCGGTCAAAACGGCTCACATGTCCCTATCTCAACTGTTGTATTCCTATTTACTGATATTTAATCAGGACAGATACAGGGTGGTTCAATATTCAGAATTCTGATCACATGCATATTTTCATGGATTTCTTCCGACTGATTCTCGATATGGAGATAGTGTAAGCTCGTCGTGACATACCCTGTACGTTTCGTACCGTTTGTTGTATTTTTTCCGATCAAGAAATACTTTCTTCTGGTTTTAGTGCTTTCTGAATCTGTATTTTTTAAGAATTTACCATCTTTAAAAACTGTGATACAGAACGTAATGTTGATTTTGGCAAAATCTTCGTCTATGGTCAGGTCATAACTTTTGAACCACTGTGTATAATCGATTCATACTTGGTAGGTATATTCAACTGATATTTCTCATCGAAACTAAATATGAATCGAATTTAGAATCCAGATCTGTCTTCAGGCAAAACAGAAAACTTGTTTTATAATAGGGCGCATCCAATTTGAACAATAGAATTTTTATTGAACTCGTAATTCAAAAAATCCAATTTTATTACAAAAACCAGTCCTTGAATTTCAACTTAATTAGAGCCGAATTAGGTGAACTATCGATGGATTTCGTTCTATTGAACAATTTGTCAATTATTTTAGATATTTTCGAGTGCTCATTACACACAACTGTCAATTTGGATGCGCGCTTATAAAAAGTAGACCACATTGTTCATTATTTTCCTCTTCTTTCCAGTTAGGAAAACATATCTAGATATTTTGGGAACGATTTTATTTTCAGCCCATGTTAATTTTTTTTAAAATCATTAGACTTTACCATCTTTAATAACTGTGATAGAGAACGTAATATTGATTTTGGAAAAATCTTCGTCTATGGTCAGGTCATAACTTTTGAACCACTTTGTATAATCGACTCATACTTGGTAGGTATATTCAACTCATATTTCTCATCGAAACTAAATATGAATCGAATTTAGAATCCAGATAGATCTGTCTTCAGGCAAAACAGAAAACTTGTTTTATAACAGGGCGCATCCAATTTGAACAATAGAATTTTTATTGAACTCGTAATTCAAAAAATCCAATTTTATTACAAAAAGATAACCAGTCCTTGAATTTCAACTTAATTAGAGCCGAATTAGGTGAACTATCGATGGATTTCGTTCTATTGAACAATTTGTCAATTATTTTAGATATTTTCGAGTGCTCATTACATTTTCACACACACAAATGTCAATTTGGATGCGCGCTTATAAAAAGTAGACCACATTGTTCATTATTTTCCTCTTCTTTCCAGTTAGCAAAACATATCTAAATATTTTGGGAAAGATTATATTTTCAGCCCGTTAAATTTTTTTTTCTACAAACGTCAAAAATGACAAGGTTCGCGCATTGATAACAAATTGCGAAGTGACACTTTTTTTCGGTTTCCTACGTTACCATAATACCTTGCACAAAACAATGCGCGAAGTACCTACTTCGCGCATTGTTATGCAAAATATATGAGATATTTATATTTCAACTTTATGGTCCCCAATCGAGCAAACATCCACGAAATCATTTATTTCTGAATGTTCAACAATAACTTTGTTTCATCTCTTGGAGCGTACGAAAGGAAATTCCTATTATGTTCGTGGAACATCGTGCGTATACCTAGGGAGGATAGGGGGACGCCTTTCAAGCCACTTCAACACTATTTTTCATATCAAGCTATACATATTTTTACTTTAGAACTATATTTTTTGACGTATGTAGAAAAAATTTTGTTTGCGACTCGAGCGCGAAATACTTTGGTCATCTCGACTATTTTTTAACTCGGCTACGGCTCGTTAAAAAAATCAGATCTCGATCACCAAAGTAGCATTTCGCGCTCTAGATACAAAAATAACTATTCTACAAACGTCAAAAAATATAGTTCTAAAGTAAAAATATGCTTAGCTTGATATAAAAAATAGTGTTGAACTGGCTTAAAAGGCCTCCCCTACCCTCCCTAGGTACGCACGATGTTCCACGAACATAATAGGAATTTCCTTTCGTGCGCACGAAGAGATGAAACAAAGTTATTGTTGAACATTCAGAAATAAATGATTTCGTGGATGTTTGCTCGATTGGGGACCATAAAGGTGAAATATAAATATCTCATATATTTTACATAACAATGCGCGAAGTAGGTACTTCGCGCACTGTTTTACTTCGCGCATTGTTTTGTGCAAGGTATGATGGTAACATAGCAAACTGAAAAAAGTGTCACTTCGCAATTTGTTATCAATGCGCGAACCTTGTCATTTTCTGACGTTTGTAGAAAAATAATATTACACAATATCCGGTATGCCTTACTGAATACATCCTTTTGAAGAACATGGCCATTTCTATTCGCCGAAACAGTCGCTCTTTTTTAAGCGTCTTCAAGAGAAAAGCCACTCACGTTTCCGCATGAATAATTAAATTGAGTATTATGAAGTTTTACGGTTATGAGGCAGTTCGTTTCTCGTCCTCGCGACTTCTTCGGTTTGGATGTGCCTGATGATGGCGATATGTGAGCTAAATTGGGTTATTGATCGAAAATAATGAAATAAAATGTTTCACCTATCATAATGAGAAATTTCTTATACTAATCAAAAGTGAAATTTTCTCTACCTTTGAGATGATATGTGGACACACAGTATGGTGACTGAATGTCAGGGATATGTCAAGGGTGTCAAGAGGAGTTTGTCATATATGATTATTATCTGTCTTGTTATGTTACATGTTAACTGAAATATATTATTTGATCATAACGCTAGATTCGAACCTCATACTATTACTTGCATGAGATGATATGTGGACACACAGTATGGTGACTGAATGTCAGGGATGTCATGGGTGTCAAGAGGAGTTTGTCATATATTATTATTATCTGTCTTGTTATGTTACATGTTAACTGAAATATAATATTTGATCATAACGCTAGATTCGAACCTCATACTATTACTTGCATGATATGATATGTGGACACACAGTATGGTGACTGAATGTCAGGGATGTCATGGGTGTCAAGCTGAGTTTGTCATATATGATTATTATCTGTCTTGTTATGTTACATGTTAACTGAAATATATTATTTGATCATAACGCTAGATTCGAACCTCATACTATTACTTGCTAGACATAGCACCACAACCTTACCTGCAAGGGCACCTCCCGATAAACGAACACGATGTCGCCGCTCTTGAACAATGTCACTTGAAAAGTGAAGTTCCCATCGGCGGGCATGTCTTGCAGGGCGACGTTCTCCCATTGGACGGTGAACGCGGTACCGTTGTCGAGGTACTTGATGAAGCTGTCGTTGGACAGGCTGGTGTCGAAGTTGGCCATGAGAGGGGCGATGTACTGGGTGGCCGCCAGCCACGAGTGTACATAGTCCCCTGTGTATAGAAAGCCGCCCGTGGCTATCGTCACGTTTTTGATGAGGTGGCCGTAGAAGGGGAAGTCGAATGAGAGTTTGATGGTCTTGAAATGAAAATAAAAACGGTCTATAATAGTATTTCAAGCAACGATCATGTATTAATAGCCATTACAGGTAGTCCACTGTGTATAGGAAGTTGTCCGTGGCTATCGACACTTTTTGGATGAGGTGGCCGTAGAAGGGGAAGTCGAATGAGACTTTGATGGTCTCAAAATGAAAATGGTGTATGTATTTCAAGCAACGATCATGTATCAATAGCCATTACAGGTATAGGAAGCCGCCCGTGGCTATCGTCGAGTTTGATTGTCTTGAAATAAAAATAAAAACGGTCTAAAATAGTATTTCAAGCAACGATCATGTATTAATGCCATTACAGGTCCACACAGTCCACTGTGTATAGGAAGTTGTCCGTGGCTATCGACACTTTTTGGATGAGGTGGCCGTAGAAGGGGAAGTCGAATGAGACTTTGATGGTCTTAAAATGAAAATGGTGTATGTATTTCAAGCAACGATCATGTATCAATAGCCATTACAGGTAGTCCACTGTGTATAGGAAGCCGCCCGTGGCTATCGTCGAGTTTGATTGTCTTGAAATAAAAATAAAAACGGTCTATAATAGTATTTCAAGCAACGATCATGTATTAATAGCCATTACAGGTAGTCCACTGTGTATAGGAAGCCGCCCGTGAATATCGTCACGTTTTTGAGGAGGTGGCCGTAGAAGGGGAAGTCGAATGATAGTTTGATTGTATTGTAATGAAAATGGTCCATAATAGTATTTCATACAAAGATCATGTATTAATAGCCATTACTGTGCATTTGAAGCCGCCCGTGGCTATAGTGACGTTTTTGATAAGGTGGCCGTAGAAGGAGAAGATAAAAGTTTGATAGTCTTGAAATTAAAATGGACACAGTCAATATACTTTTATGCCACAAAAAGTTCTGGTATTAGGATTTTCCCTGGTTCATTGTGTCGAATGACAGTACAATAAAACACAAATGAACGAGTTCACTTGATGAAACTGTCAGGAGTACACGTAGTCGCCAAGTTATTCATGAAAAAATTAAATTAAATTCGCGAATATTCGTTTTTTTTTCTTCAAAAGTCTCTGGAAGTATTCGGAAGTTTCAAAATTTCAATAAGGCAACTTTTCCATAATTTAACCCACTCTCTTACAGCTTACGAGATCCCAATGATGAGGCTCAAATTCAGCAACCCTGTACGTGATATTTAAATGGAACTCCGTATTCCGAACTAGAATTAAATAATGCCTATAGACCGAGAGCCCACGACGTATCTCAACTATCTCATTTGTTCACGCTCCGCAGTATAATTGTTAAATATATAGCCCTAAATCTTTTGTTTAGTGGAGTATGTATAATATTCTCATCTGTAATGTTACATACCGATGTTCAGTCGTTGTCATAGATATGACCTATACTGTCACTGAGATGTTTAATGTCACTGTCGCAAAAAGACAATTATTATTAAATGTTCAAGTTATAAGTTGTGTTGGTTGTATTCATTCCTGTTAGTCACAAGTGACTCAATTTGAATAGTTAACAGGTTATGGGCCCAGGCAATACCTGGAACATTCTTGCATAGAAAGAGTATCCCAAGTAATAAAAATCGTGGACCAAAGGGTGGGGGCCGCGTGGATGAAGTTGTATTCAAAAACCCGGGGTCTCGAATCAGTCGAATCATCACTTAGCGTTCGGAGTTCATAGGCATAAAATCCAATTTTCGTTAACAATATATCATCTGCTGTCGTTCGGCGATGGTGTTTTATGATAATTAGTAGTATGATAAATGTCATTTTGTGACCCCCCAATAACATTATCGGACCTGTTTTATGTAAATGGAGAAGAAAAGATCAATTCGTCGTCATAACAATATTCAAAACAACAGAATGAACGACGAATGTATTTTTTCTTCGTTAGTTATATAAAGAAGGTCCAATCATTTTGTTCGGGGTTCACATAATGATGTCTAATATACTATTAATTATTATAAAACAACATCTCCGAAGGTCAATATCCAATTGATTTATTCGGCATGTATTTTATAAATTTCCATTTCATCTAGAAATAATATTAATGAAATCATTGCCGAACACAAATATATGAAAAATGCCGAACATAAACATAATAACTTTCCATTGAAAGTAGTGATGACAACAATATACAGCGCCATTGCGCATCGTATCCACCATATACACGTAAAGTTCCGCCCAACCATCATTTACTCCTTTTCGAGGCGTAGTGTGATTGTACTACCAAAGTAGTTTTCGTCATTTTATGAACTACTAGTCAATAATGACATAGCCACCTCTGTTATAATGGACCTGAATTCACTGTTTTAATGCGATATTCGCAGAAATGGGACTCGAATCTAGTACGTTTTTATCAATAACGACTTGACATATGCTGTCATAGTCATGTATATTATTTTAATTAGAATTTAAGGGAAGTGCTTTCATAATGGCAATAGGTCTGTATTTCAGTTTCACAGAACGATAATGATTGAAATATATTGCATGTGGTGGAAAAAATTTAATATACACCTTGGTAGTGAAGAATATCATTACAATGGGACCTTATAGCCCTCGGCTATAGCCTCGGGATATAATCTTGGTCCCTGGGTAATGATGATATTCTTCACTACCTTGGTGTATAAATAACTATTATTTAACTTGCAATGTATGGATGTATGTTAGTTCGGGTGGAATCTTTGAACTCAATTTTGAAGTAGATATCTTCAACCGATTGAGCTGAAATTTTGTATACACGTTTAGTTTAGTTTGGATGACAATGCACGATAAGGTCTGTGAAGTTATTCTAAATCCAAGATGACGAAATAGTTATTTTTAACGCACTTCCACAATATGGGTATCAAATGAAAATACTTGTTGAGAGTTACTCGGAAAATAATGTTACGTCATTCTGAATCTAATATGGCGGACCATCCAAAATGGCGAAATAGTTATTTTTAATGCACTTCCACAATATGGGTATCAAATGAAAGGTTTTGTTGAGAGTTACTCAAAAAATAATGTTAAGTCATTTCGAATTCAATATGGCGGACCATCCACGACGGTGTAATAGTTATTTTTGATGCACTTCTACAATATGGGTACCAATGAAAGGGCTCGTTGAGAGGAACTCGGAAAATAAAGTGTAAGATCATTCGAAGGTCTCCTTATTGAAGAGCTGGACTGTTCAAAATTAACCAGCAAACGACCTTCCAATAATGATGCGTTGAATGAAATGTACAAACTGAGAAACCTAGCCAGCGATAACTGAAAATTAAAAAAATCAATTGAAAGTAAAAAAAGAAATTGATAAAAAGCTTTTATTTAAACGCTCTAAAAAGAATAAAATGAAATGTTCCGTTATGATTTTAACTATCAACTTGTAACCTCATTAGACGCAATTTATATGATCATAAAAGCTTGTCGCGCGATTTACTTGTGGTACTAAACTACTGATTTAATTTTGTAAAATCTGCTGAGTTCAATTAGAGATTGATCATCGCGACAAGGTTTCATGGTCATATGAATTGTGTATAATGAGGTTATAAGTGGATTGTTGAAATTATAAAGGAACATTTTATTTTATTCTTTTTAGAGCGTTTAAATGAAAGCTTTTCATTACAAATTTTGTTTAACTTTTAATTTATTTCAATTATTCAAACTCGCCGAACGTTAAGTAATGACGGCGAACTCGTATCAGTGTAGTGGAGGTTGGAATTTGGGAGGTTCTTCTACTGCTGAATGTGAACAAATGACACAAAAAACACGTTGCGGGCTCCCGGTCAACAGTATTGGTGAAAATATTCTGGTGAAACAACTTACAGCTGCTCTACGATGCGACTGCGACAATAGCTCGTTGACTTTGACATCCGATCGATTTTTCATGTCCACCCAGTAGAAATGTCCAACACTTTTATCGTGCAATATGGAACTGTTGTAAAAAAGGTTTGGATCCTGAAATGGAAATGGATGTAATGTGAAGGAATTGTTTAGAAACATAAACAAGTGAATGTGAATCATATGGGGCCAATGACTCGGTTATCATTGGATATTGGAATTCATTTATCATTAGACATTTTATTGCTACTAGTAGTTTTCAAGACGTACCTTGATCTTGAATTTGAAATGGATAAACTTGTTTACAAACATAATTGAGGATAATATAGTCAATGTAATTAGAACTATTGAAACTGGTTGACATTGATTAAGACTAAAGCTGTATGCTGTTCGATTTGTTTTTTCTGATGAGAAAAATAATATGTTTATGGATTGAATCATGACGCATATACAGGGTGATCCACCGAAAACTTTTCACCTAGATTTTAGGGCATTAAAATAAATCGTCGATATCTGATAAGAGGGGAAACAACTTGTCTGTTTTTTCATCCCCGTAACTTCAACCCCCTACCAAGAGGAAGCACAGCCCCCGGATTTCGAATAGGGATGAGGGATGTTGCAATACCTCATTTTGAAGATTTCATTGAGTACTATCCGATCCTCTAATTTCGCGCCAAAATTTTCATCGTTACCGAAATGAGAGATAAAAAGTGGAAGAGGTAACACAACACAACATAGTTTGAGAAAAAATAAGACCAATAATTCGTCTTATTTTTTCAATCATTCACCTAACTTGATAAGTGAATTTCATCGCTGTTGTCATTGTAACTATGAAATTTTTGATAGATATGGTTTTGACGGGTTTTGATAAATGCAGATGATAATTACCATGGCAGCGAAATTAGTTGACATGGCCAGTGCAACTGATGAGACTTATGGCAAGTCGAAACAGTCTGTCTTGCATCAGCTGACAATCGATTCACGAAATTTCCCTAGAATCTCTTATTCTTGAGATTCTAGGTTTATCACCATCTGTTAGTGGAACATTAAACCACTTTGAGAATTACAAGTGTTGCGATAGTCTACAGAATCTGACATGGATGTCTTTTCTGTAAGCATATAGACGTAGGGGTCTATATGCACGACTTAGTCGCAAGATATGATTGATGAATCTACCTATACACCTTGCACTTAAGCCACTAGATGGCTATGAAGGCTAGATCGTCCTTCTGCCCCCTCAGGGCTTCGACTTGTTTGATATATGGAGGTACCCTTCGTGAATCGATTTTCAGCTGGCCAGTGCAACTGATGAGACTTACGGCAAGTCAAAACAGTCTGTCTTGCATCAGCTGTCAATCAATTCACGAAATTTCCCTAGAATCTCCTAGTCTTGAGATTCTAGGTTTATCACCATCTGTTAGTGGAACATTAAACCACTTTGAGAATTACAGGTGACGCGATAGTCTACAGAATCTGACATGGATGTGTTTTCTGTAAGCATATAGACGTAGGGGTCTATATGCACGACTTAGTCGCAAAGTATGATTGATGAATCTACCTATGCACCTTGCACTCAAGCCACTAGATGGCTATGAAGGCTAGATCGTCCTTCTGTCCCCTCAAGGCTTCGACTTATTTTGATTTTTAAAAGTTTGGTTGCAATTATCACAATAAACTATTGAAAGCAGCTGCGATAGATAAAATGTCCACACGAAATTTTCAATGAAACAGTTGATTGATTGATTGACTAATAGCAGAATGATCAGTCAGGGTTTGAAGCCCAAAACACTGCAGCCCTTGGGCATATTGTATTCCTGATCATGCTGTTGACTTAGGTGAACAGGTTCGCTACCTTGATGAGGTTTAGCAGCCTCTTCACCAAATCATTCTTTGAAAATGCCTCTTGAGAGTTTACTGCTCCCAGAAGGTTGTATCTCCAACGCGCTAGTGCTTCGCACTCCAATATTACATGGGTGGCAGTTTCCTCCTCCTCATTGCATAGTCTGCATATGGGTTCGTCTGTATAGATGCCCATTTGATGCATATGTTTCCTCAAGGGGCAGTGACCGGTTATTAGTCCCGTCACTTGTTTGATCTGACTTCTGTTTATGCTGAGAATGTCGTAAGTCACTGTTTTGGACAGTGTTCCAACCATCAGTTTACTGTGTCTTTGTCCTGGGACATTGTTCCAGTATGCCTGATGTCTTTCTTGCATCCACCTTGCCAGCCAGCCGCGTATTGAGTATTGAGGTTTTGGGGATACCGAATACAGGTTCCGGTCCCATAAACAACGTCGCAGACCCTTGCCTGGTAAGAGCGTCAGCTGCTTCATTGCCTTCAATTCCCTTATGCCCTGGCACCCATTGAAGAGTTACCTTGTTGTGGTTAGCCAGGGTTAGCAGGCTTTGAAGGCAAACCCAGACCAGTTTTGATCTGATTTTATTGCATGTTAAAGATTGAATGGCCGCCTGACTATCTGAGCATATGAGGATTTGTTTACCTCTGTATCCTCTTAATATAATATGGAAATGTGTCTCATTGATGGTTGCCGAAAAAATAGTGTACGCAACACGTCCAAAAACAGTTTTTTTGGACTCGCAGACTTCCAGAACTCGCCTATGGCTCGGCTTAGTATTTTCTGGACTTTACGTAAATTACTATTACTCCTTAGTTACAGTATCACCCTATAAAAACATCTAAATTTGTCTCTTTTGTCAATATACTGTACACTTACCGTTTTTGAATTAGTGATGTTATGTTTTGTGAGCGACTCATTGAATTTTTTCGTTCCTTCTTCGGTGTCCAAATCGCTAGGAAACCTTGGAATACCGAAATCTGCATCGTCATCTTTCTCAGTAGTAGTCAAGCTTACATTTGAGATCATTTTGTGCACCAAAGGCACTGGCGTCGTACTCGATGTGTAGTTTTTTCGAATTCCTGTGCCATTTTCACCAAGATTTTTCGCTAGGTTATTTCTCAGACTTGTCAGTGTGAAATTAGTCGGGAGGATTGTATTGGTTTTTTGTGAAACTACAGCTACAATCTGAAAAAAAAGTCGATAACTAAGAGTTACTTAGTGCCAGTTTCATTGGTTGCTCTTAGACCTTGAGTTAATGTAGGAATTTACTGGAGTTGACTCACTACGAAAACTATTGATATCATAAGTTCATGTTATCCCGATGTCAGCAGTTGTCAAATAGATATTGAAATTTAATGTATTTGTGATTTTTTCTACTCATTAATTTATTATTTTACGGATCATTTCCGTATAAAGGAATGTATGGGCGCATTCAAGATATGAGGCAGCACCTCGGGCAGCACAAAGTTCTATGCCAATAAAATAATAATTATAAATTATGTCGCGGTCAACTGCTGCCATCTGGATGACCATATAATAAGGTTTGTTCGTGTTCCAAATTGTTTAAACGGTCCATGGACTGCGCAGAATCAGGTGCGCATCAAACTCAATCCTAAACTAGTATGGGATAGTTTTTAACCAGATCAACGAAAACGAGTTTCAACGTTTTCTCATTTTCTTTCTCGAAAATATTATGCTATGTCTTAACTCACGAGGATCGAGGGCATATTTATAGGTCAGGATTATGTTGATGTTAATTATTGTTAACATAAACCTTCTCCACTAATACATTCCTAACTTATACCTACCAAGAATTATCCCTGAATTCATAAACCGAGTACAGACAGATACATTCAAAACCACCATTCTCCAGATTGGTCTTGAGGATTTCCAGCAGATAAAATGTTCGAAAATGTTTATTGTTATCTGAACTTGAAGAGGATGATGAGCTGGAGTTCATATGCGCATTGTTGATAATCTTGATTATATGTGTTCAATAATTCCATTCTTCTTCTCGTTTAAAAGTGTATCTCTTAACCAGATCTTAACTAAGGAAGCTTAAAGGTTAAAAATCTGGAACAGAGGTGTTCCCCGAGATATATAACCTCCAGAAATTTAGGAAGAACACCAATTCATACCTTATTTTCCTTGGTTTTCACGATGTTCTCTGAACATTACTGGATATCCCTTTTCGTGGGAACCAGAATATGTATAAATACAAAATACACGCATGCGCATCTAAAATGATTAACAACTTTCTTAGAAAGTTCTTGCCTGGAGGCTCGTACTGGTTTGGACCGATTCGAAACTATCCCAAACTAGTCCGAGTAAAACGAAAATACATGATCTGTGGAATTTCGCACTACGCATGCATCTCATGGTTTCCGTCTCGTAATTTTGTGAACGCGAACAAACCGCGGACTCAGAAAATCAACAGTTTTCGTAGTTGGAGTAAACTCCTCCTAAGCTAACTCGAGGCTCCAACAGTAACCTATGAAACTTGTCGTTAGTTGATTACTGTATATGACAGACTTGCTGATTTTCTTTTCAAACATGCTTTATTTGTGTAGGAAATAACGAGTTATGATGAATAACTCACTGGTTTTTGTGATGTCACTGATGGAGTTACTATAGATGTCGGAATAACTGTACCATTTACTATGTTTCTTTTATGAAGCGTATGGACAGCATTGTTTTGATTCAGTAGTTCTATCACAGGGTCATTTTCTGGTATGTCAGAAGGGAAATCGGTCTCGTAAAAATCAGCATCTGCAAAAAAGTGACGATATTATGAGAAACTGATTTAATAAATAATTAATAAGTAAATACAAAAAAGCTCGAAGTCATTTCCAGTATTTCCACAAATGTTCATGAAATGAATAACAATGGTAAATGAAGGAAGAAAAACAACTACTTTCCTGCCAAATGCCATGCACAACATTGAATTACATCCTCCCGAAATATATGCATTGATTCGTATACACGATTTCTAATGCAAGTGTTTCTTTCTCTAATGCCGATCGATTTCAATTCAGCCAGGTCAACGTAACCTACAGACCGGTTTCGAGCTTCTTTGGCCCTCATCAGTGCAGGGTAGTCTCCAGCTAGCAGTCCGAAGACCGCCGGCTAAGCGTAACCTAGCACAACAAATTCCAATCGGCAATATTTATGGTCTCAGATAAATCTCCCGTGGGCACAGGTATGCCACACGGTTTTAACGCCATCTAGACCACATAAAAGGAAAGAAACACTCCACGAAACTGAAATAACCATCTCCAACTTCCTGCACAATTACAGATTGTGTCAGTTTAACCGAATAATCCTACAGCTTCGCGGTCAGATTATTTCAACTGTTAAACTGACACACTTTGTAAGAATGCAACAAACAAAAGATATACAGGGTGGTCTAGAAAAAAAGTTCATATAAACATATACTTTCAAACGCGCCTATTTTGTTCTTTCAATGAGAGTTCGAAACGGTTTGAGATAAATCGTCAAAATTGCTCACAGATACCCAACTTTTTAGGCTCTATAAGATGAAATGAAAATTATACCATAAAGTAATTCAGTGGCAGCTGAATCTTGGGGTGATGAAGGTAAATTGAAGTTTCATTGTGTTTGTCCAGTTATTATTTTTTATTACCTTAGATTTCTCATATCGTTAATCCGGTTCAATTCGAAAACGTAACAACAAATGCAACAGTTCAGAGAAGAGCGTATCGTACGTTTCCAATGACCCACGATCACAAAAAACTTGGAGGTGGACATTGGGTGCAAGGTTGATGGAACGAGCTAAATATTTTTTACGTTGAACTATCCACCCAACAGTCACTGTCTCGGATATTTTCTACAAAATTTTTAGGGACGATATTTTCGAACTTTTTATTCGACATTTCGCAATCTCGTCGTTTGATTTCAAAAATGAGAACGCAGGCGTTTAGAAGATCTAAAAAAGTCTTCCCAATGAGGTCTCACCCAACCTATACAATACCGTTTGAAATTTTTGATGGGGTGGCAGTGGAGACAAAGGGGATGAAACGAGAAAGGTGATTTTTATGTGAGAACATGTCCCCCTTACAATCATTATTTAGCTGTCTCGGCTATTTTCTGAGAACCGTCTAATAAACGAGATATTGAGGGTGGGAAGTTTTCAAATGAACACACGGTATATAATCTTTTCGAGTTATTTGAACTAAAATATTGGTTCAGAGCATTTACGATTTCAAAGAAAATAATGGATTCAAATATTCCTTGCCTGACAATATTTATATACATACTCAACTACTCAACTATGTATATCAAGTTTTTTGAGATAATTTATGCAAAGAATTCGAAAAATATTTTCGTCTGTCTGTCCATGTCTGAACTGAGACTATCGAGTTTGAACCATGTTCTCGCTGAACATCTTCTTTATTTTATGGCAGTTATATGGATATTTTGTATGTCTATATGCAAAAATAAAACGTGATGATAATAATAATCATAAAACGTTTATTTGAGTATTATACATTGTTGATTATTTTATAACATAACTAACTTTGTACAGTGTGAACGAACTCAAGAAACATGAACAGGGTTATTCATCGAAAAGGCCTACCCCTATAATATTTACTTTATTTACTCATCTAGAAAAAAAAACAATATGCGGAAGTTTTAACAAGTTGATCCCTGAGAGTTATACAAGTTACAGATATCGTGTTATCCATGAATGAGGATATATTTGACAGTTGTATATAATAATAATAATAATAATAATAATAATATGTCTTTATTCATATTGCCAAGAATATAATACATAATTTTTCGTCGTTTTTTTATTGACAATATGTAAGGGCGGAATTCAGTCGCCCCTATCCGGAGATAATGGTGACTGCTCTTCCATCCTATTGTATCATTATCGTATACATTCCCAAACTAATCGAGTGATCACCAATTAATCAAACAAAACTTGTTTTTCTAGGCTCAAAAAAGTGGTTATAAAGAAGTGGAAAAGAAGATATCACCCTGTGTAAGTATATATCCAATATCTTTTTCAATATCATTTGAAGATATAAAAAAAATAAAGTATTCCACTTGTCGGGAAGAATCTTCTTGTTAACCAATTTAGTCCAGAAAAATATAGAGAAAATTAACGTGTTTCAGAACGGATATGCTTATTTATCTCGAAAACTGGTTCGTTTCTCGGAAAAAAATTTGAAGCAAAAAAGCCTCTAAACTGAACGATCCACCCTATTTGGTAACTGGAAAGGCCAGAGGCGTAGTACGAAAAAGTTTGGGGGGATAAAGAAGCCTATATCTCCAAAATCGTATCACCTTGTAGATTTGAAAAATCTCTAAAATGTTTAAAATGATGAATTCCTAGAAAGTATTAAACACACCAAATTTCAAATTGATATCTTCAAAAGTGAGCGATATTTTGATAAATAGAAAAAAATAATTAAACTTTGACCCCCTGTAGATCCGCTATTGATCGAAATTGGCCTCACGTTAATATACACTTTTTCAATTGAAATGATGAGATCTATCACCCATTTCAGTTTGTACCTCAAAACCTTCCCCTGTATATATTTTTGTGATCACAAAAATTCACAGATTCTGAAAAAACTATAAACAACAGGGTGTTCCATTGAAAGAAATGTATTGGTGGTTTGTCACGCTTTTAGAGATCACCCTGTAAAACTTCTGATAAGGGCTGTGGAAAGGTATAATTGCGGCAGAATGAACTAATTTCTTTTAAATATCAATATGATATAGGTATGATTCATTTTGTTGCATGAAAATTTTGATTTCATTTCATAGCCAACCGAGATCAAGTTGAAAGGTTCAATAAAAAATTAGTATTGCAAACAATGTATGTACAATATCATTCATCAGTTTGGTTGTACTCAAGCAGTTTGGTTGCATCTGAAATACAAATAAATTGCCAATTTCTTTGGATCAATTTGAATGAGAAGTGAAGTGATGTTTATAGATGACTTTCGAAATCACATTAGTGAACTAATTCAGATTAGGGAAACGACCTCAAGTAAAGTCATACACACCATCTCACCATCATTACAATATCTCATTGTCGAGCGAATAATAAACACTATTTATTCTACCATCCAAATATTTATGAATGAATCTGTTAATTTGCATTTGACAATGCATATTTTGATAATGTTTGATTGTACTCAACTCAGCTTAAATTCTGTGCTTCTCCCAAAACAAAATTTTCGGTACACAGTTATAAGGATAATGGGGGAGACCACTGATATTTTAAAACGACACCATTTTGAGCTCTATACCGAAAAACTACCAATAAATATAATTTTGAATGTTTTCATTCATACTAGGATGATAAAAAATAAAATAAAATATGTTCATTGAAATGGTGTCAATTTATTGGTGAGACTGGTGTGACGTATTAATCCCAACACGCCTATTGTCCTTGAGCTGACCAATCACACTGCAACACTGCAGTATGGCAAGATATCACAGGTTGCTACCTACAGTTTGGGACACTTTTGAAATATGAAATGGAATATCGATTCCCTACAACTTCAACTTGTAATAATGATTGTACAGTGTGTCCAGTTTTCGATGCTTTTGCGTGATATCTAAGTTATCTTTCGAGATAGAACCTTGCGGTTTTCGCGGTCCTGTGCCACTATTTTCTGAAACTCAAGATGACCTAATCAGATTTTGCATAACTGTTTCCGTTTATGAGATACAGGGCGAGTTTTAAAATTTATACTTTTTGGACCCCCTCTATAGCTACGAAGTTTCCCAGCGAAAATGTCAAACTAATATCTCATCCCATAGATAATTTTACGCAGAGTCCAGTGGCGCACTAAAATTTTTTTAGGGGTATGGTTTGAGATACGACTCAAGCTAATGATTGTTCAAATGGAACTCCCTGTACTTTCTAAGCTCATAAAATTCCTTATTCTTTTCCCATCAAAATGAAATATAATGTATATATATAGAAAGTCCTCAAAAATGCTCCAAAATCACTGAAACATTGAATTTTAATAGGGGGCTATGGATTTTTCATAAAAAAAGTTCCAATTGAAGGAATATTTCTTTTGATTTTTACATGAAGAGGACAAAAACAATACCAACCTAATTAACTAAGAAAACACAAAAATTAGTTACCTGATAGCAACAAATAAATAATAATAAAAAGTTCGTAATATAGAATAAGCACTTGATTGAATTTTCACTAAGACAATTGAATTTCCAAATTAATAAGTAATTTATTCATTGAATTGTTCAAATTGATGTCCATTTTCCCTTAGTATTGTTTGTGTCCTTTTCATGGAAAAATCAAAAGAAATATTCCTTCAATTGGAACTTTTTCATATGAAAAATCCATAGCCCACTATTGAAATTCAATGTTTTAGTGATTTTGGAGCATTTTCGAAAATCAAAAATTCATAAATTATATATCATTTTGAAGAGAAAAAAATGGAGAATTTAATGAGCTTATAAAATACAGGGTGTTCCATTACAAAAATCATAAGTTTGAGTCGTATCTCCAAAACCATACCACGACAAAAAATGTTGAGTGCGCCACTGGATTCTGCGTAAAACTCTCTATGGGATGAGATTTTAATACGACATTTTTGCTGAGAAACTTCGTAGATATAGAGGGGGTCCAAAAAGTATAAATTCTCAAAATCGCTCTGTATCTCATAAACGGAAACAGTTATGCAAAATCTGATTAGGCCATCTTGAGTTTCACAAAAAAGGGGCACAGGACCGCGAAAACCGCAAGGTTCTATCTC